GGGGATACAGTCAGCTGCTGCAGATGAGAATTCAGGCAAGTACGGAGGAGCACACAAACAGGCCACTCAGGAGTTACAAGGCTCCCAAGGGGTCAATGAGGAATTCTGGGAGAGGTAATTTTTTTATAAAGATTGATTCATTTATTTTAGAGAAAGAATGAGAGAAAAAGCACAAGCAGGAGGGGCAAGGGGAGAGGGAGAGAGAATCTCAAGCAGACTTATACTGAGCCCAGGACTAGACACAGGACTAGATCTCACCACCCTGAGATCACCACCTGAGCAGAAACCATGAGTCGAATGTTTAACCGACTGCACCACCCAGGTGCCACCTGGAGAAGGCATTTGAAGAGTGAGGAGGGTTTAGACAGATAAAGATAAGTGAACTATTTTCCCAGAACAGGTAATAGCATGGGCAAAGACAGGGAGGGAGGAATTCTTGGACCAAGGATGGAGAAGATAAGTCAAAGTGACTCAAGTTTAACGTGTTGATGGGAGGACGCCTGGGTGGCTCAGAGGTTGAGCGTCTGCCTTCAGCTAAGAGTGTGATCCCATGGTCCCCGGATGGAGTCCCGCATTGGGCTCCCTGCACGGAGCCTGCTTCTCCCTCTGCCTGTGGCTCTGCCTCTCTCTCTCTCTCTCTCTCTGTCTCTCATGAATAAATAAATAAAATCTTTAAAAAAAAGTTTAATGTGTTGAGGGGGCAGGAGCACAAGATAAGGTTGGCAAACTGAGGAGTTGATCTTAATGGGGGAAGACCATAGGAAGCCATGGAAGGCACTTGAGAAGGAGAGGAGTAGCATGGCTGCTTTAGGAAGAGAAATCTGGTAGAAGTAGCAAGAGGAGGCAGACCTGGAAGGAGCAGACACCTTCACATTATATGCTCCCCACTTTTTGAAGTCTGAGGTGTCTCTGTCCACCACTGGGAGACAGAGGACAACTACTTCTCCTCAGCCTGGCCGGGTAGATAAGGTGGCAAGGACAGGAAGTTGCCTTAAGGAACTGAAGAGCGGGCAGCGAGGTCCAAAGCCCCTACCCCCACCCTATGTAAGGTGTTCTTGTAGAGGTAAATGCAAGGGGAAGGAGGCCAGGCTCCTTGGACCAAAATGCAATGATAGGTGTCCTGGGCCAGCTGAAGGACCCTGGGTGCCTGCTCTGTCCTGCTAGTGACAGGTCTGTGCTTCCCCAGGCCCTCGAAGATCAGGTATGCTCCTGTCCCAGGAAGAGCTTCTGGAGTTTTCCTGTCTCAACTCTGTCATTCAAACACTTTCCCTGACACCTCCTGGGAACCAAGGTGAGTCAGACCAGATGCCTGCCCTCAGGGGTATCAATGTCCAGTAAGAGGAGCAGGGCAGACAATGGACACCAGGATGCCATGAGCTTGATGGGGTTATGCAGGCTACCAAAGCCCTGTTGGCCTCAGGGATGAGAAGTGGCTTCCGGGCCTTAAGGACTAGTAGGGATGAGCACTAAAAGATGAAGGGGTGTTCCAAGCACAGGGGACAACGTAAGCAAAGATTCAGAGGCAAAAAACTTCCTAGTATATGCAGTGAATTAGATGTGGCCCCCATGTGGCAACCATGGAGGTAGAGAGCAGTGAAGATGAATGTTGGGCTGAGGAATTTGGACACCCTCTAAGGAGTAGGGCTGAAGGGAGATGAGAGGGTGGAAGTCCCGATGCGAGAGAACAGGGAGAGGCTGAGAGCACAGGTTACACAGGTTATACAAGTGGCTCCAGGCCAGGTGGGGCCCTGGGCCCAGGAAGACTAGTAGGGGTGCATCAGGGGCTTACATGGGGTCCCCAAGCCTGAAAGATCAAATAAAATAACTTGGGGTCAGAGAGAAGGTAGCAGACAGGAACATCTTCCAGTCAGAACAGTTAGTTGGGAGGCAGTCTTTCCTGCCCCTCCAGAGGGGGGCTGTCCAAGTGGGTGGGGTAGGAGGTTAAGACAGTGGGCTTAAAATCAGTGCTCAGTGGCAGGGCCTCAGAGAGCTGGAACATCTCCCTGTTGGGCCTGGATGACCCTGGGGAACAGGAAGTGAAGTTCTCCGGTCTCCAGGGCGGTTTGCATTTTGAGTCAAACCCATTTACAAACCAAAGTGAGGCAGTGGCAGGGCAACCCCAGACTCTCTGTCTCCTCTAAGGACTGCACAGTCTCAGGCCCTCCTCCCACAGCCAGCACTGATGTGATAGATGGGGAGACTGAGGAGGCACATCCAAGACCTCACAGAGACCTTCAGAGATGACCGGCACCTCCAAGACCTCTCAGCAAAGCCTACTTTGCACAGGCTGCCCCTCAGCCCAGATCACTTTTCCCTTCCCTGGTCCTTCAGATTTTTCTTTTCTTATAGGGGCATTCTTTCTAATATAAATGGTCTGTGAATGCTGGGAAGTAACATGAGTGAGGAAGTGTTTCTTAGGACCCTACTGCCTTCTTTCTGCTTCTGAAGCAAGTTCTGGTTCAAAGGAAAGTATGGCCTCTCAGGATGGTCAGCACTTCCACATAGTCATAGATGGACTACACTTGCTTTATACTTAATTTGAATGTCACTGAACTCCCATGCGTCGCATCACAAAATCTGTATTTGAATGGGACGGCATATTTGGCATGTCCTCTCAACGCTTAAACTGTCAAGAAAGAGTTTGATTAGCTCAGCTCACCTGTCAATGGCTGAGCCACTCCTGGGTCAGAGCCTCCCCCCCCACCCCCCCAAACCCGCCACTCAGCTGGGAGGTGGTTACTGAGCAGCTCAAGCTGCCTCCCAAGTGGCCCTCATCAGCCCCAAACACACAGCTGCTCTTAGACACCTCCACCTGGAGTCCCCCAGGCCCCTCACTCTCCACTTGACCCCAGACGCACCCCTGACTCCTCTCCCCCCATCAGCTGAACCCCTCAACCGCCCAGCTACTGAAGCAGAAACTTGGGTGTTAGCTGTGATTCCTCACTATCTCTCATTATTAAATCTAATCCATTACCAGGTCCTGTCTCTCGCAGCCTTCTCTGCCTTGGTGCACACTGCCTCATTATTTGTCAGGAAGATTGCAGAATCCCTTCAGCCTCTGCTCTCTGTTGCAAAAGCTTCAGAGGGAAGCCCCGTCTCTTATCGTTTAAAAAGCCCTCAGTACAAAATCCAGGCCATTAGATAGACAATGAAGGCTCTCAGTGTTGCAGCCCTGTCTCTCTGATCCTGGTGCTCATACTCCTTATGACCCAGCCATGCTGTGGGATTGAATCACTGTTTCTGGCACACAGCTGAGGTTTCCCACCTTCAACACAGGCTGTTTGTGTTTGTTTGTTTGTTTGTTTGTTTAAGATTTTATTTATTCACGACAGATACAGAGAGAGAGAGAGGCAGAGACACAGGCAGAGGGAGAGGCAGGCTCCATGCAGGGACTCGATCCCGGGTCTCCAGGATCACACCCCGGGCTGAAGGCAGCGCTGAACGGCTAGGCCACCAGGGCTGCCCTCCAGGCTGTTTTTTTTTCCTAACTGCAACACCCTCTTCTTCACACGTCCAAATCCTTCTAAGATCTATCTTTCCCCGTGCTCCACCTTAGCCCCCACAGGGGAGGTGAGGTAGGCATGCCCACTGCCAGAGAGGCTGTAAGTTCTGCCGACCATCTGTCCAGTGAGAGAGCTGGGACCAGATGCCAGCACTGAAGTTCTCAGTACGTGGCAGCTGGGAAGTGGGGTGGACAGACCTGCCCTTTGTACAGCACGCCTATGACCATGTCACTTTGGCCACTAGCTGTTTGTCCAAGTGCAGATAAAGCATATGCTCACTGAATGTCTCTATGCTCAAGGTGGCATAATGAAGATAAGGCAGGAGGAGGACCACAGTTCCGTACTAGGACAAGAGATCAGGACCTGGAGGTAGACATGGTCTGGGTAGGGGTCAGCAACCAGAGGCCAGGCTGGAAGCTGGGGCTTGTGTGTGTGCAGTTGCGGTATCTGGAAAGGCTTTCTGGTGCAGAGGCACTATGCGGTTTAGGGTTTGAACAGCTGGCTGGATGGGTTCAATCCTGGAATCTGTGGCCTTGTGCAGCCATGGTGGACCCCAGAAGACAACAGAGGCCAGCTTGGTGGGGCATAAGATGGCCCATGGGATGAGACTGGCTGGGTCTTAAGCTGAAGAGGATGCCTGAAGTAGATTGTTCTCTTTGCTCCACCTTTCCCGGGGTGAGTGGTTTCTGCCTTCCCACAGCTTGCTGCCCTGACCTGCAGCCCTTTCTCTTGTCTCCCCTAGAGCTGCTGAGACTCAGAGAGCAAAGCGCTGGAATGGGAGTTCCTCGGTCCTTCCTCATCCCTGGCTCAGGATCACTCTCCCTGGGGGCCCTGGCCAGAGGCCTCCACCCCACCCCCTCAGGCCTCTAGGGACTCCCACGCCCACCTTGGCAGTTACATTTCCTGCTTGGGTGAAGGTGTGAGTCTAGGATCACGAGACTGGTTTTCTTTCTCATATACTGGTTCATTGTAGGAAGTTCGGTTATATGAGGAGGAATAACCGTGCATTGTTGAAAATCTGGAAGAGATAAAGCACAAACGTCAAAAGAAGTAAACATCACTGGCTCCTCCGTAATGGATGCGCTCATTCACAGGCTTTTGGGTTCTCTCTAGACCCAGGGTGACCCTTTGCATAATTCAAAGTCGGGGGCTGGAAACCCTTCTACCGACACCTCCCTTTTGCCACACCCTCCCCCCCCCGCCCCCCGGACCCAGGAAGGCTCTAAAGAAGGCGGCCCGCCTCAGCTCTCCGTCCCGGGGGCGCCCGAAGCCCGGCGCGCAGGGGCTGAGACCCCTCCCGGCCTCGCCCGGCGCGGCCTCAGTTCCCCCTTCCGCAGAATGGGCGGGCGGCCGGGCTCGCGGGCCCGGGGCGCTGCGGGGGCGGGGCGGCGGCGGCTCCCGGGGCTGCCGGAAGGGGTGTGAGTGCGGGGGCGGGCTCCGCGCCGCCCCGCCCCGGGGAGGGAGCCTGGGGCGCCGCATCCTGGCGCTTGCCTTCGCCGCCGCTGCCGCCACTGCCGTCGGGGAAGGTCCCCGAGCGGACATGACCTCGCGCGGCGCTCGCCCGGGCTCGAGCTCCCGGCGCCCCGCGCAGTAGCCCCGCGAAGAGGCGGACTCGACGGTGCCGACCGCGCAGAAAGGCGGGCGGGCGGCATGGAGGCGGCGCACCTGCTCTCGGCAGCCGAAGTGCTGCGCGGCTTCTCGGTGACGGTCGAGGGCGGCCTGAGGCCGGAGCAGGTGTCTGCCGCGCGGGAGCGCTACGGCCCCAACGGTGAGAGCGCGGGCCTGGCCGGGGCAGCTGGGGGCCGCGCGCCGCAGCCTCAGTTTACTCCCCTACGCCGCACTGGGGAGCAGGCCTCCCCCCTTCCAGCCTTCGGTCCCCGCGGGCGGGCAGGAAGCGAGAGCTCCGGAAACGTCTGCAGATGCTCTTGGGGCTCTCGCACGGGCTGCGCGGCCACCTTCAGCGGGGTAGGGTGGGTTCCGGGTTTAGAGACCTGGCGCCGGGCTCCCCTTCCCAGCTCCCAGGGACCTGTGCGGTCTCTCAGGGCTTCCCACGGCCACCCCCGACCCTATCCACTCCCGCAAGTTTGAATCCACCGCCCTCCGCCCTCGTTCTGACCCCGCATTGCAATCGGCCCCCATCATACAAATGCATATGCCAAGGCAATGTGGCTAGGGACCAGCCAGGGACTCAGACCCAGCCTCCCAGCTGGCCCTGAGGGTCTCCCCCGTAGGCTCGGTGAAACACCCAGAAGGTGCAGCTTGTCAGCTGGCAGCCTTGGTGCCCCCACCCCCACCCCAGGTCTTCCTCTTTCTGCAACCCAAGGCGGATGTGGCTGGCGGGAGTCGGTGGGGGCTTTGAACCGCTGAGGCAGGAGACCCACCTCGAGGCGGGGCAGGGGCAGACTCAAGGCCTCACCCAGGGAGTTGCCAGGGAAGGCCTTTCCCTCTTGCATGACCTGGAGCGGCACCTGACCATCCCTGGGCAGCGAGGGAGCCTTCCTGCTGTTGCTGTTTGGGTGGAGGTGGTATCATTTCTTCCTCATCTTCAAAGGAGTTTGGGATTCTCTGTCTGCCAAAAGGCGCAAGTACCAGGTACTCTCCAGATGTGACCACAGGCACATTCGGAGGCCTTGTGAAGGTGGAAGATGTTGGGGGGCCCTCTTCAAGTCACTTCCAGGCAGGACTTGCCACCCTTTTTGTCACCGCCCCACCCCCTGCACTGGGCACAATGTTAGGGATTTAGATGGAAATGTCCCTTCCATCCCCAAAGCGGAGTCTGGACCCACTTTGTTTTAGGACTTGGGTCCTCACCCTTTCAGGGATCCCAGCCAGCCAGAGGGGAAAGTGCTCAGGCCTGAGTGTCTCACTGCTCCGGGATGACTTGAAAATTACCAAGAGCTGTCAGAAAGGGAGCTTTGGGTTTTGTATTGGCTTATGAAAACCACCTCTTATATAAATATTATCTTTCTGGAGCAGAAATCCTTTTCCAAAAAAATTAGTTGCTATATTTAGTTGAGCTGTGGGAGGAACTAGGGAGATAAATATTATTTAATATCCTCCATTAGTGACTTGGCAGGGAGGGTGTCATTGCTGCAAGAGGGCAAGGCAGCAGGACCTGTCCCCCAAACCCGGGGTGGGGATGGAGGTCAGGGCAACAGGTCTGGGGTTCTACAGACTCTTCTGTGCTGCTGTACAGAAAAGCTGCTCCTCCAGCTTAGGAGTCCTGATTCCCAAGGAAAACTAGAGACCCAGACCTTGGTTCTACCCGCAGAGGCTCTGTGTGACCCTGAACAACATCCCTCTAGTTTCTGGTTCCCATGTGTTCGTTGATCCAGCAGAGACTCTGCCTGAGGAGGGAGCCTCTAGGTCTCTCCCATGTTGTTTTGTGTAGGTAAGGTGATTTGGGGGTGAGCGGGCCACTGAGCGTCTGTGTGAGGTGATGCATAAGGATGTTGGTGTGGTATATAGGTCCCCAAAAGGGGTGGATGTGCATTCGGGGGGTGGTAGGTAGGAAAACTGGGGGGGGGGGCATTGATGGACTCCCCTGGTTCCCTTGAACTTTGATTGTAGTAAATGATAAAAGCTAATGCTCACTGAGCACTTACTATGTGCCAGGCACTGTTCTTAACACTTTTCATCTCTTCTTTAATTCCCCAAAACAACTCAATGAAAATAACTATTGTCATTCTCATTATACTGAGTCATCAGGATGTTAGATAGCTTGCCCAAGGTCACACAATACTTGATAGAGCTGATACTAGGTACCTATCCCTCTGTTGCCTCATTTTTCCTGTCTGTACAAGGAAGGGGTCACTGGTCCCACAGGCCCTAGGCCCATGGTACTGGTGGCTGTACTAGAAGGTGGGTCAGCTAGGCAGTAGCTATCCCAGCCCCCCAGCCCTCCCAGCACCCCAGAGATCCCTCAGATCACTGATTGGCTTCCTCCTCAGGAAGCATTCCATGGCTCTGGAAGTCCTCAGGTGAGGAGAGTGGAGCCAGCTGCCCCTTCCTGCATCATGCTCTCACTCTGACCAGCAACAGCTAAGGAGGAGGCATGGGTGTCCTGCAGTTTATACAGGCACTGGGGAGGTCTTTCCTCTTGGGTGACCGGGCGTAGTATACCCATCTCTGGGGTAGGGCTGACAGTTTTGAACCTTAGCTCTGCCCCTTCATAGTGGTGTATCATGTGTAAGTGACCTCTCTCTGTGCCTTAATTTTTTCATCATAGGTGAGTCTACAATAGGACCCGTGCCATATGGCTGCTTGCAAGTGTTTATGCACACCAAGCCATCCTTCCTTGTAGCAGAAGAGTCTAGGCCAGGCTCCAGGCCAGCTGGGTGGTGGGATGGGCCAAACCTACAGGTGGAGGGAAACACCCCAGGGACTAGCGTCCCCTCCCACCCCACCCAGGAGTCTCTGCACCTGCAAGGTCGTTAGTGCTGGAAACCACAAGGAAGTCATTTGCTTAAGTCCTGAAGTTTGCAAATTCTGCTGGTGGATGGAGGAAGGGAGGCTGTGAAGCAGAGGCTGGGGATCCCGTGCTCCCACCTTCTCTTCCTCCTCCCTCCCCAGAGCTGGGGATGGGGCCTCAGTAGTGCTGTCAGGGCATATGCCAGCTGGGAGTCCCCCATACACCCAGAACACAGCTTTCTTAACCCCACTGAATAGATGTGTCCTCTGAAACCCCAACAGGGCAGGGAGCGGGAGGCTCCTGGCCCAGCACCTCTTGTGAGAGTACCCTTCCCCGCAGGTCCCCAAGTGCCCAGGACTCCGCTTCCTCCGGAGGCTTTCTGCATCCTTTCAGTTTGTTTGTTTGTTTGTTTGTTTAAGTAAAACTGTGCACACAATGCAACATTCAGAGGGTACAAAGGATACAGTAAACTCTCCTCAGACCTGTTCCCAACCACCCAGTGTTCCCAGTGTCCTGTTTCTCCTTCGCAAAATACTCTGTACGTACACACTAGGTCTGTGATCTATGATCTTTTTCACATGAAAGGGAAGGATTGTGAGTGCTGTTTTGCCCCTGTTTTCCGTGATAATCATTTTTGGAGATTATGCCACATGGAGCATCCTCAGGCTTCCTAGTGGCTTCTGTAGAGTTTCATGCGGCTGTTCTAGTATTTTTTTGCCTGTCTTTTGACGGGCACTTGGATTGTTCATAGCCTCTCCTATCACACAATACAAGCATATTCTTGTCCCCACATCACTTCACATACTTGTCAATATTGCCAGAGGATAAATTCCTAGAAGTGGAATTGCTGGGTCGAATGCCATGTATATTTTAAATTTTCACGGCTGTTGCTAAGTTATTCTCCATAAAGTTGCAGCAGTTGATGTGCCTGCTTCCTCACCCTCCCACAGGACATTTTGATCTGTGCCAGTCTGATGGAAAGAGTCCTCTTATAGTTTTTCTTTGCATTTCATCATTTACAAGTCAGGTTGGGCATTTTTCCTTGTATTTCGGAACCATTTGATTTCCTTGTGTCCTTGAATGGGCTGCCCATCACCTTTGCTGGACATGAGCCAAGGTAAGAGGCAGGCCTGTGCTGGGCATGTCCTACCAAGTGGGCCAACACCTAATGGCCCTGGAGAGCCCAGTGATGTGAGAGTCAGGCAAGATCCCAAAAGGTCTGAGGTGGTTCCTGTTCAGGGGAACTGGGGGAGGGGGCTGCTAAAGAAACTGGAGCCTGCCTTCCTGGGCCTCCTGCTGCCCCTCTGTGTGGTGGATACAATGGCCCCAGAGCTGCAGGTGGGAAGAATGGCCAGATTTAGATTACTGCCAGTGTTGTCTGGGCTGTGACCTTATCTCCCGCCCTCAACCCAGGCCCCAGGGGGTTGCTGGGACACAGGAAACACATTATGTGTGGCCCTTAGAAACTTGGCCAAGGGGAGTGGGACCGGGCAGGAGGAGGGGGTGAGGTCAGAGTGGTCCAACTTGCTGGAGGCCTCAGGAAGACTTGTCTCTCTTTGGCCTGTGTCCTCCTCAGTGCAGATGTGGAACTCTGAGATCCCCTAAAGGCCTTTCAGGATGTGAAATGACTCTTGGATCTGGGGGAGGTGTGGTTTGCCTCCAGGCATTGGAAAGCTACAGGTCTTTTCAGGTTTCACCCTAGATTTCATGCCCACTGGGCCTTAAGGGGGCAGCCTTAAGCCTCCTCCTGGGAGCAGCATCCCCTTGCACGAGGAGCCCCCTGAGGCAGGGCTGAGTTTGTTCACAGCACAGCGGGCCACAGATGCTAAGCAAACCCTTTGCCAGTGTTTTCTAGCGCCAGATCAGCCAGGTAGGCTGTAGGCCCCTGCATTGGGAGATCTGCATCCCAAGGCCCCTGTGAGAGCAGGGCCATGTTGTCCACTCTGGGCGGGTCCTAGAGAGCCACACAGGGCCAGGTAGTGAAGGCCCCTCCCTGACTCTGCAAGACGTGATTTAATTGCTCTGTAAACTTACCTTTGAGGAAGACCTTGGGAGCTATTGCCTCTCCAGGCTGGAAACAACATTTAGAAGTTGAAATACCAGTTTCCAGTGTTTTGAGATGAGAAGAAAGGAGTCAAGAGGGAAGATTAGGGGAACAGGTGGTGCATGGAGCCTGGGGCAGCCTTGGCTGCTCAGGGCCTGTACCTGAACCATGGGGCAACTGAGTAAACAACTCTGTGAGGCTCTTTGTGGACCCAGAGATGACTCAGCCCCTCTCCACCCTGGAAGTGCTCCAGTCAGGTGGGGGTGGCCCCAGTACTGATGACTGGTAAGAGAAGGGAAGGTAGGGGCATGGGCTTTTCCAGGAAGGCTTCCTGAAAGGCTGGGGTTTAGATGAGGAGTTAGGGAAGGGCACTCTGCACAGGAGAAATGGCCCAAGCACAGTCTTGGAGGAGAAAAAGCTCTAGCAAAACCAGGGAAGGTGATGGCAGTTCTGAGGCAACTCACTTGACTGGCAGATGGGCATATGCCTAACATATAGGAGGATTCTGAAGGGCCAGGTCGGGGTAGATCTAGGAAGGCCCTGAAGGCCATGCTAAGATTGATCTTTATGCTGCAGGCCAAGAAGAACACTAATGGTCTATGAGTAGGGCAAAGGCAGAGTCATTCACTCGTTCACAAATCTTTATTGAGTACCTGCCATGTTCTAGGCACTGCTCTAGGTGCTGAAGATACTGCTCTTGATGGAGTACTACTGGCATGGAGCTTACATTTTAATGACCATGTGCTTGTGCTTTAATAACGATGTGCTGTGCGTATTAAACATTTCTGAATAGCATACCATTTAATCTTCACAGCAACTTACTATTATTATCCTTATTTTGCAGATAGGGAAACTGAGGCACAGAAGAAGTTAAGTGACTTGTCCATAGCCAGAGAACTACCAAGAGATAGAGCAAGACTTGAACTTAGCTCCCTGGCCAGACCCCTTGCTCTACACCATGAGGCTTCTCTGATCATATACTCCTTTTTGCCCCCAGAACCCACAGGCTAACTCCAGATCCCTCTAGGCCAGCCCCACCTTGGGCATCTGGGGGTGTGGGCCAGCTCAGTCTGGTCCCAGTGGCCCCAGAGCAGGGGTTGTCTGGGATAGTCCAGTATGTGAGAGGTACAGAGGGATGCTCTTTCAGAAGAGCAGTGGGGGGCTGCAGCCAGTGGGCTCAAGCAGCTGGGATGTGAGAGGGAGGAGCGCTTTCTACTACTGTCTTTGCCTGCATGGCCTAGTGAATGGCACCAAGAGGTGGGCAGGACCAGGGCATTCTCCCCATTTAACAAATGGCGCATCTGGCCCTGCTAAGGGCTCAACCTCTCCACACACAGCCTAAGGATAGCAAAGGGAAAACAGCATCCAACAGAGATGCCTGGAGAGAGGCTGGGAGGGTGCTCTCCTAGCCCCTACTAGTCTCCAGTCCCCTTCCAGTTCCTCCATGGCCCCAGAAGTCAGTCACATGAAGGGAAAAATGGGTGGTCTAGGGTCTTGGCAGGACTGGAGTTTGAAGAAGACTAGGCCTGAACAGACAGTAACCCCCCTCTCTGCTCTGTGAGGAGAGCAGAGCCTTTTTGGGCAGGAATAATTTTGGCTAGTGGCTCTGGGGTCACAGTGGAGGGGTGAGCTAGTTGGTGGGATAAGGGCATCCAGCCTAACAATCAGGATAAAGGATGCCAAGTTTTCTCAGTGACTTTGTCTGGGGAAGACAGTGGGATGGGGTGGAAAAGCAGAGCAGCTCAGGAATTAGTGTAGGAGGTGCTGAGCGAGGGGCCAAAGACCAGACCACCTGAGTTCAAAGCAACCACTTCCTACAGCTGGGAAGTAGGACCGTAACCAGTCACTCAACCTCCCTCCGCTTCAGTTGTCTCCTCTGTAAAATGGGAATAATAATTGTATCTTCCTTCTCAGGTTGTTTGAGAATCTCGAGAGAGTTAATGCCCTAGAGGATGCGTGCTATCTGGCACACTCAACACTAATAATTCCACTATAGCTATTCCATCTGTGGAGGATCATCTTATATGCTCAGCATACAGTACCTCTCCACTCACCTCTGAAGATAATGTAGGTATAGCACTTGGCACACTGCTTGGTACATAGTAGGTGCTCAGTAAATGTGGTTCTTATTAATGATGCTAATCCTCCAGCAGCCCTTCGGGGTGAGGGTGGGGACCACATCTTCCAAATGAAGCTCAGAACCCCACAGGGAGCCAGCTGATCTGGCGAGACTAAAAGCACATGCAAGGGTAGGCAGGGCATATTCTGGGACCTCATGGATGGCTGAGCCTTCCAGCCAGGGAGTGAGTAAGGGTAGAAGGGGAACCTTGTAGTCGATGCTAGGTCTGGGGAGAAGGAGGTACCTACCAGTCAGGGTCGGCTCGGTCATGGTGCAGGAGCAAACCTCATGTCTCAATGGCTTAATACAGGTCATTTCTTGCTCACATTGTAGATACGTACGTCAATGGCAGGTCATGTGGGGGCTTTCTGTCTCCTGTACTCCGTGATTCTGGTTCACAGCACGGACACCATGTCACAGTTGCCAGTTGCTATTGCAGAGGGACCAAGAGCGCTAGGTCTGCACTGTCTGGTACACAGCTACTAGCCTTGTGTGGCTATTTAGATTTAAATGAGTGAAAATTAAGTACCATTTAAAATCCAGCTACTCAGTCACACTAGACACATTCCCAGTGCTCAATAGCTATGTGCAGTTAGTAGCTACCATGTGGGACGGTGCAGCTGTAGGGCATTTCCATCATCACAGAAAATTCTACTGGACGGCACCCTTCTAAACAAAGTGTCTTGCCACCCGTTGGGCACCCCTGCCCAGAACCGACATGCACCCTTCTTTTTTGTAACTTGCACAAGGGCCAGGAAGTGCAGTCCTACTATGTGCCCACAAGGTGGGAAGAATCAGAAGCATTTAGAGAATGAATTACCACCAAAGATTGGATCCTGAGTCAGATTTTGGGTCAGAGCAGAAGGGGAGAACTTGAGAGACCACTGAGGCAGGCAGAGGGCAGTTGAGGGGGAACTCGAGCTGGTACGTGTGCCCTGTAACCTGTTTCCCAACCCCAGGCCTTGACCCCGCCCAGAAAAATGCCCTAATACAGTGGCCTAGAGGCTACATGCCTGACAGGAGGAGGGGTTAGGGAGATAGTAGGAGGGATTCAGCTGAGAATTATGGAAAAACTCTTCCTTTAGTCAGAAACCCTGAAGACATGCACAGAGATGAGGGATTTAGAAGGCTCTCCTGAGTAGAGCATGGCAGGTGGAGGCCGACGTGGGCCTTGAGGTTGGAACTGTTCTGTGCCAAGGCTGGTGCATGACAGAGATGATCTCTAAGGACCCTGCTCCAATGGAGAATTGGCCCAGAAACCAGGTCTGGCCCTCCCCCTGCCTTTCCTGTTCGCTTCAGCTAAATAGATCAGAAGGAAAAAGTCTGTTTGATTTTAATCTCAATGCAGGACATTGAAGATTACATTTTCCACGGAAAATGTCAGCTGTTGCCTAAAATAGGACTAGGGAGAAAATGCTAGAAGGTGTATTTTTAGGTTATATGTTTTCCTCCTGAATTCCTGCAGTCCAGTGGGCTGCTTGATACTCTCCATGGTTCAGCTGCCAGGTGCCCTAGATCTTCCAAACAGGTGGTCTGGGGAGAGGGCTCCCTCAGGAAAAATGTGTGTGGGTACTCAAGCTAAAAACAGGTAGACAGATAAAAGGACTTGTGTCAAGAAGGCGGAAGAGAGAGAGCCAGCCTGGGGTACAGGCTCAGAATCTGCATTGCTGACATGCTTCCAGGTGATGCCAATGCTGCTGGTCTAGAGACTATACTGTGAGGAGCAGGGCTCAGGTGGGCTCAGTCTGAGAGGAGCCTCAGACAGGCCTCCGCAGGGCCTGAGCTCAGCCTGTGGAGGGATCCACAGGATCCCTATGGAATCCACCCCTTGAGGTCTAGGTCCTGCCCCTTCCTGTAGACCAGTCTACTTGCTGTGTGACCTTGTTCAAGTCATTTTCCACTCTGGATCTCTGTTCTTGCACGTGTGAAACAGGGTGAGTGTTCCTACCCTGTCACCCCTTTGTGACACCCCTTTGTGCGTTGGGAAGATTCAAAGACTTCAGATACCATGGCAGCCAGCTCTACCTGGAATGAAAGGTGGCTTCAGGAAATGTAGGAGACAAAAATAGAGCTTGTAAAGTGACAGCAGGTCCTGGTGGTATATGGGAACATCACTGGTCTCAGACTGGGTATGTGGGATGGGCCTTGCCCAGAGTGGAAGAGGGTCTGGGAGGGAACAGTTGAGACTCAACCTCTAGGAACTGAACCATGGCAGGCTTCTGCACTGCCTGGGATGCTGACTGCTGAGGTTGTGTCCAAGGGATCCCCCTGGTAGGGGGGGTTCAGCGGGCTGGCCGTGCTGCAGACTTTATCTCGGTGCTCCCAGAGGGGCAGGTATGTCAGAGGTAGCCTGAGCCCATGTTCTCAATTTGAGGGAGGGACTCCCTTGCCATGGCCATGAGGGACATTGAATAGGGTCATGCAGCCATCTGACAAAGAGTGCAGGGGAGCTAATAACTCAGTGGTGACCTCCAGGGTCCCTTCTCTAGTTTGCTCTGTTTCTCCTCTGTGCATGGGAGAGGGTCTAGAAGGACCCTCCTGGTTCTGATCTTGTCCCCAGGTGAGCTAGGCCATCCAGATCTTCCTTAACCAGAGTGGAGTGAAGTGAGTGGAGGAATGGAAGCCTCTGGACTCAGATCATCCATTCTGTGACCTCAGAGAGCTGTGAGGACCTGTCTAGACACTCATATTGGCCTGGGTAGGCACAGTGGGAGGGACTGCTGAGATTCCTCCTTGGTCCCACTGCATAACTCAATTATCTCTTGTCTCCTCATGGCTCCTGTGACTGCCTGGATCCCGCAGAGCTCCCAACTGAGGAAGGTGAGGCTTGGGCCAGGGTGGGCTGCAAGGCTACCAGGAAGCAGCATCCTTGGGCCATTCACTTTTAGGTTATATCCTTCTCTCTCCTCAGCAGAATGAGGCTTTGCTGAGCCCCCCAGTATCACCCACCTGTGCCTCTACTGCCTCAGCCTCTTGCTCTTTGGATGGGAGGGAGGGAGTGGGCCAGGTGGTCTCGGAGGTGATCCCAGCCCCAGATGGGGGCAGGCCAGTTGGTAAAGGACCCAGGCTTCACATGGTGCTCTGTTTCTCAGGGAAGTCCCTGTGGGAGCTGGTGCTGGAACAGTTTGAGGACCTCCTGGTGCGCATCCTGCTGTTGGCTGCTCTGGTCTCCTTTGTAAGTAAGGCCCCTATCCCACAGCATCAGGCAGCCGGGAAGGGAGAGCCAGGTTAGGGCAGTGCTCAGAGGTCCAGGCTCTGAACCACAGGTCTATCCTCTTAGCCAGGGACATCCCTGGGCCCCTACCCACCCCCTGCCTTGCTCAGGCTTCAGCTTCCCTTGCCCGAACCCCCAAGGCCCGCCCTCTACATGCTGGACTCCCTGCTCCCATCTGCCTCCTCTACTCTGGCTATCAGGGTGAGCTTCCAGAAGCACAGGTCTGACCCCACCCCTCCCTGTCTTAGGACAAGGTTTCTCAGCCACAGGACTATTGACATTTTGGACCAGATAATTCTTGGTATGGAGGCTGTCCTATACTAGAGAATATTTAACAGCCTCCCTGACTTCTACCCACCAATGCCCGTGGTTGTGGCAATAAAAGTCTCCAGATGTTGCCAAATTGTCCCTCATGGAGGGACAAGTTCCTTCCATGTCTCCTAGTGCCCCACAGAATAATTTGGACTTTATCCTCTTACAGATTGTCTGTGGCTGCTCTCCTTTTGCTCTCTCCCCATTCTTACTGCCTGAAGCCCCCCTAGACCTGCAGGGCCATGGTGGAGCCATGGGAGGGGGGGATGATAGTTGTCACTGGTGGCTGAACAGCAGAAATCCAAGGGCAATGCAGGGAAATGTCCGTCCTGAGGGTAGACACAGCTCCTTCTCTTGGCCCTGTACCCAGCAACTCCTCCTGGGGAGGAGGCCTCATGTGGGTGACATGGAGTACAGGGCAGCAGGGGTCCCAGCCAGCTGTGTCTGGCCCTCCTGGCCACTGTTCTTATGGGAACTGAGGACTCTCATGGAGAAAAAAAGCCTATCGGTACAGGCACCTTACAATAGCTGAGCCAGAGCCAAAATGATGCTGGTTCCCCTCAACAATTCAGATGGACACACTGAGACCTGTGGAGGGGAGTGACAAGTACCCACTTGGGCCAAGAGGTGGGAACAGGGCTTTAACCAGGTGTTCTGTCTCAGGCCTGGGCTCTGGCTGTAATTATGCTGCTGTGGTCAGTGGACTTCCAGCACAAGCCTGTAACAAGATCGCCCGGGTTTGTTACCACATAGACTCCGGGCCTCAGCCCAGAGTTTCTGACTCAGGAAGGACTGGGGTGGACCCTGAGAATCGCAGTTCTGACAAAGCTCCCGGGTGATCCTCCTGTTGCTAGTCTGGCATCCCCTTGGAAAACCACAGCTAGGCAGATAGTGAGACGTCTAGCCGGCAGCTTTCCAACTGCCCCACATCCTGAGAGTTGGCTGGGTGGGACGTGGGCTGTGGCAGACACTACCTGCAGATAAGCCAAGGCCTCGAACAGCCTTCTCCAAACCCCGGGCTCCCCAGGGGAATCTCTCCCAAAGCAGGAGACAGCAGACCCAGGGTATGAAGGAAATGGTGAGCAGATCCTGGCCCACAGCCTAGCCTCAACTCAGCTCTAACTCCATAGGTCCTGGCCTGGTTTGAGGAGGGTGAAGAGACCACAACAGCCTTCGTGGAGCCCCTGGTCATCATGCTGATCCTCGTGGCCAATGCCATCGTGGGCGTATGGCAGGTGGGAGGCGTGGAAGTGGGCCTGGGCCCTTGGGTCTCCCAGCTGCTACATGTTACTGCCACTTGGTGGTAGAGTCCTACAGGTCCTGTGTCTAGCTCCATCCCAGGCCCCAGGGATGTCATTACAAGGGGTCAGCCTGCGAGGGCCAGTGGGGCCAGACTACCTCCCTACCTCATGTCCTGCAGGAGCGCAATGCTGAGAGTGCCATCGAGGCCTTGAAGGAGTATGAGCCTGAGATGGGCAAGGTGATCCGCTCAGACCGCAAAGGTGTGCAGAGGATCCGCGCCCGGGACATCGTCCCTGGAGACATTGTGGAGGTGGCAGGTACACTGGCGGCCTCTTTTCATTATGTGATGCTGGTGAGCCCATCCCTGTCTGTGCCCCCATCTTTCTGGCTGTGTGCACAGAGCAGGTGGCTATCAGATTCTTCCAAATCTCTTCAGCCAAAACCTTGTTGGACAGCTAAGGAGACTGGGCCAGGGAGCAGCATCTCTCAGGGATCACAGCTCACCTGCCTTTCAGCCCTACCCCTGGTTCCTGGCAGCCCTTCTGGCTTTGCCAGGGGCTGGTACCCAAAGCCACATTCAGCCACTCTCTCTCCACAGTGGGAGACAAAGTACCGGCTGACCTCCGCCTCATCGAGATCAAGTCTACCACACTGAGAGTGGACCAGTCCATCCTGACAGGTGAGGCCCAGAGGCTATGGCTGAGCAGGGCTTACTTAAGTCCAGGGAGGCGAGTGTCTTCATGTGGGGCTTCTCATTTCTGATTCCATTACCAGGTGAATCCGTGTCTGTGACCAAGCATACAGATGCCATCCTAGATCCCAGAGCTGTGAACCAGGACAAAAAGAATATGCTCTTCTCTGTAAGTTCCTGGGATGGCTGGAGCCTTTGTCTGGACACTGATAATAAAAACTTTAGTATTTAATCAGTCAAAGCCCTACAAGAAAGAACCTCATCAATTATTGACAATAGGTACAAATTTATAGTACTGGTAATAGCTTATGTTTACTGAAGGCTGTGTGTATTTAATCCTCACAGTGCTTTTGAAGTAAGTACTCTTGTTGTTACTTGCATTTTCCAGCAAGGAAACAGACACAGAGAGGTTAAATAAACTGCCCAAGGTCACACAGCCAGCAAATGGTTGAGCTGGGATGTGAACTCAGACATTCTGACTACAGAGCTGTTCCTCTTATCCAGCTTTAATCTAAAGAGGGGCAAAGCTAGCCTATAATCACTCAGTGGAGAATTATGTAGAGATAAGCGTGTTGCCAAAGTGGTGGAGGATGGCAGAAATAGTCCATTTCTCAGATGGGAAAATTGACCCCTCAGTCAAGATGTCAGGGCCCAATGGCTCTTTTTAGAACGAGTGGTGGACTCAGCCCTGGTGGGAATGATAGTCCCCTGTGGCCTCAGAGGGACTTGACCATCGATGCTTATAGGCTGCTCAGAAATAGCCTGAAGCTGAACACAGAAGCCACCAAGATGGGTCAGGCCATATGGCCATGGCCCAGGACACCAAGTTATAAGGCTAAAAAATCTGCCCAGAAGTGAACAGAAACAGAGAATGCAATATTCACCCAGAGCTCTTAAGGAGAGCACCCTGCCTGGATGCCTGGAAGCCTTGGACAGGCTGCTCTGAAGTGGGGAGGGGACTCTACAGGGCATGCTCAAGCCCTGTATGCTCAGCAGCTGTCACTAAGCATCTTTCTAAGGAAGATGCTCTGGCTGACTGCAAGTCATTTCCTTAGCTGAGGGGCCTACAAGTGGGTGAAGGCCTGGGGGAGTGGAAGTCACACTGCTCACGACAAAAGAAGAGAAGCTGAGGTTGTCCCTGACACCTACCGTTTCTCCAGCCTCAGCACAGGGCTCCCGTCTGAAGGGGTGCCAGGTTATTAGCCTCCTCGGAGCAGCTCTTTGGTTGAACCGTCATGTAGAAGAGGACACAGAAGCTCAAGGATAGCTAGGACTCAGGGATTTTACCAGGGCCTTCGGGGTAGATGGACTTAAACTCAAGTTAACTGGATTCTTCAGTAAATATTTACAAATTACTTACCTAGGAGCGCAGTCAGCCTGGCACTCAGGCGGGGGGCCACCTTGGTTTTTTTATACATCGCATTTTGATGCGTTGGTGTCCTGCTGTGCTGGCTCATCACATTGTCAGTACTGGTCTAGCGCTTCCTGTGCGGCCACGCAGGTGCTAAACCAAGTCCTTGCCTTCCCAGAGCTAACACTGTCATGGGGAGGGCAGCAGAAGCCCAGTACTGCGTAGCTGCCCAAGTCTGGGAGGACTAAGTGACGTGGAGCAAAAGAAAGCCAAGTAGGGGGACAGGAGCCTTACCCTAGCCCCAAGGAGTCAGGGGTGCCGGGCCCCAGCCGGGATGCTAAGCGGCCCTGCTGGTGTCTCCCTCCGCCAGGGCACCAATATCGCAGCAGGCAAGGCCCTGGGTGTGGCAGTGACCACAGGCCTGCACACAGAGCTGGGTAAGATCCGGAGCCAGATGGCGGCAGTGGAGCCAGACCGGACGCCGCTGCAGCAGAAACTAGATGAGTTTGGACGGCAGCTGTCCCACGCCATCTCTGTGATCTGTGTGGCGGTGTGGCTCATCAACATTGGCCACTTTGCGGACCCAGCCCATGGCGGCTCCTGGGTGCGTGGTGCTGTCTACTACTTCAAGATTGCCGTGGCCCTGGCTGTGGCTGCCATCCCTGAGGGCCTCCCAGCTGTTATCACTACGTGCCTGGCTCTGGGCACACGGCGCATGGCGCGCAAGAATGCCATCGTGCGGAGCCTGCCTTCCGTGGAGACCCTGGGCTGCACCTCTGTCATCTGCTCTGACAAGACAGGCACGCTCACCACCAATCAGATGTCTGTTTGCCGGGTGAGTAGCGACAGGCCACTTGGGGTCGCACTGGTGTTGCTGTGTGACGCTCAGCAGTCTGAAGTCCCTCTTTGGCCCCCTGACTCCTTTTTGGCAGAGGATGGAGGAGAGAGCCTGTGGGCTGTCCTGCAGGAGGGAGCAGACCCAGGTTTTCATGGGGCAGAGCAGCAAAGTCTGGCTGGATATGTGTCACTAGGACCCACATGTCACTGTAGGGGCCTGGCAGGGCATAGCCTGTCTGTGAACCTCAGTTTCTTCATCTGAAATTTGGGTATGCAAGCTTTGATAGACAACCATAAGGAACACGGCAGAGGGTCACGTACAGCCTTGGCATCTGAGCCAAGCTGGGCCTGGACCCAGCCAGGTTCTGTCCAGCTCCATGGTGACTCTGCAGTAGATGCCTGTCACCAGATATGCCAGCTCCAGTGACCTGGGAAGGGCCAGGGTGGGAATTATTCATTTCCTGGCACACAATCCCAGATCCTGGGCCTGTTGCCCACATGCTCTGGGGATTCTGGCTGAAACTCCAGCAGACCCAGGGGGCGGAGGGGTGCGTGGGGTAATGGCAAAGGCTGTGGGTGTCCCACCCCTCTCAAAATCTCCCATGGCTCTTCCCCCATCTCTGCTCCCATAATCTGCCCATTGGGAAACTCGGACTCTGTATCTAAAGCCTTGAAGCCTGTTAGAGGCTGCCACAAGGGAAGGGGCGCCAGCAAGCTTTACATCTTCTGGCCCCTGACCTCTAAAATCTCTAGGAGGACTTCATTTGAACAGAATATTCCTTAACTGAAATAAATATTTGAAAAACACACTCTAGGGAAGTTGTAGAGGTCTTACCTGCTGGATAGGGGGCTGAGAAATTTGACTTCTCGGGAGCTATGCTGGCTGGAGGGCTGCTCTTGAGAGCAGGGAGGGGAGCACAAAGGAAGGGACATTTGTTGAGCACCTACTGGGTGCTGAGCCAGCCATTGGCTTGGGAATGTGCAGCAGGGCAATTTCTAGAAAGCAGGAACTGTCTCCTTGGCAAAGCTGGCTGACAGGCAAGAAAATGGGCTATTTATTCTGGGAGGGATAAACCCCCTGACCCTGAGGTGCACAGGTAGGGGCTGGGTGACCCAGCAGGCCCCGTAGCCAAGAGCTCACTGTCCAGGAACACCTTTGGGCAGGAAGGTTTGTGCCCCAGAGCAGTGTGGGGGTTCCTACCCTTGGAGGCCAGGAACTCATTCTTTCAAGGGGAAAAGAGGGGCAGCTATACTCCGATCCCACTCTCTTCTCATGCTACCAGCAGAGAAACTAACGCTCAGGTGCTCAGCCAGGAGTCATGTAACAAAATGGGCAAGGACCCAGGCTTCTTGCCCCATGTCAGGGCTCTATCCAGAACACTGCAGAATCTGCCATATACCCCTCAGGGGTCCAGGGCCGAGGCCCTACCTCAACTAGAACCCTACTCTTACATTGCACCTCCCAGACTTTGGCAGGAGGGAAGGGCAGTGGCTTCTCTGGGGGCCCAGAGGACCCCACCCTGGGGTCAGGCTTTATTCAGACTGGCTGCCCAAAGAGGGAAGAGGTGAGGGCTTGCTTAAACATGCCTCTGCACTCCCCAGATGTTCGTGGTAGCTGAAGCTGAAGCCGAAGCAGGCTCCTGCCGTTTGCACGAGTTCACCATCTCAGGCACCACCTATGCTCCGGAGGGCGAAGTGTAAGTGCTGGACCAGGGTGGGTGCAGGTGGGTGGCGTTTCCTGGTGGGCTGGGCAACACGGGACAGCTCTGAGAGTTGTCAGTGGGTGAGGCTTCCTGGGGTGGGATCAAGAGGCTGTGCACCTCCCAGGGATGGGGCCAAATGCCCTGTACCAAGACCCAGCCCCACAGGAGGCAGGCGGAGCAGCTTGTGCGCTGTGGGCAGTTCGATGGGCTGGTGGAACTGGCGACAATCTGTGCCCTGTGCAATGACTCAGCGCTGGACTACAATGAGGTGGGACCCAACTCTCTTTTGTGACCTTACCAGTGTACAGGTGCCCAGGACAGACCCTTCTCCCACGGTCTCAAAACTCCCAGGATTGGCAGTCCCTGCCCCTTTGGAGTGCCACGCATCAGGAACACTGCCACCCTTGCACACCGTGCCACTGCTTTCTCAGACTGGCTTTGGAACCATGCCCTAGGGCTCTTGGGCTGTGCAGGGCTATAATGTAAGGGACTGTAGTGCCAGAGTGTCTGGAAGAAATTTGGGAAGCAAATTTAGGAAGGACTAGGGAAGGTGTTTAAAGTAGAAGACGCACCCCAGAAATAGGCCCACAAGTCATAACAGCCTGATGTGATATAGGCGCTGAATGCCCTTACCTGCTACTAGAGCTACGGAACGGACCATGGGACCAAATCAGGTCCTATCACAAATGGAGGGTAGACAGACACCAGAGGGTTGGTTTCTTTTTTTAAAGATTTTATTTATCCATTCATGAGAGACACAGAGAAAGGCAGAGACACAGGCAGAGGGAGAAGCAGGCTCCATGCAGGGAGCCCGATGTGGGACTCGATCCCGGGTCTCCAGGATCACGCCCTGGGCTGAAGGCAGATGCTCAACCGCTGAGCCACCCAAAGGGTGCCCTGACACCAGAGGGTTTTGAGCAGGAGATAGGATCAGATTTGTGTTTACAAAGGATCCCCTAGGCTTCTATGTGGAGGATGGGACAGACAGGGTAAGACTTGAGTGGTCCTCCAGGTCAGAGTGTTGCTGGCTGGGGGTTCAGAGTAAGGGAAGAAAGCATGGATTAGAGATTTTGGATGAGACTTGGTGACTGCTTAGGTGAAAGAGCTGGAGGGTACCTCCTGGCTGCTGTCCCAGTGGGGACTGTCCTTGGAGTGGCAAAACCAGGGAAGGGGAAGTGGCCTGAGGATCACTAAGGAACCAGGTCCCACAGGCAGTCATCCGAGATGTGGGCTTGGAGCTCAGGGGACCAGTCACTGCCTGGCTGGGCACTGGACATCAAACACATGAAAGGTGGGGGGAGGGGTCAGCCTCTGGGGGAGGAGGTAGGAGAGAGGGCAGGGCCTAGACAGCAGAGATTAGAAGGAAGAATCTGTGGAAGGAGGCTGAGGTGGGTGGCAGGGAGGGTGCGTGTTCACTGATATCAGAGGGAGGGGAAGTATTGGTGCCAGACACTACCCAGCCCCCAAGTCAGCTGGACTCGGAAGGGCCCTACAGGCCTGCTGCAAAGGAGATTGAAGGTGACTCCAGTAAAGGGAGCTCCGGGGGGTCAGGGAATGAGTGGGAGGGGAGTCTGGGGCTCCACTAGAGGCTGCCCTGCTCCTCACACCCTGCACTCCTGGCCCCACCAGGCTAAGGGCGTGTATGAGAAGGTGGGAGAGGCCACGGAGACGGCTCTGACTTGCCTGGTGGAGAAAATGAATGTGTTTGACACCAACCTACAGACCCTGTCCCCAGTGGAGCGAGCCAGTGCCTGCAATGCGGTGAGCAGGCCTCTTAGCTGGGGCTTCTGGCCCTCTAGAGAAGAGGGGAGGACAAGGTGTTGGGACGCTTCTGGGAGGAGGAGGGGCCTCAGACTCTAGGGAGACTTGGCTAGAGAGAAAAGAGAAGAGAAGACTGAGTGTAGGGGAGGACCCAGATTTGGGAAGTGCACAGCGGCATCAGAAGTGGCAACCTTTTGTCATTTCTCTGGCTGGAGAGGGAGATGGGGGCTTTGAATGTCAGGTTCAGAGGAAGATAGACACCATCCCACAGGGAGTGAGAGGCTTCTCATGGGATCAAGCAGCTGGAAAGAAAGCAGCGAGTTGCTGGCTGCGTCTGTTCATGTCCTGACCCTCCTGAGCCCCCTAGGTCATCAAGCAGCTGATGCGAAAGGAGTTTACTCTGGAGTTCTCCCGAGACCGGAAGTCCATGTCGGTGTACTGCACACCCACTAGCCCTGGCCCGGCAGCCCAGGGCAGCAAGATGTTTGTGAAGGTGGGGCCTGCCTAACTGCCCGGGGGCTTCTGTACGTGTGAGGGCCCTGGGAGATCTGACCTTCAATCTTCTGAAGAGCTAGTGACAGCGACTGTGGAGACTAAGGGAGGTGTGAGGCCCACTGTCAAAGCAGCGAATCAGGAACTAGGGTGGTTGCCTGCCATGGGGAACTGGGAGCAGGATCCAGTCTTGGTGGAGACAAAGCCAGGGCCAGATGCCAAGGCCTGCCGCTCATCACAGTCCCAGCTCTGGGCTGAGAGACACTGCCTTGCCACATAACCTTGGGGTCACCTCTGCTCCTCCATGGGCCCCAGTCTCTCCATCTGAATGTCAATGTCAAACTGGGAGGTCTCGGAGGCCTTTCACCTCTGATGGGGGGTACTGAGGTGGTTGATGCCCATCTTTGGTGCTTCATGTTCTGGAAACTGAGTCCTAGGTAGGGAAGCCTCCCATCCAGACTTCTGCCCATCATGCCTGTCACTGCTTTTCAACCTGAAGTAGGAATGACAGCCCTAACTTCTTACTGAAGTGAAGGTTTTAATCCTTTTTGAAATGAAAAAGTTTCCGTATTGGGATCTTAGACCACTTTGAAAACAGCATTTGGAGTGCCCTTTGGGAAGAGGGGAAAAGGATTGGTGGAGGGTTCAGAAGCTATTCCCAGGCCTGGGGCAAGACCCAACGTGAGGCCTCAAGGCTACTGAGGAGTCTGTTACCCAAGAACACCTTCCCAGAGCCACACCCTCAGCATGGCTCTATTTGTGTTCCCCAGGCAGGGCTCATACTGCTCCCCATTGCTGAGCCCTCTACAGAATTGGGATCCCAGTAGCACCAAGTTGGGAGGGAAGCAGGACATGTAGGAGGCCTGCCAGTCCTGTCCCCCTCCTCCCCAAATGCTGCAGCAGACTTTCTCAGCTTTGGGGTGCCACACCATGGGCAGCCCCAACCCCCCCCCATTCTTTTTGGGTATTCTCACGGCAAGGCCCATGTGGTTCCCACTCTGAGCTCTCAGAGAATGGAATCTGGTACATATCTTGCTTTGTGTCCCTTTGGACGGCCTTTCACCTTTTCTAGCCATCAACCATCCTCAGGTAGGCAAGAGGAGGAAGCAAGGGCTCCTAACTGACAGAGCTGCTTCTGCCCTCCCCCATGATGCAGGGGGCTCCTGAGAGTGTCATCGAGCGCTGCAGCTCAGTCCGAGTGGGGAGCCACAGAGTACCCCTGAATGCCACCTCCAGGGAGCAGATCCTGGCCAAGATCCGGGATTGGGGCTCAGGCTCAGACACGTTGCGCTGCCTGGCGCTGGCCACCCGGGATGCACCCCCCAGGAAGGAGGACATGCAGCTGGACGACTGCAGCAAGTTTGTGGAGTACGAGGTGGGTGCCAGGGTAGAGCCCCGGGGCCGGGAGCTATGTGTCTCCCTGCAGAGGCTGGGCAGGTAACAGGTTGAGCACGGGCCCAGGCCCCACTTGCATCTGCCCCCTCCCTACAGATGGACCTGACTTTCGTGGGCTGCGTGGGCATGCTGGACCCTCCAAGGCCTGAGGTGGCTGCTTGCATCGCACGCTGCCACCGGGCTGGCATCCGTGTGGTCATGATCACAGGCGACAACAAAGCCACGGCTGTGGCCATCTGCCGCCGCCTTGGCATATTCAGAGACGCAGAGGATGTGGTGAGCAAGGCCTACACGGGGCGCGAATTCGATGACCTCAGCCCCGAGCAGCAGCGCCATGCCTGCCGCACAGCGTGCTGTTTTGCCCGTGTGGAACCTGCACACAAGTCCCGAATTGTAGAGAACCTGCAGTCCTTTAACGAGGTCACCGCCATGGTGAGGCCACATGCTGGGAGCCTAGTGGAGGTGGTGAGGCGTTGGGGGACCTCTGACCAGAGAGCTTGGAAAGCAACCGATACAACCCCTGCCTCTTCTTCATTCTTGGGTTTTCCAACAGTTTATTACAAAAAAATCTCAAACACAAAAATGAAGATAGGTTTATAGTAAAACCTGTAACGTCTATGATCTGGATTCTACCAGTAGTATTCTGTTTGCTTTGCGCATACCTATCCATCTATCCATCCTTAATCCATCTTTTCTTAAATAAATTTCAAAGTAGGCTGCAGACATCAGCACACTTCTCCCTCACATAGTTAGAATGCATACTATAGAGAGCAGCATTCCTTTGTGCTTCTATTTTTTTTCCTTTTAGAGGAAAAAGTTACATGCAGTGAAATGCATAAGTCTTAAACATATCGTTCATTTGATGTGTTTTGATAAGTACAGACACACTTTTGCATGTCATCCAAACCCTTATCAAGATAAGGAACATTAAATTGAACACCAATAAAAAATTAATTTATATATAAAAAAAAGATAAGGAACATTACGGGCAGCCCCGGTGGCTCAGCAGTTTAGCGCTGCCTGCAGCCTGGGGTGTGATCCTGGAGTCCCTGGATCGAGTCCCATGTCAGGCTCCCTACATGGAGCCTGCTTCTCCCTCTGACTGTGTCTCTGCCTCTCTCTGTCTCTATGAATAAATAAAATCTTTAAAAAAAGATAAGGAACATTACTATGGACCCATGAAGTTCCTTCATGTACCTTCCCCATCAGGCCCCTCTCCCACAACAGGCCATTTTTCTACCACAGATTGCCTGTCCTAGATTTTCATATGAATGGGAGCATACAGTTATGTATACTCTTGTGTCTGGCTTCTTTCTTTTAAAATTTATCGATGTTGTTTTGGGTATTAGTAGATGATTGCTTTTTTATCACTAAGTAGCATTCTACTATGTAAATATAACCATAGTTAATCCATTCACCTTTGGATGGACATTTTGTTTGGGCCATTTTTTGTTTTGTCTCATTCTTGATTACAGATCTATTCACCAACGCTAATCTGATTCTTGACCCCAGTCTCACTCCTGACCTGGCTTCCGTTAACCTCTAGCCCCCAGTCCTTCACCTTGACTTTAATATTAACCTGTGGACCAGTCTTGACCTTGATATGGAGCTAGGCACCAATCTTGACTTGACTACAATTGTAACCTGGTTCTTGACTTTATTTTTGACCTGTGTTGACTTGGTTCCTGACCTTCAACTTGACCATCTTAATTTGATCTTTACTTTGAGCTCAACCCTGTTAGGGGCTGCAGTCTTGACCTGAACCCTGACCTGATGCTTCGCATTGACCTTGACACCTAACCCAATACTTTATGTAGACCTCAACTTCATCTGGCCCCTAATCTTGACCTTGACTGCAACTCCAACCTTGATTAAGACCTTACTCCTGATGTGGATTATAACCTTGATTTGGCCTCTGACTTTGACCTGACCTTTACCTAAGTCTAATTTTTAAATTTTGAGCCTGAGTCCAGTGTTGACCGTGACCTTCACCCTGGCTCCAACCTTTACCTTAACTATAACACCTGCCTGGTCCTTTACCTGAGCCATCACCTTGGTCTCATCCCTGACTTAACCTAACTTTGCCCCTAACCCCTATTCTGCATCCAATCTGAATTTCATCTCCACCATCATCAGTGACCCTTCCACCCTCTTCCCAAGTCCACATCACCATCTTCCCTGACCTTCAACTTATTCTTCTCTTCAAATTTGTCCGTGTCTGCAACCCTTTCTTCCCCTTAGCTTCATCCCCAGCCCAGTCTCTAAGTTCATTCTCAACCTCACCATTTGTTCTGTTCACCTGTCTGCTTTCCTGGGGACATCCTCTGATCTTGGGGTGGGGGGGAGTCAAGGAAGAGGAAGTGAAGTTTCTTAGGCATGATCCTTCCTAACTTGGCCCTTAGACTGGAGATGGGGTGAATGATGCCCCAGCTCTGAAGAAAGCAGAAATTGGCATTGCCATGGGCTCTGGTACAGCTGTAGCCAAGTCAGCAGCCGAGATGGTGCTGTCAGATGACAACTTTGCCTCCATCGTGGCTGCAGTGGAGGAGGGCCGGGCCATCTACAACAACATGAAGCAATTCATCCGCTACCTCATCTCTTCCAATGTAGGCGAGGTTGTCTGGTGAGGCCCTTTATTTCTTCTTCCCAGCCCTCTGGACCAGCTCTAGGTCATTAAGGGAAACGCCTGTTCCTGTGATGGGTCTGTAGGGATAGAGGGATACATGCCTTGCCCTGGCTGGAGACTCCTAGGGTCTTGCCTCAAGGAGGGCAGGGGCAGGAGCACCTCATCAATCCTCCTTTGATGTACCCCAGTCCCCAAAGAGGTGCCTAAAAAGTCTACTGTCATCCCTCTAACTGTAACTCCTACATTTAGAGTTGGCAAGACAGGACAGCCAACCCCACTTTTGGGCAGTAATGTGCTCACGTGTGTATGTGAATGTGAGCACACGGTTACGTGTGAACGTGGTGTGTGTACCCGAATGGAAGTTATGTGGACACACGCGCATCTTTGGGCATAGGTATAAGCACGGAGGGCTTGTGCCAGGGTGTGATTTGTACCCACTTCGGTTCACGTGTGAGAGATGCCCATGGGGGATGGTGAGCAGGTGCCTTCCTGGACACCTGGAACTCTGCCATCTCCGCCTGTCCGGGCAGGCACGTGGGTGTTTATTTGTGTTTGTGCGACTGTGGGGCCTGTGCTAAGCCTTGCTCCTGGCTGTAAACAATGTGTATGTACCCAGTATGCGTTGTCCACATGTGTACATGCCCTAGAAAGGAGTTAACGGCCTAACAGGAGAGGCCTGGAGAGCAGATTTGCCCAGGCTCCAGAGCTGAGACAGGGGTGGGAGGTGGGGGTGGGGGACAGGAGTGGCCCAGTGGGAGCCAGAGTCATGTACACACAAGTCTCACATGCGTAAGAACTAGCAAAGTGATATGGGGCTCCTGTGGTCATGGCAGGTGAGCTTCCCAGCCTGGGGTATGAGTAGGAGCTAGACCCTCCAGTTGCTGGGGACTAGAGCCTATGACTCTGGTTCCAGCATCTTCCTCACGGCAATTCTGGGCCTCCCGGAAGCCCTGATCCCCGTGCAGCTGCTCTGGGTGAACCTGGTGACAGATGGCCTACCTGCCACAGCCCTGGGCTTCAACCCACCAGACCTGGACATCATGGAAAAGCTGCCGAGGAACCCTCATGAGGCCCTTATCAGTGGCTGGCTCTTTTTTCGATATCTGGCTATTGGAGGTGAGTGGGGTCCTTGGTCGGGTTTCAGGAGCTTCCTGAGAGCTTCTATCAGTTAGGCTTGCAAACTATAGACAATATGACTGAGCCTGGCTTATGCCAAAAGAAACTGTGGACTCATCTAATGGGAAAGACTAGATCAAGCCTCAGGCATGGCTGGATCCAGGCCTTGGTGTATTTTGGCTGTGCCTCAGCTCCATTCTCAGGCAGGTGCCCCTTGGAGTAGAATGATGGCTGCTGCAGCTGTAGCCCTCATGTTTACTCCAATACAATCCCAAATTCAACAGAAGAGAGAGCTATCTATCCCTCAGTAATATGATAAAAGCCTCAGACCTGTTTTTGGCCCCATTGGGTCACCTCCTTATCTCCTAGCCAATCACCACAGCTAGGGGTGTGGCAGATGCTGGTTGCCAATCAAGACCCACCACTGTTACTATGGATGGGTTCTGCAAACCACAGGGCTCAGAAAGGGAGAGAGTGGTTCCCTGACAAATTTGAGGGATTGTTAGGAAGGAGAAATGGATTACAGAACACCACAGCCATCCACTATAGCCAGCTTCCTCCTGCCCTCCTTGCAGTGTACGTAGGCCTGGCCACAGTGGCTGCCGCCACCTGGTGGTTCCTATATGATGCCGAGGGACCTCACGTCACCTTCTACCAACTGGTAAGCAAGGACGGCCAGGGACCTTGTTGGGGTTATTCCTGAGGTAGAACTCACAACCCAAGCAGTTGTTGGAGTTCCAGGGAGAAGGGGTCCAGAACCTTGTGGTTGGCCAATGGCTGTGCCTCCCTACCCCTATACGCATACATGGACACCCATCATCTAAGGAGCCAAGCTCAGAAGCCACTGGAAACCTAGAGATAGCAGCCCAACTCCTGAGCCAGAGAAGTCGTTAGTCCTCCTCCCAGTCATTTGGTTAGGGGGCTACCAAGGGGCATGACCCTAGTCAGGGGCTCATACCCTAGTTCCACTGTACACTGGTTATGTAACTTTGGGCAGGCTACTTAACCTCTCTATTAATTTCCTCATCTATAAAATGGGTAATAATAGTCCCCACCTCAGCCTCAGAAGGCTATCAGGAGGATTAGCTGAGTCAATACTTGTAAAGTGCTTAGACCATCTGGCACATAGTAAGAGTTGTATCGTTATTAAGTTAATGAAACACAGAGGAGGCTTTGCAGGATAAGGTACATAGGATATAGGCAGGGAGGCAAAGGCAAGGAGCAAGCGGAACAGTGGCATCACCCAAAGAAACAAGCCCCCATCCCTACAAGGCTCACAGTGAACCTATGAGACAGAAGTTCCAGCCCTGGGTACCTTCTAGTAAACAATTCAAGAGACCACACTGTGACCATGACCTGGGACATAATGCATGTGTGTAGCACATGCATACTGGTAAAACCCAGAAGGTCTGAACTGGGCAGGGCATTTATCTATTGACGCATCTTGATGTGAGCCTGTTTGTATTTTTTTCCCTCTGCACATGCATAAGGATCTAGGGCTGCACATGCCTGTGTGGGAGGTGTATACGCTGTATTTGTGTGCATGTGTTTGCATAGGACATTAAGATCTGGAGAAGTGGGGCCTGACCACAGTGGTACAATAGGAAGAGGTATTTGGTCCTCTTGTTCTCTGGGTGGAATCAAATGTTAAGACATTTTCTCTGCTCTATGATCAGTGCCAAATAAAAACATGCACTTGTCCCAAATACTAGAGCTTGGTTTTTGGAGAAAATCCCACTGCTGATTTAAATAAGGTAAGAATCTCCATCTCCTTGTTAAAATAAGAAATCTAGCCAAGCCAGAGTTTTTAATAATTTTTCGTCTTGTGTGAGAGAGAAGGGGAAAGTGCTAGCGGCCCCTTCTGGCTGACAGTCAGTCACCTTAGCCATTTTTATGCAGTGTGGGAAAACAGGGATCTAATTACTGGACAGGAGCTCAGACAGCCTGTCATTTTATAGATTTCTCTTTGAGGGTTATTTTTGTAGCATGTGGGTCCAGTTTTTAAACCTTTAGCTTAAAAGATCTCTGTGTTCAGATGAAAGTCCAGGGAACAGATTTTTATTATTGGAGAAGGGAGCTGTTGAACCGTTATGAACATTCACACTCATCCCAGTATTGTGGGAGAGAACAAAACAGAAGTTGTCACGCATGTCCTCAACTCAGCATCTTATCACAGCAGAATCTATGAGTCTATGAACAGGAAGAAAACTCTCCCCTGGGACTGCAGGGGCAAGAGCCACTTCCCCTACAGAGCTCTGAGAGCTGCTGCTTAATTATGAAGAAGCCATGTAGTAAGCCTGCACCTAGCAATTCATTAACCCATGTTGTAAGCAAAAGGCAAGTCTCTTTTTTTGAGATGTTATGTATTTATTTGAGAGAGAGAGAGTGAGAGATGGGGAGAGAGAGCGAGGAAAAAAAAAAACATGAATGGTGGGAGGGGCAGAGGGAGAAGGAGAAGCCAACTACCCTGTTAAGCAGGGAGCTGGACTGCTTGATGTAGGGCTTAATCTCAGGACCCCAGCTTCATGAGCTGAAGCCAAGGCAGATGCTTAACCAAGTGAGCCACCCAGGTGCCCTAGCAAAAGTCAAGTCTGGTAGAGCTCAATTTCAGTGGCAGAAATGGAAGGAGATATGAATAGAATCTTGTTTAATAACAGTGATTAGGATACATGCAGCCTTTGTTTACCCACCAAAGGTGAATTCTATTCAAGCAGTTTGGCTGATTGATTTTCATATGCATTGACTTATTCTGTGGTAAATCACCACCCCTATTCCTGCACCTCCAATACTCAGGGTACCCCATGAAGCCTCAAAGTAAAGCCTGCATCCTCCCTCTGATCCCAAGGCCCTCTTCTGTCCTCCCCATCCTAATGCTAGCTGCTCTCCCTCTGTCCCTCTGCACGCCCACCCCAGGGTGACCTCCCTTTTCCCTGGCACAGTGTAGCCTCTCCAACCCCATTCTGGGTGGGCACCCCTCCTTGGGTCTACCGCATGGTAGCACTTTGCCCACTGGTTGTATTATGTCCTCAGATGTGGTTTGAGTGAGGTTTCCTTCTTCCCACATACTGGCCCCTCCCCTGACCACTGTTTTCCCCAACCCCACCCCACTCCTCCTTGGTGCCCTCAGAGGAACTTCCTGAAGTGCTCCGAGGACAACCCACTCTTTGCCGACATTGACTGCGAGGTCTTCGAATCACGCTTTCCCACAACCATGGCCTTGTCTGTGCTGGTGACCATTGAAATGTGCAATGCCCTCAACAGGTGGGCTGGGCAGAGGGTTAGAAATGGGGGTTGAGACCTAAGTGTGGAGGCTGAGAGCCACTCAGAGCCCAGAATTGGGGTCAGAGGTATTCAGGACTGTGGCCTAAGGATCATGGGGTTCAAGATTAGGACCTGAGGGTCAGACAGGTCCCAAAGTGGGTTTTGAGAACGAGTGGGCCAGACTTGAGATCTAGGGAACAAAGAGGGCCAAGATTGGGGCCTGAGTAAGTGGAGGGGCCAAGATTGGGTCTGAGGGACAGAGAAAGGGCATCCAAGCCCTAGGACAGGCCAGTGTGGCTGAGCAGACACACTCCTCCTGGCTACACTGGCCTCCCAAAAGTGGTTCAGTCTATAGGCCCGGTTAGGGAAATGCTGAGGCCCCAGGCCACCCCACACACACCTCCACATGGGTGGACGGGTGCCCCCAGCAGCGCCTGCTCCCATCCTGGCCTGAGATGAGCACCCTGTGCCTTTGGCAGTGTCTCAGAGAACCAGTCGCTGCTGCGGATGCCACCCTGGCTGAACCCTTGGTTGCTGGCAGCTGTGGCCATGTCCATGGCCCTGCACTTTCTCATCCTGCTGGTGCCACCCCTGCCGGTGAGTTTCTGCCCTGCCTCAATCCTCTTCTATGACAGGATCCAAACCCTCCTGTGACATTTGGGCCCTGGGTTGGTCACTGAGAGGGCCAGGGTGGCCCTTTTACTATGGAAGCTGCCTGGAGGACTGGGAGTGGGGAGATCTGAAGGTGCTTGGTACAGGCAGCCTGTGCTATGGGAGCCCTCACTCTTGGGGAACAAAGAGGTGGAGATAAGACCTCTTTCTGTGAGGAATCTCCCAAGGTGAGGGCAGGAGGAAAGATTTTGTTCTTTCTCAGTACAGAATCCTTCCCACTTCTCAAACAGGACCAAGAGCATTTGGTCATTGGGGGAGGGCAGAGGAGGGCACTTCTGGCAGAGGAACCAGGGTAGACAAGGATCTGGAGGTGGCACCTCAAGGAGCATCTTGGACATGCTCAGGAAGAGTCCGTTGTAGCCGGTGTATGAAACAGGTGGATGAGGTGGATGGCAGGGGCACAAGAAGTCCTTCCTTTAACCAAACGTCTCCCCTCCCCAGCTTATTTTCCAGGTGACCCCACTGAGCGGGCGCCAGTGGGTGGTGGTGCTCCAGATATCTCTGCCTGTCATCCTGCTTGATGAAGCCCTCAAGTACCTGTCCCGGAACCACATGGATGGTGAGTGGGAAGCCGCAGACAAGCCCCCCACCCTGCTTGCCTCTAGCCTGCTTCCCTGTCTACCTCCCTGCCTGCCTCTGCTCCCAGGCTTCTGTCTGTACAGAGAAAGAAGTATTCTTGGATCACCAAGTGGAGGATAAGAAGGGGCTCTGGTCTGGTGGCTCTGACCTGTGGTATCTGCAGGATCTTACCCTACAGGGGCCAGGAGCACCACTCAGGGCCATGCTGTCTCCCTCTCTTCACTCGCCACCAACCCTGCATGGCTAGGCCCACTGTACCCTCCTCTGGGCCTTGGCCTCTGACTTCTCTGAACCTAGCCTGTCTTTATGCAGGCATTCTTAGGACAATCTTCCAGACATGGAGTGGGCAGCCACTGACTACCTCAGGGACTCCAGGCCATACTGGATTGGCCTCTTTGGTATCACCTTGTAGGAGGGTGGAAGAGGGGGTTCTCTGTTTCTGAACTCACAGCTCTGGGTCTGCCTTAACCCAGTGATGGAGGAAGAATGGCAAGGTCAGGGCTGGGGACAGTGTGTAGAGAAGTCTGCTGACCTCTGCTGGTGATGGAGCTTCAGAGAGGGTGATTCTGAACCTCCTAGGGGCAAAGGAGGCAGCATCTTCTCACTGTCAGAGCTGCCTAGACAGGGAAGAAGCAGGGGCAAAAAAACTCACTATTCCTGGGAACTTGAGCCAAGGCAGCAGCCCCATGGCAAGGCTGCTCTGGGGGGTCTGGATTAGGCCCAGCCATGGCCAAGGCCTGCCCTGGAGCAGCTGGGTCCTTGAGGGCCATCTCTGGCAGGAATGTGTCCCAGCCTCAGGGGAGGGAGCCTGGAGTTGGGGGGCTATAAATAGATCACGTACTTGTCATTCCATAGGGGCCAAGGCAATCAATCGGCTCCTATCTCCCACGCTGGCCAGTCTTCCTGACCACTGGAAACATTTTATCTTATTAAAGAGAAGCTCACCCTCCACAGGTCTGTCCATAGGGTGACCAGACACACATAGAGGGACTCCCCTGAGGGTGGAGGCAGGTGCTCAGCCAGAGCAAGGCCTTGTGGGAATGAATCATGGGTGAGGTAGCAGGGAGCTGGACAAGGCATTTTGCCCCCTGTATGGTTATTTCTGACCCACCCACCGTGGATACTCCTAGGGAGCTGAAGAAGGTGAAATAGGTCTATGGCCTAAAACTCCATCCTCAGGGGCCCAGGCCTTCCCCATTTCTGGCTGAAGCACAGGGGTCTACCAGGAAATCCACTGGCCAGCCTTAATCACACTAACTCATCTGTGAGGTCAAGCCTTTTTGGCAGCTCAGGCAGCTTCTCTGTCCTCCTTGAGAGCCTTCCTTAGCAGCCACAACTGTCAACGGGTTCAATGTATTTTCTTGAGAAAATTTCTTAGCCAATGGGAAAAAGCCTATGTCTTGGGCATTGTTCAGTACTGGCTGCAGGATGGTGGTGGCCTGGGGGGAGGGAAGGGGCCCCTAACAGGATGGGGCATGTTGGAAGGGTTAGGGAGGGAGCAGTCTCTGCTGGGGCAAGGTTGGAGATGATTGCTAGAAGAGGTAAGGTCTAAGCAAAGGTTTGAAAGAGGAGGACAGAACTTGGTGGAGAAAGACCTAGGCTAGCATGGTTTGGTGTCTCTCCTGGGGCTGGGGCTCAGAGTGCAGGGTAGAGAGGTGAGACTAGAGTGTGGAAAGGGGCTTGAATGCCAAGGGAAGGACCCTGGACATTATCCTCATGGCAATGAGAGCTGCAGAAGGGTGGAAGCATGGAAAAGACTGGAGAAACCATGGAGGACAGATAGGAGGGGCAAGGCAGGGAGGCTGATGAGCTATGTTGAGCTGGTCTGAGGGGAGACGATGAACCAGCCCAGGGTGAGCTGGTTCTGGGCAACACCTCCACCTCTAGCATTAACCTGAGATGTTAACTATGGTCCTGGTGAGGCTTGGCTTGAAAGGGTGGCGGTCTGCTGTAGGGAGTGGTGTGGGGCCCACAGGAAAGACTCAGACTGGTCATCTGTGGCCACATCTGAGAGGTGGAATGGTGTGCTGCAAGCCCAAACAGCTCTGCCCCATGTGGCTGCCGTCCCTTGGGCCTCCTAAAGCCGGATGGGGCGGGGGTGGGAGAGGGGACCCTGTTACGTTCCCAAGTCAGCCTGGTAGCCTTTTAGGGAAGTTTTGCTGAGGCTTGACGCTCGCAGCTTCCCTGTGATTTATGAGGGATGTGTCCTGGGGAGAATTGCGGATGCCCGGCCAGCCCCAGCGGGTAGGTGAGGGGGCAGCAGTGGGGGTCCTCTTGCCCCTTCTCTTGGCTGTACCCAGGTGTGGCTGAGCAACTGTCAGGCAGAGGCCCGTAGGCCAGACTGAGGAGAGAAGAGGCCTGGAGAAACTGAGTGGGGACTCTCCAGGGGAGAGTCCAGGGTACAAGGTGGGCCTACACTTTATTCGGAAGGCAATGGAGAGTCACCAAAGAGGATAGACAGCCTGGATTTGTAGGGTGATGCCAGGGGCAGGAGCATGATGGTGTGTTAAGATGGGGTTGAAGGGGAGGGCTGAGAAGACTGGAAGCCTGGGGGCAGCAGGGGGAAGAGATGAACTCAAGAGATGCAGGTGGTAAAATCAGCAGGCCTGAGTGTATGGGGTGAATGAAGAGTGGATGCAATCAGTTTCTGGATCTCATCATACTGGGTAGTTATTCCCCAAATTGAAAATCAAGAGGAAAATATGCCCTGGGGTGGCCCGGGGGTGTTGATAGAACATGTGGAGTCAAGGAGGTCTAGGGGACATCAGTGGGGCTGCCTTGGGAGACGCAATGGGACTGGGGATCCACTGGTGAATGCTGTGGGAGAATGTAACTGTTCCAGGAGAAATGGAGCATGAAAGGAGCTAGAAGGACCCAGTGTGAATGTGTACTTAGTGTGCTCTTGGGTTTTTCTTCCAGAAGAAAAGGACCACAAGTGAGTGCCGGGAACAGAGTGGAGTCTCCAATGTGTACCTCAGATTGATGATGCCCAAGCGTCCACCCATACTCTCCACACTGCCATCACACTCATCGCTTGCTCACTGGGCCCTGCCAGGGGTCTCTGTCCCTGCTTCCGTACGCATGGGGGGCTCTATAATTCATGTAACTGGGAGTCTACTGGGAAGTTCAGCCATGAAGCTCTAGCCCAGGAGCTGCAGCCTGGGAGGAATCTGCCCAGAAGCCAGATCCAGACATGGACCTCCACCCCCAAATCCGTGAGCACATTCTAGAGCAGGCACCCGCTTGCTTGGAGGCTGGGCATTTACTTGGTGACTGGTGCCTCTATACTGATGAAGGACTCCCAGAATTTTGCCATCTCTGACCTCTCACTTAGTGTCTGGTCTGGGGCCTGATCAGTTAGGGGTGAGGGGGGTACATCTGGGCCCAACTGTGCACAGCGAGGGCAGACAAGCCCCCTGTACTCTGTTTCCACAAAACAGAGGACTCATGAGGGCTTGAGCCTCTTGCTGTTTATATGAGCAGGGGTTAGGAGGTCAGAGAGAGGCACATGGTAGTAGGAGAGGGCAAGGATCCGCTTCTAGGAGACCGCTGGCTTGCCCGCCTTGCTCTGGGCACTCCCAGACTCCGATTTTCCCGTCCTAAAAAAATGAGACATGCCAAGTCTCTCTCTCGGTGCTGCCCAGCCTGCCAAGCAGAGGCCAGATTTGCCCTTCGTGTCCCTGGTGCCTAAGACCCCAGACATCCTTGGCTACCTGGTCACTGTACCCTTCCAGCCCAACCCTGTATGCACCATACCATAGTCTGCACGGCTGGGTGATTCCGAATCCCCAGAATCAGACTTTTGGCCTCACTCTTTGCCCCCAGTGCCACATACCCATGAGCTGCAAGGATGTCACTAAAAATGGCTAGTCACCCAAGGGCACGTCTTCCCCCTCCTTCCTTGCTGGAGGAATGTGTGTCTACGTGGACCGTGTCTGATGATGGGACGAGTGTTTGGTGAATGCAAATGTTCTTTTAACTCAGCTTTTGCCCCTTGGCAAAGATTAAGCAAATGGGCTCCAGGTTCTGTGGCCTCTTATCCCACCTCTTGTCCCTCCCCTCTCTCAAAGTCTCCAGAGAGGCCACAAGAGAGTTGGGCAGGGCTCCCCCAGGCACCAGCCCACAGAGATCCTCTGCTTCTCTCCTGCTGAAGGGAAGGGAGATCTTAAGGTTGGGAAGGGTGGCAGGGCCTTGTACCCATCTGTGGACACGCAGTTGGTAGAGAAATAAAGGTTGAGTACCTGTGGCAACAGAGGACCGTCACTGTCTGGTTCCTTAGAGTGGTTCCACTGTCTGCCAATGTGGCGTCTACCTGGGCTGCCACCACCCATATGCACTTACCTCAGGAGACATGAGCCAAGGTCTGGGGTTCCCACATTGCCAGCCAGGGATCGCTGTCTTCCTCTGAGACAGACCAGGAGAGGCACTGGTTTCCTAAGCCACTCCCAAATGGCAGATGCACAGCTCTGCTCACAGGGACAGCACTTGTTAGTTGTGCATGTGTTCAGAGCCCTCTGCACATGCTAAGATTCACATGTCATCACTGAGGAAACAGGCTGGGAGGGCCAATGAGTTGGCCTGGGGCACGGCTAGGCCTGGAGCCTAAATATCAGGGGCCCACAGCCCTGCCTATTCTGTGGGCCCTGCATCTCTCCCAGAGGTTTCTTGCTGTCTTCCTTCCCCTCCTTGAACCCCAGGATGCCATCAATTCTATGCCCTTCTAAGTCCAGCTCAAGCACCTCCCCAAGGCTTCCTTCAGCTCACATTGTCCAGGGACCACATGCTGACTCACCCAGGTGGCCCTGCTCTCTGGGAGCATCTCCCTCATTTCCTTCCTCTGGAGGGAAGGTTCACTTATGAAGTTGCTGTATCTGATCCTCTGCCCAGCTGCCCTGGAAAGGGAAATCAGGCCCTGCCCGCAGAGCCAGAGCTAGGACTATGTAGTTTGTGGGGCTCAGTACAGAATAAAAGTGTGGAGCCCGTTGTTTAAAAATTAAGAGTTTCATAGCAGTGACAGCAGAGTATGAAAACCAAGTACAGGGCCTTCCTGGGCGTGGGGTTCCATGCAGCTACATCAGTCACACATCCACAAAGCCAGCCATGACTGCAGGAGACAGAACCCACCCTTAGGAGCTCCCAGGTTTTATTTGGCACAAGGGCAAGATTTGGTGCATAGCTCACAGTGGGAGCCAAGGACGGCAGAAGGATTCTTCCTTCTGCATGGTCCATCAGTAAGGCCTCTCAGATCCCAAACCCAGTCCATACACCTCATCTCCCTGGGTTCCCAGCCATCTCCTTGAGATGGGCCAGGCAGGGGATAGGGCTCCATTTTATAGATAAAGACCCCAAAGCTCTCTGAGAGCCTATTTAGCTGGCTTCATCATGGCAGGTAGATAGAACATGGGGTTAAGAAGGGCTCGGAAGACCTGCCTAGGAGACCGGCCAGCTTCCACACTTCCATCAGCTGCTGGAGCTCATAGGCAGGCCTGCACAAGTCCAGCCTTGCCAGCCCACAGCATGAAGCCTGACAGGTCAAGATGGAGCAGCCAAGGAAAACAGAGGTTTCCTACCTCACAGCCACTCACCCAAGGGAATTCCAGGGCAAGCCCTGGCACACTTCTCACTGGCTCAGGGATGGCAGCTGCCAAAATGCCCATGGCCTCGCCCAGTCCCTTCCAGTGGCCCATGTTGTATTCCCCATGCCTCCTACGCTGTACCCCTAAGAGGGGTAGTAGAGACCCTGTTAGGGCCACACTGAGAAACAGAAGGACAAAATCAGGAAATGAAGACCTAATGCCCACACAAAGAACTGAACCCAGCTGTCCATGGCAGCTTTACTCTTCATTGACCCAAACTGGAAACAACCCAAATAACCATCAACGGGAAGGACAAGTTGTGGTATATCCATACAACAGAATACTCCTCAGCAATAAAAAGGAGTAAAGGACTCATATATGCAACAGCATGGATGAAGCTTAAGCTCTTGTGCTGAGTAAAAGAAGCTCGTATTGTGCAATTCCACCTCCATGAAGTTCTAAAAAAGGCAAAACAAATCTGTAGTGATAAAACAGATCAGTGATTGCCTGGGGCTGGGGGTTGAGGAGGGTTTGACAGGAAAAAAGCAGGTGGGAACTTTCTGGAGTGACAGATGATGGTGGGGGGGTTACATGCATTTGTCAAAACTCATCAAACTGTGTGCCTAAGAGGGGTACATTTTACTGTGTGTCAATTCTACCTCAAAGCAGTTTGATTTAGGAGAAAAGAAAGAGGTAGGAGCCAGAGGAGGTGTGTGGGTATGCGGCTGCCATGTGGGTATACAGCTTTCAGTAACATCAGGAGGCAAGGAGACAAGCCTCCCAGGGGGTGCTCAGTGTTTGAGGGTCAGGGGCCTGGGTCAGCCCCAAGGAGTCCCCATACATTCCAGGGACAGGAAGAAGATGGGGGCCAAGAGGAAATGTCCTGAAAGGAGGGGGAGAACCAGGGGATTATGATGCCTCTGATGCTGGGGAGAAGGAGCTCCAGCCAGGTCATGGCTCACAGTTGGGATTAGAAGAGACCAGAGAAGTAGTGCAAGGTCTGGACAAGGGGAGAGGCTAACCATGAGGACCCTTGCTGTGGCTCCCCTGTGGACGCCCACCCCCACAACCTCCCTCTGACAATCTCTGTTAGGCTGGCCCAGGGCCCTGTTCTAGCGAGCATCTAAAGGGGCTGAGTGGCATTGAGTGAGCCCTGGGACACTGACATGCCCAGCGTGTGGGACTGGACTGAACTCTATAAGCAGAGGTGTCATCCCTGCAACCTTGGGGCCCTGAATGGCTAAGGAGACCCAGTGGAGTCTGTGCCAACCCCCTTGAGGGCCTGAGCTGGCCTCCAGGATGGACAAAGGCCCCCTCCACACTCCATAGAGCTGCTAAATTTAGCCAGGCAGTGGAGGCTGTCCTGGGGCTGAGGGCTTGGCAGCACTGCCTTGTCTCCCTACAAGGTCTGGCCCAATACCGGAGCTGGCCACTCAGCCTTTGGGCTTATAAGGCAGGTCTGGCAGCTCTCAAGTGCTGGAGTCTTGGGGTGGACTCTGGGCCAAACTCTCAGACTTTGGGGAGCCTCCTTTCCAGGCACTAGCCGACATGGGAGCTACTCAGTTTCTAGAGCCTCAGTTTCCTTATCTGTAAAATGGTTCCAATACCTACCTCATTGGGCTGTTTTTAAAAAAATCTGCTGACTGAGAAAGCACTGTGTCCCCTGTAAACTCTGACCCCTGCCCTGCCCATCTCTGCCCCGCACAATGCCTAAAACAATCACAGGCATCTATCCCTTGGGATGCTGGAGTTGGGGCAAGGATGGGAAAGTAGAGGCCCAGATGGAAAGATACATTTTGGAACCAGTGAAAGGTGTATTGCTCCTATCAGCTGCCTGTCTTACTCGGGCCAAGTTATTAGCAAAAAAAGAGAATTTATAATTGGGAAAAGAAATGTAATTGTTTTTATTTCTTTTTATTTTGGGTATGCTCTGGATATGACAAGTCCAAATAAGATTGTCCCCACCACAGTCTGTTTTCTGAGGGGTCAGAACTGAGGCTCTAACAGGACCACATGTGTGTGCTCCAAGCAAGGGTGTCTGAAGAGCTGAGGAGACCCATTGGAGCCTTGTGCAGAACCTCTTCAGAGCCGAGGCTGGCCTCAGTCCCCTCTGCACTCCACTAGCTGCTAAATTTAGCCAGTCAAAGGAAGCCATCTATCCATTAGTCCATCTGTCTGTCAGCAAGCCTGGCTCCTTGGAGGGGGCAAAGGAGGAAGGAAGAGGAGGTGGAGGAGGTCATGGCGATGGTAGGAAAAGGGCAGATACAGACTGGAGCAGGACTGCCTGACCCCCTCTCTCTTTCCCCTCCCCTCTCCATCTCTCACCGAGTGCCTGCTATACCCTCCTGAGTGTCCAGGAATCGTGAGTGGAGTGGGTCACTAAGATGGCAGCAGCCGCCCTCACTCTTCATTGCAAGCCATCCATGTCCTGGGACCTGCTATTCCAAGAGCCACATGATCACCTGGAAAGGGAGTAGGCCCTCTTGTCTGGGATCAAGACCAGACCAAGGGAACATGATCCCCACAGGTCTGGCTCCCAGCATCTCTGGATTTTTTTCCTTAGGAAAGCCCAGGACATGGTTCTGGCCTGCCCCTCTTGAAGGTCATGTTGGATAGACAGTTGGGCCTGAGATTCATGAGGCTGTTCTATTTGAGAGGGGGGAATGGCCTAGGGTGCTGGAAGGGGCCATGGGCCTGCCCTCTGTGGGGGCCACTGCTGTCCAGAAAGCAGCTCTACTCAGACAAGCAGCTGGGATTTCCAGCCTGGAAGCCTGGCTCCCTGCCGAGAACAATTTCCCAGCTAAAGGCCTCCAGGAAGAAGACTCCTATCAGCCTTCAGAGTGAGGCAACTTGGCCTGCAGGGGAGTTCCCCATACCCCTGGGACACCCAGCCTCCATCTTCCATGTCCTGAGAAAGCCCCAAGGACACCTGGCCTGGATGGAGGGCCAGCCAGGAAGGCCATCCTGCTTCAAACCGAGGCCTCCAGTAGAACCCAGGGTGAGCTTGGGCAATTCATTTCTCTGAGCTCATTTCTTCAACTGCAAAACAAGACATTGGGTCTGTGGGGGCCTCCAGCTCTAGGGTTCCAAAAGCCAACATGAGACTTTTGTCCTGCCCCAGCCCCCTGGGACCTTGCATTCCTGCCCTGGGCTGTGGTTGAAGACAGAGGCCGCAGAAGGACTGTACCTCAAATTAATAGCAGTCTCAGGTTTTTGTCCTCAGTGTTGTTGGGACCCGTTCCGCTGAGGCCTCTACCTATGAGGCAAATCCCATTACCATCCCCATTTCACAGATGAGGCTGCAAGCTCAGTCTGGTAAGGCAAATTACCCAAGCCCTCGCAGGCAGCTAGTAGCAGAGCCATGAGTATTAACAGGCTGTCTGATGTCAGGCTTTCCGGGCTATGTCTCAGGGAGCCCAGCAGCAATGTGTGACAGATATGGCCCTTGAATCTTCTGGGCACTTACTTCCTTCTGCTTGTTTTAGGGAGGTGGAGATATGGCCGGGACAGCACAGGTGATGAGAGAGGAGAGGTGAGCTGCAGAGATGCCTGCCCAGTGCTCAGGTTGATTGGGCACAGGCCAGGCTTGGACTTGGAGGCACACACAGGTGGATGGAAGCTGGCCTATAAGGACAGCAGTGGGAATCCTGCCACAGGCTCTGGAAGCATCTGGCAGCTGGACCAGAAATGGCTCTACTTCCTCTTCCACTCTCCTGACTGCAACCCCCCCAGGGGCTGAGCTCCCCACCTGGGGGCACAGGTAGAGTGGGGAGGGTGTTTGGATATGGGCATGGGCTCCTGGTTTGGAGAAGGCTTCAGCCTGAGGCCACTGCCCCCAAGTCCTGGCCTTGTTCTGTTCTGCTAGGTTTGGGGTGTGTGTGTGTGGGGGGGGGCTGATAGCTTTATCTTTGATGGGTGGCCCGTGGTTTCCTGCCAACAGCTCCTGTTTCCGGAGGCTCAGCAAGGCCCAGGCGGAGCCAGACGGAGCAGTGGGGCTGGGCCTGGGTGGCCCCACCAGCCCCGCCCCCATCCATCTTTGGGAATTTATTTGTCCACAGGCGCGGCTGGCCCACAGTCCATCGCCTGCCAAGGGCCAAGAGCTGCTCTGACCACCTAAGGATTCTACTTTTCAACCCAGGTGCCTTCAACTGACCCCTGCCTCCTGACCTCTGGTCAGCTGCCCTGCCCTACCCTTCCTAAGGGGCCAGGAGGCCCCTAGAAGCTCCACCATAGACTTGGGTGTTGACACCTGGTTCACCTCAATAGCAAAGGCTGCAAGAGGCTCAGTTCTCAGCCCCCAGCCTGGCTCACTATGGCCCAGCGGCTCCAGGATGAGCTGGCCGCTTTCTTCTTTGAGTATGACACTCCCCGAATGGTGCTCGTGCGCAACAAGAAGGTGGGCGTTGTCTTCCGCTTGATCCAGTTCGTGGTTCTGGTCTACGTTATTGGGTGAGTCTGGGCCCCCTACCCCTACCTCCCACCCTGTTGCACCAGCTTCCAACCTGGGCCTTTCCTCCAGCCTCTGGGATGCCCCCACAGCCCCACGGAGCCCCTCTTTCTCTCCATTGGTTGTCACCCTCCCTAACAAACCGTAGTGCTATTCAGAAGGAATGGAACTTGCTAACTCACTGTAAGAAGGGGACACTGAGGTAAAGAGGGGACATCCTGCCCTGGGCCTTATGGTGAACAAAACCATTAGGTTCTAAGGAACTGACTCACTGTTAACGGTCTCTCGAGTGGTGAGTCGTGCTAGAGGCCAGCACCCCAGTGAACTACAACCAGAGAGTCCTTCTACTTTTGACCTCCCAGCCAAGCAGGCCACTACTAAGAGACAAAGGCCACACCCCATTTTATAAACCAAAGAGGGACAGGCCCTGTTCACACCTGTCTTGCCTAAATTAAAGGCATCCTGACATATCTAAGACCCCCAGAGCAAAGAAACTTTCAAATTCAGAACCCCTGGTATCTTAACGGTAGCATGTCAGGCAGAGGTTGAAGGTCAGTTCAGGTCCCAAAGATGACTGCTCCTTTCTAGGCATCTTGAGACCTGCCCAGGAGTGCCGAGGCAGAGTCAGATGGTACTCCCCCACAGTCTTGCTGTCCTGGGAGCCCACATGGGCCTGGCAGGGGATTACACATATGTGTATATTGTGTGTGTATGCATGTGTGTTATACCTAGAGCTCTGTGTGGATGCACATGTTCTCCTGTGTCTGGGCATGTGCCTACTGGGTGTGGCTTCGGGGTGTGTCCCTATGGCTGGGTATCCACATATGCACATCACGTGGCTGAGGTGGCTGGGCACCTAATGTCTGTGCCCTGGGGGGCGAGGCGGGAGGGGTATCATATCTGCTCAGGGTGGTAACTGCAGAGGATTCTTGGAGGCCCCAGGGCCACTGAAGGAGTAGGGGTTCCAGCTCCTGCTGAGGGGTTTTAGGGTGTCTGGCAGTATTACATTGCTGTGTGATTCTGAGGGCCCAGCCCTTCTGGTCTTCACATCCCTACTTTTGCTATAGGACCAAACCAGGACTGCTAACTAGAGCCCATGGCAGGCCGACCAGGAGGCCAAACAGTGACCATATCATTCTGGCCCCCAAGGCCTCCGAGCTGGTCAGGTGGAGTCAAAGCCAGGACCTAGCCCTCTGACACCTTTTGGCCTCTGCCTCCCTCCTGTTCACAGACTAATTTGACATCTGTAAAGTCATCTGAGCTTGTGAGGAAAATGGAGGCCCAGAAAGAATTAGTGGGGCTTCCAGATCACATAGCAGGTCGGTAGCAAGTCTTAGCTAGACTGACCTCCCCTCCCCATGCCCAGGCCTCAGCCCTGTCTTCTCCTTTCCCACCTCACAAGGGCTCTGAGAACTTTGGTGTAATGGGGCACCGATGCTATGATACTGGGCACTGGATGTGCCTAAAAGTGCGCCCTTAGCTGCACTCCTGACCCTCCAGGGAAAGAGAGTTTGCTTGCCCAGGCCTAGCCAGCCCATCCTTCAGCTGGAGAGGCTGGGAGAATGTTGTCCTCACCATGGCCCCTGTTGCTCCTTATTTCTGCTTTCAAGTGAGCAGTGAGAGCAGAGCCAGGGCCCTCTTGGTGTTGCTCACAGACTGTCAGAGGGAAAGTGACAGTCTTCCCACCCCACCCCAGCTGTACCGAAGCCAATATCCAGTCCTGAACACATACCTCTAGTAACAGAGACCTGCCTCCCTCCCTCCCAAGGACAGTCTACTCAGTTTCCGAATGAATGTGGTGGCTTCCTCAGTGTCAGTGAGGCTCAGAGAAACAGTGATTTAGTCTAGATCCCACAACTAGAAAGAGGCTGAACTGGATTTGAATCCAGCTGCATGGCTCCAAAGTTGTCCTTGATACCATGGAAAGGAAACATCCTCAGAGAGGGGCACTGACTTGTCCAAGTCATATAGCAGAGAGAGGAAGGTAGGGCCCCGCACAACCCCACCCTCAAGCCCAGACTTCCTGTTCCAACTGCAACTCCTGCTGTCTCTGGCACCCTCATCTGGCCACTGGCCACTGCTTTGCTGACTCTCAGCTGCAGACAGAAACCGGCCTGACATGGTCTTATCTCAGGTTTAGTTTCCCCACCTGTTCCACGGAGCAAGGGTCGGGGGTCCCCTCTAAAGATGCTGAACACAGGCTCATTCCTGAGGAGGGATGCTTCCTTCCAGGGGTCTGGTCTGTCTGACTATCTGGTCCATCGGGTGCAAAGGGCGCAGAGGGGACTCTTGCATTCCAGAGCCAAGAGCACAAGCAAAATGGGGGATGGGCAGGCACAAAGGCAGAACCGGACAGAGGGACAGACATTGGAGCACAACCACTCAAATGAAGAGAGGTCCTGAGACTTAGCAACAGTGAGTTACTAAGACAGAGGCAGAGAGGCTGAGATGCTGAGAACCCAAACACACTCTGAGAAAGCAAACTGAGGCTGTGTTTTCTATCAGTCACACTCTTCTGGGAAGTCCATGGCAAATGGAGGGAGCAAGTGGGCCTGAGGCCCGAGTGGGCTGAGCTGTCACTCTTTTGTCTCAAGTTAAAATGGTTAACTTGCAGTTAGAACTGTCTCCTGGGAGGTGATGAGCTCTCTGTAACTCAGTATACAGGCAGTGGGCTGTCATCCATGATCTAGCAGGTCCAAACAAGGAGTGTTTGCCTGGAGGGCACTGGTTTGGAGAGGAGAGAGGTCTGGCTGCGGCACACTGGAGGATCCCAGTGGGATTTGTGAATGCTGCTTGGTGAGGGGAGCCTGGGAAGGCTTCCTGGAAGAGATGACAGAGTGGTGGGACCAGCCTTGAGCAAAAAGGCCTAGAGGCTATAAGCCAGTCAAGCCTGCTCTTGACTTTCCCTTTGTGCCCCTGTCCACCTCCATACAGAGCTTTTGGGAAGTTCACATGCTTCTGATATTTTCAAATGGATCCTGGAGCATATCAATAAGAAATAAGGATAGATATAAATTATTGCTGGGAAATTGCATCCAGGGATATTTCTACAGCATCTTCTCTGTGCCTATTGCTGTGTTGGGATCTATGGGACAGCAGTGGGGTACAGGGTACGCAAAGAAAAGGTGAGGGGTAGATGATGAGTTACCCAGGACTCCTTTGGTTCCTAGAGAAGAGTAGGGATTTTGAAGTGCTTATGTAACTGAAAAAAAAAAAATCAATGCAGGCTTCAGGTCTGGATTCTGGTTGGATCCTCCATGATGAGAGCAAAGGAACAGCAAGATCTGCAGGGACATGGGGAGTTCAGGTTGGTCCCATTTGGGTTCTCCAAAGAAGCTGTCCAAGATTTTCTCTCCTTCCCAGCTCTGCTATCTTCTGGGCTTCATTCTCAGGCAGTCTCTCTGTCTCATAGTGGCAAAATGGCCACCAGCAACTCCAGGCTGACATCCCACCAGCTTAGCCATCTCTGGGGCATAAGACTCTCCTTTTCCAGAGTTCTGGCAAAAGTCCTAGCTCCAACTCTTATCAGCAGGGATCAAGTCAAGTGCCTACCACAAAACCAATTGTTGTGGCCAAGGAAATGAAAAACTCTGGTTGGTAGAGTCTTGCTGTATACCACCTGGTCCAGGCACTCCTGCTGGAAAGCAGAGTGTGATCAAAGGTCCTGGGGCAGGAAAGGAACAGCAAAAGTGTCTCTAAGGTTAGGCTCTGGACCCAAGGGAAAGGAGGTGGAGGGGTGAGCACAGCTACTGATTCTGAGGAACATGGGTTTTTTCCTATAGGCAATGGGGAGCCTCAGAAGGATATCTAGCAGGGGATCGGTGGGGGTGGAGGCCAGAGGCAAGGAAGCTGTGAAGAGGCAGCAGTGATAAGAGGAGAGGAAGAAGCCATGCCAAGGTGGAAGCAGTGAGCATGGAAGACAGAAGTAGTCACCCTGGTGGGCCCCACACCAGGGAGCTATGTGTGGAGTGGCTGCCCACTGCCTACTTTGTGCCCATCATTGCTGCAGAGGGCCACGGGCCCAGCATGGCCAGAGCATTTGACTTCTCAAGAGCAGTGGGAAATTGGGATTTATGGGCACAAGGAACTTCTTGGTATTTAGAGGTTGGTGACTCATTAAACAAATTTAAAAACACAAATTGAAGAAATGTGTGGGAAATATCAGAAAGGGAGACAGAACATAAAGACTCCTAACTCTGGGAAACGAACTAGGGGTGGTGGAAGGGGAGGAGGGTGGGGGGTGGGGGTGAATGGGTGATGGGCACTGAGGGGGGCACTTGACGGGATGAGCACTGGGTGTTATTCTGTATGTTGGCAAATTGAACACCAATAAAAAATAAATTTATTATTAAAAAAAAACACAAATTGTCAGCCTAGCTTACCTGCAGATGACATGTAGATTGATCTCTAAACACTCAAACGCTCTAAATTCAGTCCCTTCCAGGCCTGGAGTCTGCTCTTGCCCCTCCCCAAGGCTGCTGTGCACTATAGCATGTGCCTGGTCTGGTCAACTCCTGCCTGTGGTTGCACCTCGTGTCCCACCAGCCACAACCTATCCTCCCATCCCCACGCCAGAGTTCCTGTGGCATCTGCCACGGCTCCTCTCATGTCTCAGACTCCCACAGCAAAACCCCTTTGGGTCCTTAGATGAAAGCCAAGAGGACAGAGGGACTGAAAGAATGTAGGGACAATGGAGAACGAGGGTGTAAGATAATGCCCAGGCTTTGAGGAGGATTCGGTAGGAACAGTGCCATCCTCCAAGGTGAGGGCATCAGAGGGGCAAGTTCTGGGGGGGACATGAGACATTCAGGTTGGTCCCATTGAATTTTTATTTCGAGATATTAGTCAAATGCCATAATATCCACCCTTTAAGAATATATAATTCAGTGGTTTTTAGTATAATCACAAAGTTGTGCCACCATCACCATTTTCTAGTCCACTACTCCATGTTCACTACTCCAGAAAGAAACTCTGTACTCCCTAGCAATCATTCCCATTCTTTCTCTCTACAGCCTACTTCACCTACTCTGGATATTTCATATAAGTAAAATCATACAATATGTAGCCTTTTGTGTCTGGCTTCTTTCACTTAGCATAATATTTGTAAGGTTCTTCTATGTTGGTTGTAACATGTATCATTAATTCCTTTCTTTTTATGGCTGAATACTATATCATTGTATGGATATGTCACATTTGGTTTAGCCATTCATTGAAAGTCATATGAGTTGTTTCCACTTTTGTTTCTTATGTATGTTGCTGTGAACACTTGTGTACAAGTTTCTGTGTGGGAATATTTTCAGTTCTGTTGCATATATACCTGGGAATGGAATTGCTGAATCAAGTAGTAATTCCATATTTAACTTTTTGAGGAATTGCTAGGTTGTTTTGCAAAGGTTTGAGTTGAGTTTGAGGTTTCTGCATGATGTCTGGGGTGAGGGACCCGGGAAAGGGGAAGGAATGGGTGTCAAAAGTGTTGGGCCATATGGACATGTATGTAAGTTCCTTGAGTACAGAATTTTGGTTGGCTTTGTTCGCTTCTATATTTTTAGTGCCTAGAACATTGCTTGGCACATACTAAGGGCTCAATAAATAAATACTTGTTGAATCGCTAAATGAATGTGTGGAATTAGATCTCCAGGGAGAGTGCAGAGGTGGAGATAAAAATCTGAGGACATGATGTACCTGAGACAGCTTACATGAGGTCCTGCCTGGGCTGAGAATGGGAGCCAGGACAACAGGGGTAGGTGGACATTTAAGCAGGAATTACTGACTTGAGACGGGGAAAACAAGAGGATTATATATTAGTGCCTACTGCATGCTAATTTCCTTAATGAGAACTCATGAGAATACACCTTAGACTTGCTTTCTTCCTGGGGCTTAGCCCACAGTTCAGGGCAGGGAAGGCCTTGCTCATATTTGTTGAATGAACAGCAGCATTTTTGAAGTAAGTGCCATCACCTCTGTTTTATTGAGAAATCCAGGACTCAGAAAGGTTTAGTCTTCAGCCTGGTGAGGCTAACGTCACACAGCTGGTGAGTGGCAGGGCTGGTACCTGAATCTTGGCTTCCTTTACCCTCACACAGCTGCAGCCGCACTCTTGGCTACTGTACTATGTGCCATCTTCCAGGAGGGGCTGTTGAAGCAGAGACTCAGGACAAGGGGTTGTTGCAGCTGAGGTGGAAAGAATGAGAAAGATAATATCTGGACAAGGAGAGACTTCTGAAGATGTTTGTGTCTTTGGCATCAGATCCCATTGGTGGTGACAGCAAGTCCAGGTCAAGGCAAGCACAGCTTTGGAGGGATGGGTCTGGAGCCATGGTTATTCCATTATTATCAGAACTGAAGTCATTGGTGTCAGGTTAACTTTACCCCCCACCCCCCACCCCAAGGGTTGACAGTGTGCAAGGGCCGACATAGCCGGGTGTGGTTGCATCAGCTCCAGCATGCAGCCATGCTGTGGCCACATACTTCCGGCTCCCGGCAGACGTGATGGTGCTGGGCAGCTCAGTGCAAAGGGGCAGAGACCTGGGATGGGACCTCAATCCCGGGGTCGGCCTCTGACTCCGGAAGGACACTGTCACAGGATTCAGTTTCCCCATCTGTACTGTAAAGAGTTGGTAGTGGGCCAAGAGAGAAAGGCTATTAGAACATCAGGGGTGAGGGCTGCCAGGAACGAGGCCCATGACCCTCCCACAGGGGCTCAGAAAAGGAGCAGCTACTCTGAGCTTGGGCATGGAGTCAGAGTCGTCCCTGGAGGAAAGAGGCTGAGGAGGGTAGAGGTAGGTGATGCCCCCAGTCTCGGCTAAGGCTGGAAGCTCTGAAGACTGGAAGCCTTTCGCATGCCTTACCTGTTGCCATCTGGGACCTGCAGGGGGCAGCAGTGACCATGCTTAGGCCTGTGGGGGCGCCTCCTGGGCCAGGCTGGGGGAGGGGCTTGGAGAAGAGAAGAGTGGACTATGGGGGAGGAGAGGAAGACCTGGGTGGGCTGATTTCCTGGGGTCTGGACCAGGAGACAGTCCCCAGAGAGCTAGCACTGACTCTAGGACTGAGGTGCCTGGAGAATTGCTACTAGGCCTGAGCTCTGGGACACCGGAAAGGAGCTTTGAGCTCTGCTTGGGCGCTCAGAGCCACAGGTGTGCTCACAGATTTCCCTGAGGTACACTGCTACATACTCTGATGGTCACCACAACTGGACACACACACCCAAACACAGTTACACTGGATCTCCATGCAGTCCTTCCTGAAGGAAATGGACCACACCCAGGGCTCTCAGTTGTAAGCAACAGAAACCAAACCCAAATTGGCTTAAATAAAGAAAGGAAATTTATTAGCTAATGTATCATACTTCAGACATGGCTGGATCCAGGTGCTCAACCATTGTCAGGAGGCTGCCCTCTTCCATCTCCTGGCCTGACTTTCCTCTAGGTTGGCTTAATTCTCAAGCCGAGTCTCTCTGTGAAGTAGCAAGATGACTAACCATAGTTCTGGTCTTCGCTACCTTGCTCAGCTACCCAGCAGAAAGGATGCCTCTTTCCCAGTGATTCCCAGAAAAATCCTAGCCTCATTGCTAAAATTTCCTAGGTTGTGTGTCCATCTTTAGACCTATCACTGTTGCTAGGGCAGTGGAACACTGATTGGCAAGCTGTGGTCATGTGTCCATCCTCCCTACACCCAAGGCTAGGAAGGAGGTCAGTTTCACTGACCCTCTAAGACTGAAAGCAGAGAACCTGAAGGAACAGGGCTTCTTCATGCTGGGAAGGGAAGGTCAGAATTTCCCAAAAAAGCTGGGAGGCCTCTGGCCTTAGTCACTCCCACAACAAGGGCCTCATGTGGGGCCACATAATAGGAATTGCCCCCTCTGCTTCCCTTCCAGTACCCCTTGCCAGGGCCTCCCAGCATGGCTGAGATAATCATAGCTAATGGCTATGTAGTGCTTACTGCATGCCAGTCCTCATTCTAAATGATCTACAGGCAGTAAGTCACAACAAGCAGGTTCAGTACTATTATTGTTATTCCCATTTTACAGATGAGGAAACTGAGGCAGAGAGGGATGAATAACTTAGCCAAAATCACAGAACCCATGAGTAATGTAGCTGAGATTCCAGTCCAGCCTCTTGGGCACCAAAGGCCAGGTTCTCAGGCATCATGCTTTTCTAGTTCTCAGTGGGAAAACCTCAGGAAAGTGTACTCTGGGCATGAGGATTATGGTCCAAGAAGCTTGGCCTCCTGGCCCCAGCAAATCTTGCTCTTAGAAAAGGATCTGAAAGAGTCCTTCAGTGGATCTCCTCCCTAAGAATTAGTATTTTCCCAGTAAGAAGAAGGGTGGCACTTCAGGTATAGGCCAGCTCGGGGAGGCAGGTGATGCTCTCCTGCCCTCAGCCTAAGATGTAGTTTTAGGAGAAAAGACTGGCTCAGAGATGCATCTGGAGATGGGAAGGGAAAGGATTTGACTTACCTAGCTGGTGCCAGAAAAGCACCCAGCCTCCTGCCATCTTTGAATGACCTGACCCAGCTCTGACTGCTTTAACCCCCAAAATACCCCCACAGGTGGGTGTTTGTCTACGAGAAGGGCTATCAGACTTCAAGTGGCCTCATCAGCAGCGTGTCTGTGAAACTCAAGGGTCTAGCCGTGACACAGCTCCCAGGCCTGGGCTCCCAGGTCTGGGATGTAGCTGACTACGTCTTCCCAGCCCAGGTGAGCTGACTCAGGGGTAATACCTTCCACCCACAGGGTGGCTCAGAGCGGGCTTGGGCTCTGTCCAATCTCCCTATTGCACTAGCCCAGGCCCCAGCTCCCCTAATGAGGGGCAAAAATGGGTTGTAATATCATCCCCCTCTGATATCATGGGGTGTGGAGGCTGCTGGGTATCATGTGGATTCTAGGCGCCTATTGGGACAGTGCTTGGGTTCTCGGGGGCTGTTCTCCCAACCCAGAGCCCTCCCCTTCCCTCCCCTGCCTCTCATTTCCAGGGGGACAGCTCCTTCGTGATCATGACCAATTTCATTGCGACCCTCCAGCAGGTTCAAGGCTACTGTGCGGAGGTGAGGACTGCTACCTGTCCCCTCGCCCCAATTCTTGGACCCATAGGGGAAAATAACATGGAAGAGGAAGTCCCCTTGGCTATTAAAGATAGGCTTCCTCGGGGGAATGCGATGGTGGATTTTAGGCATAGATTCACACAAAGTAACAGTCTGCTATTGGCTGTGGAGACGCTTCCCTCCCAGTTATGTGTCAAGCAAGATGCCGACCCTCAGCGCCCACCCAACCTCCAAACCCTAACATCTCTCCTTCCTGCCAGGTAACACTGGCCATAGGACAGTGGGCATGAGCCCAGAGGGATACTGGGAGGGGACTGAGGGAAGGAAGCTGTAAGCAGAGGTCACCCCGAAACTGTCTAAGACTGCCACAAGACCTCCCTAGGGCCCTGGGGGTATGAGGGGCTCTCCTTAGGACACTACCCCAGGGACCTGGGACCAGCAACTCTCCCTTCCCCTAGCATCCAGAAGGGGGTACATGCAGAAATGACAGTGGCTGCACTCCGGGGAAGGCAGAGAGGAAGGCACAAGGTAAGGCTGGCCTCCTCCCATCCCCCTCTGTCCCCTCGCACAGCCCCTGTTCAGCTCCAGGCTTCCTCCACCAGGAAGGCCTTCTTGCTTTCTCCCTTCCTTCCATCCCACGCTTGGTCCAGGCCTAGCCACATTTCTGTCCGCGGGCTGCCGCTTTTTGGGTGTCCTGTCACTGGGGGCTCCTCTGTATCCCCAGCTTGGAGTGGGCACCCACCGGTTCCTCCCTTGCTCCAGGAATCCGCACAGGCAAGTGCGTGGCCTTCAATGACACTGTGCAGACATGTGAGATCTTTGGCTGGTGTCCCGTGGAGGTGGATGACAAGGTCCCACGGTAATGCCTTATCCAACCAGGGAGCTCGGAGCAGACTCCCCAGCCCAGACCAAGGGGATCTATCCTCGGAAGGATTCCCTCACCCCATCTATAATGGTCCGAGCCAGTGATCCCCCTGACCCCTGGTCAAGGGGGCCTAAGAGTCCATCACTATAGCACCCCCATCCCCAACCAAGCCAAGGCCACAGGAAGATCCCGTAGGTTCTCACACCCCCACACCCGTAACAAATGCTGGTGGGCTTTTGGGCAGACTCCTGGGAAGGGGACGGTAAGTGAGTGCAGTCTCCTCCAGCCCTGCCCTTCTCCAAGAGGCCGAGAACTTCACTCTCTTCATCAAGAACAGCATCAGCTTTCCACGCTTCAAGGTCAACAGGTTTGTGGGAAAGGGAGGCAGAAATGCAGAAGCCCCCCCCCCCCCCAGGGCTGCTCCAGCTGGTCTCAACTGTCTGTCGCCTTCCACTCCTTTTTTTTTTTTTTTTTTTTCCCCCGCCTTCCACTCCTGCTGATTTCACTCTGGAGGCAGAAGCCTGAGCTGGGCTCTTGGGGTGGGCTACCTTTAGTCGCCAAGGGCTGTGAAGGGTGGTGGTTTATGGAGTTTGTGAGGGATCCCCAGAGCTTCAGGGCATGGTGGGCACCCTCCCCACTGGCATTCTGCTTCACCCCCATATAGACGCAACCTGGTAGAAGAAGTTGATGCAGCCTACATGAAGACCTGCCTTTATCACAAGATCTTGCACCCACTGTGCCCTGTCTTCAAGCTCGGCTATGTGGTGCAAGAGTCAGGACAGAATTTCAGCACCCTGGCTGAGAAGGTATGGTGCCAGGCAAGTGAGGAGGGCTGGGTCCTGGAATTATCAGGTCAATGAAGGCTTTTCAGTCCCAGAGAATGCCCTCTTCAAGCCCCTCCAGTGTGGGCTGGGCATATATATGGATTTATTCCCTAATACTGGGGGCTCCTGAAGGTCAAGCCTGAGTCCTCAGCAGGGCCTGGTATGGACCTGACACAGAGGAGGTGCCTGGAATGAATGGACATGGGAAGACATTATCACCTGGATGTTTGCTGAGGTCACACCATATTTTAGCTATTAGATAAAAGCAACTTGAATTCCATGCCCTATGACCCTGAGAAATCCTATGTTCTGCTGGGGATTCTTGGGAATTCCAGAAGCGTGACTGGGTTCAAATCCTAGCTCTGCCTCTAATGAGCAATGTGACCTCAGACTAGTCTCCTACCTTGAGTGTGTCTGAGCTTTTTGCTCAATAGTACTAATAATGGTACTATTATCGTCTCATACCTCACGGGACGATAATAGTACCATGCTCATTGGGTTATCTTGAGGATTGCGTGAGTTCACTCATGGGACGGCACTTCAGTACTACCTGGCACATGGCAACCCTGTGTACATGTTCCTACGTGATCGTTATCATCCTTCTACAGTGCCTATTTAGGGATGAAAATCAGCTTCTTTTCTGTGATATCAGTCATAGACACAAAACTTGCTCACAGCGCATTTATCTAGAACAGGGATCAGCAAAGTTTTTGTTTAGAGGGCCAAAAAGTAAGTATTTTCAGCTTTGCAGGCCATGTGGGTTCTGTTCCAGCCATTCAAGTCAGCTGCTTGAGGGTAAAAGCAGCCACAGAAAATATGCAAACAAGTTCAGCCCTTAGGCCTCAGGAAGCCAAACCCTGGAGGGAGTTTACACCGTAGCCACACAGAAAACCAGAAAGCTGAATGTTAGACTTTCTTGTTCCTAAAATCTCCCTGCCACCTGTACTGGGAACTTCTCACCCCTCACCATCAACCACAGATAACTGCATACCTACCTCCTGCCTAGGTACCCAGCTGCACGCGCGCTCTGACCAATTCTTCTGCTGCTCAGCCTAGCCCCACCTGTCCCCAGTTCTCACCTTGCCCAAAGGAGCTTCATTCTCTCAAGTTTTTTTGTTTTTGTCTTTTTAAGATTTTATTTATTTATTCATGAAAGACACACACACACAGAGAGGCAGAGACATAGGCAGAGGGAGAAGTAGGCTCCCTGCAGGGAGACCGATGAAGGACTTGATCCCACGACCCCAGGATCACACCCTGAACCAAAGGCAGGTGCTCAACCGCTGAGCCACCCAGGCGTCCTCAAGGTTTCTCATACGAGGCCAGATCTTTACAAACTCACTTTTTAATTCAACACTACTTACTTGCCTTCCATGCTGTGACTTTCATTCAGGAGTCAGTGACCAAAGAGACAGTCAGCCCCACCCTCATGGAGTTTATAGTCTTAGAGGAGATGAGTTAAGAATCACACAAAATAGGCAAGTGGGTTGCTCAGTGGTTAAGCATCTGCCTTCAGCTCAGGTCATGATCCCAGGGTCCTGAGATTGAGTCCCGCATCGGACTCCCCGTGGGGAGCTTGCTGCTCCCTCTGCCTGTGTCTCTGCCTCTCTCTGTGTTTCTCATAAACAAATAAATAAAAATAAAAGAATCACACAAAATAAATATACGATTTCAAAGTAACCAGTGTTCCAGGAGAAAATGCAGAGGGAATGACAGGTACACGTTTTAGACTGGAGGTGGTGTTTAGGGAAGGCCTCTCAGGGAAAGTGACCAAAGGATAAGAAAGAGCCAGCCTTGTGGAACTAGGGGAGCTGTATGTGCAAAGGCCCTGAGGTAGAAAGAACTTGGTGTATTTTAGAGACCATCAGAAAGTTGATGTGTGATGGATGAGAGGTAAGGCCAGAGAAGATGACAGGACTTCCATCCTGAAGCAGCTTCTCAATGCTTCTTCCCAAACAAACAAACAAACAAATGTCCCTCCCTTCAAGAGATTGCTGGCATCAGCATAAGACAGAAATTTCTTGGTCCTGAAACCCCTGTGTCCCTGCAGGGCGGGGTGGTAGGCATCACCATTGACTGGAACTGTGACCTGGACTGGCATGTGCAGTACTGCAAACCCATCTACGAGTTCCATGGACTGTACGAGGAGAAAAACCTGTCTCCAGGCTTCAATTTCAGGTGCTTGCCAGGACTCCACCAGTGCACCCTTCCTTGGTGTCCCAGAACCCCAGAAAAACCCCAGAGGCTTTTCTACTCCCAGAACCCTCTGAGGCCAAGTAAGTGTCCCCAGAAAGGAAGCAGAGGAAGCTGGGCAACTCTCATTCTCCTGGGATTGGCCAGGCAGGGAGCCCACAGGAAACAAAACCTCAGTAGCCTGAGCCCCCTCACTTGAGGCCCCCTTGGCCAGGACCGGCAGGGGTCGCTAACATCAGAAGTGAGGGGTTGGGTTGAGGGTGAGAGTTGGATACAACATTTCTGGAATGAGACCTGGGATCCTGCCTGGGATTCCCTCTCTACGTAATGTTGGAGGCCATGGGACTATCTTCAAGGACCTCTGAGGGCTCCTGCTGAGCTTCAAGAACACTGGACCCAAACTGTTCTCCATCACCCTCTTCTACAACCTCACCCTTTCCCCCAAGGTTTGCCAGACACTTTGTGGAAAATGGGACCAATCACCGGCACCTCTTCAAGGTGTTTGGGATTCGCTTTGACATTCTCGTGGATGGCAAGGTGAGTATCCAGTGTGAGGGACAGCCAGAGACACAGTCTTAGTTCCTGTGAGTGTTTGTTGGGTGTCCATGGTTATAGACAACAGGAAGTTGACTGGGCTTCATTCAGCAGTTTTACTTCTAATAACAGATGGACCTGGGTACCCACTGAGGGCAGGTCTTTCCAGCTGGTGACCTCACTTCCTCCACTGCCTCCCTGTGTTCAAGGAGGCAGAGCCAAGGTCAAAACCCAGGGTCTCTAACAAGCAGCTGGGTCCCCATGTAGAGCTAGAGCTGTGGGGAACAGGCTGTGGGGCCAGCTAGTGGTGGGGGTGGAGGGCAGAAAGGGGGAGTTCCTTACCCCGGGTCTGGCCTTGGGATTTCTGAGAAAGGTCTTTTCCACCTGGCTCCTTCTGACTGTTAATCCTTCTCTCCCTGGCCCCTGCCACCAGGCTGGGAAGTTTGACATCATCCCCACAATGACAACCATTGGCTCTGGGATTGGCATCTTTGGAGTGGTAAGTGCTAGGGTCAAGGGGTCAGTGGAGGAAACAAATCTCTCAGCCCATCCTTACTGAGCCTGCCCCACCACCCCAGACCCACAGTATGTCTGAAGAAACCGAGGCCAAGACCTGGGGCACGACAGAGGTGGAATGGGGTGGTCTTGATCTCCCGAGGGACCTGCAATGCCTTGTTCCCCAATTCCAGAACCTGAGGTCTTGATGGGGCAGAGTTGCTCCAGGCCCCTACAGCCAGAAGGAACTGATGCGGGCTGTGGAGGGTTCTGTCCCCACCCCCACATCCCCCCTGCTCTATCTGCCCCTTCCCTGCCCTCAGGCCACAGTTCTCTGTGACCTGTTGCTGCTCCACATCCTGCCCAAAAGGCACTACTACAAGCAGAAGAAGTTCAAGTATGCGGAGCAAATGGGGCCAGGGGCGGTAAGAGAACTTGAGTTTACAGCTTTCAGAGGCCTTGGGCCCACATGTCTGTGTTGGGGGGCCAGCTGCTCCCCTGGGGCTGACTTCTTTTCCCTTCCAATGCTTACACAGGGTGAACATGACCCCGCAGCCACCAGCTCCACCTTGGGCCTGCAGGAGAACATGAAGACATCCTGACCCTCAGCTCCAGACTCCTGACTGGACACAGCTTTGGTCAGGGGCCTTGGTGGGGTCCCAACCAGGACAGAGCGGTCTCCACAGGAGCTCTCCACCCTCTTAGCCAAGCAGACACTAGGTCTTGGCAGCTCAGAGTGGCCACTGGGAGAGACCTGTGCACATCTGGGCTCTGGCCCCAACTCCACAATCCCCAAAGGAGCTCTGCCCCAGCCTCGGCCACTCCTGGTCTAGAGGGACTGCAGCTGGGCAGGGCTCCTCTCTCGCTCTTCTATTGGAGCTGTGTGCTTCTCTCTCTGGGCCTTCATGCACCGCACGGCTTCGTGTCTCTAGATCCATGCTCTCCCATATGGCAGACACTAGCCACAATGACCATTTAAATCAATATTAATTTAAACTGAATAAAACAAAAAATTCAGCTCCTAAAACTAGCCACATCACAACTGCTAAACAGACACATGTGTCTAATGGCTGCCATATTTGACTACATAGAATATTACAGAAAGTTCGGTTGGACAGTTCGGAAGCAGAACTTCGGAAAGTTCTGCTTGAGCCCTCTTACTGGTGCCAGATTTACCTATGGAGCTTATCAACAGTGCAGGCACCTGGGCCTACATCAGACCTCAGAATCTCTAGGGCAGGCCACAGATATGCAGCTATGGCAAACTCCCTGGGCCATTTTAAAGACTGAAATTTCAGAACCACTCCTGATTGGCCATTGGAGGTAGCCTGGGCCTGCATGAGCTGGCAGATGCAGGTATTGAGTAGGTGTGTGGTGTCCTTGCAGGCATATGGTGTCTCATGTACACACCGCCCTGTGCACACTCATCCTCATGCACCACCACCCCCCCCATCCACACTCAGGCCCTGCAAACACAACCATCTGAATATACCAATGCCCTCAAGTACAGATGCATGGTTCATGCCACAACACCTCCATAGGGATATGCTTCTCCTCAAGTGTGTCAGGCCAGGACAGTGCTTTCTAGCCACGAATCCTTACTCAGCTACCTTGGGGTTGGTGCAGGGCCCTGGCCACACCCTGGGCTCCCTGCTTGTGGCCCAGCCTCGGCACCTCAAGCATGCCCAATTCTGTCTGACACAAGGTCTGGGGAACCTGAGTGATGGAGTACAATAAAAGGAAGGAGGACAAACTTCTGCCTTTGCACTTTTGCCTCTCTGACACTGGGTGTCCCCATCTTTTTGGAATGCGGGGTTGAGCTGAGAGATCTTTGGGGTCCTCTGGATCTCTCCGTAGATAGTGGTGAGTTGACACTTACGCCCTGATCCCAGCAGTGTCAGTGCTAGAGGTCAACACACCTCTGTCTGTGGGTCACTGTACCCAACACTGGAGCTCCTTCTGGTCCTCCATATGCCTCTCCTTCTGGTCTTCCATATACACTGAGAGGCCTGGTACTCGGACAAGCACATACTCTTAGGAGTGGCCTCATGAAGGCAGGAATAAGAAAGGGGCTGGCTGGCCCAGGAGAGAGACCTGAGGGAATCCCAAAGGGAGGAGGAAGGTCTTGAATGGAGACAGTGTGGAATGATTGTCCAGGGGCTCTGCAGTGGCAAGACCTATGGCCAGGCAGGGTCTCTGGGAAACCCCCATCACCACACCCTATCTAGACTAGTGCTGTCCAATAACAATGATGGAAACATTCTCTATCTGTGCTTCCCAGAACAGCATTCACTAACCACATGTGGCCACTAAATACTTAAAATGTGGCTAGTGTAACCAAGAAACTGAGTTTTTTATTTTACTTACTTTTAATTAATTTAAATCACCATATGTAGTAGCGGCAGTAAGTAATGGTACTGGACATCATAGGCAAGCCCCCCGCCCCGTCTTTCAGACCCTTGACTTTCTACCTTCTTCCTCATCTAAGAACCATCCTTCAGATTTTACAAGACAGGAACTCCCTCTTCTCTCCCTTCGTTCCCCAGTCCTACCTGCTTTTGCACCTCCTGCCTCCTTCCCTCCTGAATGATCAGATTCCTCCTTTGTATCCAATGCTTCTATCCAGCCCAGAGGCCTCCCAGCAGAGACTGCCTCTCCTCTCCACCAACACCTACTACATTTGCTCCTTCCTTCTGCCTGCTGGCCCTGGTTCCTCTGTGGCTTTGCCTGCTCTTCCTTCACTGTCACCATTCCAGAAAGACTCACACTTTTATACTTCCCTCTGTATCCGATTTTCTGTGATTGGCTTCCAGCCCCACCCTCACTTCTCCTAAACGCCCTTGTCAAGGTTACCAACAGCGTCCTTGCTGCCTAATCCAAAGCAGACACTTCAGCCCATATCCCACTTGGGCTGTCAGCCTGACACTGTTGACCAAGCCCTCCTTTGTTGAAAGATTTCCTTCCAACAGCTCCTAGGACCCACCCTCTCCTGATTTTCCAGCCAGACCAGTATACCGGGAAAAGACAGTTTTCAACTGCAGCTCCACCAAGGGTCACTGTATGTCCTTAGGCAAGCTGCTTAAGTCTCCAAATTTCTCCACGAGTGGGGGTAATAATAGCCGCTACTCAGGTTAGGGTAAGATAAGATATGTAAAGTGCCTAGCACAGAGCCCAGCACCCCAGTAGTGCTCTGCTTCTCCATCTAGCCTCCCTTTTATTTATCTTTTATTTTTTTAGTATATGTGCTGCCGAAGCGAGCACAATCTTTTATTTTTTAAAAATATTTTATTTATTTATTCATGAGAGACATAAGAGAGAGAGAGAGAGAGAGGCAGAGACTCAGTCAGAGGGAGAAGCAGGCTCCTCACAGGGAGCCTGATGTGGGACTCGATCCCGGTTCCGGGATCACGCCGTGAGCCAAAGGCAGATGCTCAAACACTGAGCCACCCAGGTGTCCCTAGCCTCCCTTCTAATGGTGGAGTCAGCTAGTTGTCCCTGGGGATCTATTCTGTCTACAGTGATGCAACCCTTGGTTCTTAGCTGGATAGGTGGCTGCCTAGCATGAAAATTGCATCTCCCAGCCTACTCTTGCTGCTGAGTCTGGTCATGTGATTAAGTTTTAGCTAATAGGATATATGTGGAAGTATCATGTGACACCTTTTGGGAACTTTCCTTAAAAGAGAACTGGTGTAGATCCTTTGCCCTCTTCTTCATCCTTGTCTTCAACCACTGTCTGGAATGCATATGTGATGGCTGGAGCTTTAGCCACCACTCTGAACCATGAGGACAAGAGGCATACTGAGAGGTTGCTGGAGCAGTAAGTGGAAAGAGCCACATCTGGAAGGTCTTTATGGAGCAGAGCTGACATTCCAGCTTTGGGCTGTTTCCTCTGAGGCTCTTATGTGGGATTTGTGTTACCTAAGTCAAAATTGATCCTACTTGGTACAGAAATCTTTCCCCCTTAAGAGCAAGTGTTCTGTCCTTGGCCTCTACCTTATTTGCTCTGAATTATCTTACCCTTTCTCATGGTTCTACTTACAATCATGAGTCTTTTCTGACAAATTCCAAAACTCTCTCTGGCACAGCCCTCTTTCCTAAACTTGTAGTCCAACAGGAGTGCTGTATCTAATTATTCATTAGACAAACATCTTTTGAGCACCTACATGCTCATGATGTGTCAGACTGTATGTTGGGTGAATCAGATACAGACCCTGTCCAGAGTGGGGGGGGGGGGGGGGGGAGACAAGAAGGTAAATGGATGCTAAGTACAAGGAAGTACCTAGGAGGGGCTGCTAACCCATGCTGGGCAGTGAGGAAGTCATAGGGAAGGATTCCTGGCAGAAGGAATGTTGAACCAAGCCCTGAAAGGAGTTAGATTCTCCTGGGTAGGACTGAGATCATGGAGGGCTTGTTTGGAACTATTATGAGGATACTGATGAGGCATAGAAGATTCCTAAGCAGAGGCTGACTTGGGTTTCTGAAAGACTGCTCTGGTGGCCAAGCAGAGAAAGGCCAGTAGGAGGAGTGAGACTAGATGGAGATGGGAGGCCAATGAAGAGGTTGCATAGCAATCCGGGTACACAAAGATGGTGTCCTGAGCTAAGAGGGAGAGGCAGAGGGCTGAGAGAAATGAATGAATTCCAGTGATATTGAAGAGCCAGCATGAGCACGGGTGGTTGGGCCTAGGATGACTCCCAGTCTTCTGGCTCCAGATTGAGACAGAGACACAGGAGGCCAGGTTTGGGGAGTGATATGGAGCTCTGTATGGGTCAAGTGGTGGGGTGAGGTGCCAGAGAATTCACAAGTGAACTTAGCATAACTGAACCAAGAGTCGATGAGCCAACCAGAGGAGAGGTCCGGGGGTGGACAGAGTCCCCGGGAAGGGCCACCGTGAAGGCCAGGACATCCTGACTTCTGCCCCAGCTAGGCCATTCCTGCGCTGCTCACAGAACTCTTCCCCAAACCTGAATCCGACTATGACCCCAGCGCTCTGCCATAAACCCATTCGCGCTTCCCCTACCCGCTGTCCGCAGCCACCCTCCATCACCCCCACGCCCACCCCCGCCGCCCACAGCAGAAGCTTCTGTCCCACCCCAGTCACGGATCTCACTTCGCCGGGCTCCTAGTAGGCAGGGGGCATCTCGGCCCCACAAACCCTCGCCCCCGGGGCGCCCCCCCCGAGGCAGGCCGAGGTGGGGGGAGACAAAGGGTGTTAGAGGGTAAGCACTTGGACCCCCCCAGGCTCGCTGAAAAGCCCAGCCGCGGCTTGGAGGGACTTTGGGGGGAGCCCAGGCAGTCTTAACTGGGGCGTAGGGGGCGTGGCTAGGCCCAGCCCCGCCGCAGCGGGAGGCCCCCAACCCCCGCGCCCCGCCGCGCCCCGCCCCTCCGGGAGGCGGGCGGAAGTCCCCGGCGCTGATTGGGCGGCGCCGCACGACGAGGCTGGCGGGCGGGGCCGCGGGGGGAGGGGCTTGTCTGCGGCCGCGGCGCCGGCGGTCTGAGCGCTGCGATCGCGACCCGGGCGAGGCTGCTGGGGCGGGGCGCGGACCGCGGGAGCCGCGGAGACTGTGGCCTGGCGCCGAGGTAGGGGGCGGCGGGGACGCGGCCGGGGCGGGAGCCGGAGGGGACGTAGGGAAGAGGGATGGTCGACGAGGCCGCGTCTAACCGGGGCCGCCGGGGCCGCATCGGTGCTCGGGGGGCCGCATCTATAGGAGCCTCCCGGAGCCTGCTTCTGTCTGCGCCGGCAGCCGGGACCGCTTCTACGCGGGCGCTCCGCCATCTGCGTCCCTCCACGGCTCCGGTCTGCGGGACCGCGTTAGTGCCCTGCCCACCACCCACCCCCGCCCCGGCTGTGGGTGGGAGGCCGTGTCCCTGCAGAGTGGGCCCGGACCTGTGCACCCACATGTGCATCGACGCGCAGTGCTCCTCCTACACGGCCGTGCGCCGAGGCTTCCTGAAAAACCTGGGAGAGGCGGCGGGGGGCGGGGTGTGTGAATGGGACAGATGTGGCGGTGGCTTTAGCTACGCAGCCCTCCCCTGGACGGGGCTGGGATGCAGGGGAGAGGTATTGGCTTCAGGGCCTGATAGGCACAGAATTGGCGGCTCCGAGGGTGCACATGTGCGCAGGACCTGTGTGTGGTGGTGTTGGAGGTGGGTGTGCGCGTCACGTGGACACGGGAGTGTGCCCGGGTGTGAGGGGAGGGCATGACTGGATGCAATGATGTGTGAGGGCCGAGCACACGGACGCCGCTGGAGTGCGTCCCGGGCCTCAGGATCGTGCCTGCCTGCGTACATCTGCCTCATGGGCCAGGGAGTCGGAGGATCACACACTTTGTGTCCTTGAGGATGCATGGGCCCCACACAGCCCTCGCTTCTTCGTTCAGCAAGTACAGATTGAGCACCTACCGTGTGTCAGACTGTGTCCTAGGCCCACAGACTCTGGGGACCCTTGTATCCTCCTTGGCCTCTCCCCCTCAGTCCCCACATAAGGCAGGGGGATCATTTTAAACCTCCTCTGAGTCATTGCCCTGCTCAAAGCCATCCTCTGGCTTTTGAGACCTCCTGGTCTCGGTCCACAAACCCCTCCAAAGCCAAGCCCCGAGTCCCAGCCTGAAAATGGCTCTCTGTCATGCACAGTGAGAACTTCCATCCTCTTCCCCTCTGAAATCCTTACTCAGTGGTCATGAAAGAGCTTACATGCCACCTCCTGCAGAAAGCTGTCCCTTGGGCCAGGCACATTGAATGGCTGGGCCTTCTCATCCAGGTAAACTCTGCTCGCCTGGGTACCTCTCACATGCAGAACCCCACTTCAGGAACATTCGCCTCTTGTTCCCCCAGACAGTGTGAACACTGTCCCACCTCAGCCTTTGCACTTGCTGGTTCCTCTGCCTGAAATGCCCTTCCCAGATGGGCACACTACTTGCCTCCTCACTTCTTTCGGATTCTACTCAAATCCTACAGGAAGGCCTTTCTGACCACACTATAAATAGTACCCCCCCCAACCCCTCACTCTTGATTCCCTTTACATGGTTGTGTTTTTCTCCATAGCACAGACCACTTGACATATATCAGCTGTTTGTTACAGCCTTTCTTGTTTGTTGCTTCTTGCCCTTACTAGAAATTAAGCTGCGTGAAAGCAAGGACTTTGTCTTTGTGGTTCACTGCTTTATCTCCCCAGCACCTACCTAGCACAGTGCCTGGGCATATATGGCAGGTGCTTATTGAATATTTGTTCCATGAATGAGTGACTCTAGATTTGTCTCTCTCTGGTTGCTCCTTACCCTGTAAGGCCCAGTGCGAGGCTAGGTCTCCTCTTCTTCCACCCTCCAGATTCCAAGTTCCGGGAAGGCCGGGTGTTAGAGAATTGTGACCATATTTGCATGTTAGAAATATTCCCTCTAGCAACTGGTGTGGAGGAGGGTGTGGGGTGGGGTCAGGGTATGAGCCTGGAGGTGGGGAGACTGCAGCAGAAGCAGGGGGAAAGAAAAGCCGAGGTCCAAATCCTGACTTTGCAAGGGGTTCAACTTAGTGACTTCACTCAGCAGTAGGGAGATCCAGGAGGGCTCCCAGAGGAGGAGATATCTGAGCTATCCTCCAGGAGCAAAAGAGAGGGAGGTGTGTCCCTGGCAGAAAGCACAGCTTGTGCAAAGGCCTGGCAGCAGAACCGAGTCTGCAGTTTGGGAGGCTGTGAGTGGTGTGGGGCAGCCAGAGCAGAGAGTGGGGCTAGGGAAGCAAGGATGGGCAAAAGGGAGAATGTGGGCTCCTGGGTTTCTCCTGGGTTTCTGGAGAATTGGAAGGATGACAGTACCCACCTCTGTGACAGGCAGAGGAGGAAGAGCAGGCTTGGGGGAAATGCTAAGTTGATTGGGAACCTTGTGAGTGTGAGTGGCCCCAGAACATGGTGGGGAGGATGCAGCTGGCTGGAAAGAATTGAGCTGGAAGTGCAGACCTAGTGTGGGAGGTGAGGAGGGGCCGAGCTAGAAGGTGATGCCCAGAGATCATCAGCCAAGATGTGCTGAGGGTTGCCATGTCAAATTGGGCACAGAGCCCACCTCAGTGTTTGGGGCCTCTCTGGGGATAATGGGAGGGGGCGTCCTCACAGTAGGCATCCTCGAGCATGACTTGGCACTAGATGCCTGGGCCTCCCTCAAGGAGAACTGAGTCATCCCGGGCGGAGGCAGGAGCTGCAGAGGGTACCTGTTGCCAGGGCTGTCCAGACGCTTGTCAGGAGCATAAACACAGCTCCTATGAGGCAGCCTGGCGATGTCAGGGCCAACTGCCATGTCTGGCCTGGGTGGTTAGACTGCCTCCTTGCAGCCTTCCCTTCTGGCCAGTTTTGGGTGGCCAGGCCATGTCCTCTCTGCCTGGGAGGTAGCTGCTCAACCTGGCCCTGAGAGTCACAGCAACCTTCCAGAACCCAGAGTGAGGTCTGAGTGGTGCCTGAAGTCCTGCTAGGGGACGCTTGAACACTTGGACAAGAGCAGGGTCTGCCTGCTTTCTCCTGCTCTGGGCCTCCTCTGAGCGGCCCAGGTGAATAGGGTACATCCTGAGGAGGCCAGGCCCACCAGACACCTGCGGTTCAGGGGCAGAGCCTGAGGCCCCTGGGGCCAGGGTCACGGCTCTCTTCCTTGGTGGCTTCTAGATATAGATACATCCTAGCCCCTTATCACTCAGGCACAAACCACTTCTCTATCCACAATCTCATCTACTTCCTTCTATAGTCCTGGGAGTTGGCAGGATGGCAGGCAGCCTCCTCCTGTTTGAGTCACATATGGGGAAACTGAGGCTCCAGTAGTTGCAATGACTTTTCCAAGGCAACACGGCCCACGTCTGGGAGGACGGGATGAGGGTAGCTTTTCACAGTGAGAGAGGGCCTGGGTCTGGTCCTTCTTAGCTGCAGGGCTAGCTAGGTTGGTCCGTGGAAGGCTCTCCTTACCCATAGAGTCCGTGCCAGGCCATGGGCCTGAGTCCTAGTCTGTCCCTTGGCCCTTTCATTTGCCCATGTAGCCTAGTTTCCTACCTAGTCAGCTTCAACAGTCTCAACTGAGGCCTCAGCTTGTGGAGGGCCTTAAGAGACCCTCTGGGTGGCCCTGCCCAGGACACAGAGCCCAGCCGGGTGGATAGGTGACCACGTGGGAAGTTCAGACTTGACCTTCTGAGACCAGGTTTCCATGGTCCCCACGCAGACCCCACCCCCCATTCTGGAGCACACATACAGGAAGACCTAAAGGCACCCAGTACACATGAGCGCATTTCTACACCTGTAGACCACACTGAGAGAGTCCTGCCTCTATGCAGATGTGCTGCTGTGTGTGGACTCCTCTGCCCCACATGCATAGACACACACCGTGACCCCAACCCACATCCCTGCTTGCACACATTCTCTCATGTGTGGACACATGCCCTCAGATGGGTAGCCTCCGGTGCTAGGCCCTGCCGCCTGGACGTGAGGCTGGAACTTGGGGCCTCCCCACTGCCTCCTGCACAGACATGCTTAGTCACCTGAATTTGATCCAGGCAGGAGGGAGGGTGGAGGGCCTGACGTCAGCCATCATAGCCGCCTTATGCTTTATGCCGCCTGCATGTCCATCTGGGCCACAGTGTGTCCTAGGCAATTGCAACAACAGCAGCACAACTCACTTTCATGGGGCTTCCCCAGTGGCAGGCTTAGATATATAGTGTGGGCAGCATTCACACCTTTATGCCTCATGACTACCCAGTGAGATGCAACTGCTATTAGCCCCATTCCATAAATGAGGCAAACTGGGGTGCAGAGGGCCCACACCAGGAAGAGATGAAGCCTGGGCCCTTAACCAGGGAACAGGGCCTCTGGCTGGAACAGAAAGACTTCTGCCTCGACTTACTGTGTGAGCCTGACCCATCCCTGGCCCTGGCTGAGCCTGACTTTCCCATCTGAGAAAAGAGAAGGAAGGGAAGCCAAGGATGGTGACTTTATGAGATAACTACCTCAGGGAAATCATATGCAAATTATATGGGCGGGGCCACCAGTGGCCTCTGCCTATCTGGAGACTGCAGCCCAGAGAGCTGGAGCTCCTGACGCTGATTCGTTCCCTACCATGGACTGGGGCCCCAGGCTTGTTGGGGTCCCCTTGTGAGGCTGCTTTCCCATGCCAATTGGGGACAGCACTATAATGATCACTATGGCAACCGCTCATTCACACAACATGTATTGAGCTCCTACCATGTACAAGGTACTGCTGCAAACACCAATGGTCTTGTGGAGGCAAGGCAGACAAGAGCCCTAATCTATGGATTTTATATTCTAGGAGAAGGAAAGGGGGCTACGGGTGAGGGTGAAGGGTGGCAGTGTGGCCAGTCTACAGGGAGCAGTGGGATGGGCTGGCCAGGCTTAGAAGGCTCCCTTCAGCCTTAGCGTCATCCTTCCTGCAAATGGCCTGGTTCCTAAAGCCTCCCTGATATTTCAACTGCATTCACTGTCCCTCCCTCATCTCTTCTAGGGAGGACTCCTTGATGCTTCAGCTCTATTCACCTTCCTCATTTCCTTTAGAAAGGCCTTCTTGATGCTCTAGCCCTACTTGCCTCCCTTACCTCCTCCAGGGAGGTCTCCCTGATGTTCCAGTCCTACTCATTCTTTCACTTCCTCCAGGAAGACCTCCTTGAGGCTCTAGGCTCACCAAGTGCTCTCCCATCCCCCCCCTCCCCTGCCGTATTCCTCTAGGTCCAGCCTTCTTTCCTATTGCCAGTCTGGATTCCCTTCCCCCTTTCTTTCTGCATGTCAACATCAGCTCTACTACCTCCAGGTTTCCACTCACTCAACACACTGTGTGCCAAGCACAGGGGTTCTGGATGACAACCTTGCCCACTATCTATCTCCAAGCCTTGTGGTGGCCCTAGGGAATCTGAGAAGGTCCTGTATCTGTGGTATAGACGGAGAGACTGAGGCTCAGAGTCAGGAAAGGAGCCTGCCTTGGGCCCCACAGTAGGATGACAGGTAGGATTGGAGCCCAGCCCAGGATCCTCTGTGGCCAGTGGGCTCCAGTGAGCCCTACCTCCTGGATATGTGTCAAAGCAAGGTGATAGGGGAACAAGGGCTATGTTCTTAAAGTCATTGTGTGGGTACAGAGGAAGTGAGCACCAGCCAGGAAGGGCAGAGGGTCAGGAGTCCACTCACTTCCTTTTCCTGAAATGACACTAAATCTGAGCCGGGAAGAAGGAATGGCATCAGGCTGGGTTGGGGCCAGTGCTCAGCCTGAGTGTCAGGGGTTCAGCCCAGGGTTGTGGTTGAAGGTGAGGGCTGGGGCTGGGGTTGGAGATTGGTGTGGGGTTCAAGCTAGTCTCAGTCCTTAGCCTGGGGCCTGATTTGGGACTCAGAATGTCGTAGGGTCAGGATGGGTGTAAGGCCAGGCCATGGAGAACATCTCAGCCTAAGCAGCTATGACAAATATTTTGGACACACAAATAAACTGGAAGGAAAAAACAGGAAAAATAAGGAATGACCTTTTAGATAGTGGAGTTTCTCTTGACAGCCACCAAAGCAGCAGCCCCTCTGCTAATGGACCCTGTCCTAGGCTGCAGGCTTTGCTGAGGCAGGAAAGGGAGTAATGGGAGATGGCAAACTTGCTCTGTGGTCTTGGAGAGGCCTTTGTGGAGGAGGTGAGTGACTGGTTGGTGTATCAGGGAGGTCTTTGCATGACCTGTCAGCTCAGCTTCCAGGCAGCAGCATTGGAATGCTCTGCAGTCAAGGGTGGGGCTGGTGAGTCACTGGACTGTCTGCTGGATGGAGCCTGAGCTGACCCTGGACTTTGTTTCTCCCAGTGCTGCTGGGCCTCCAGGATTCTGCCCATGTCTGTCCTGACTCTAGAACATCAGCTTCTCTCTGCTTCCCTGTGAAGCCAGGAAGGCAGACGTGACTATACCTATTTTACAGATGGGGATACTGAGGTCTGGAGGGCTGCTCTGCAGCAAAGCCAGATGAGTTTTTAGAATTCCTTTAGTTAGTAGGGATGCTGGCAACTCAGGCAGAGGGAACAGGTAGGGCAAAGCCATGAAGGTAGGGCAAAACCTTTAGGTTATGGCTGCAGTGGGAGAAGGGCCTAGAAATCTGACCTCCATACTCCAGGGCCAGGATTGAAGCCTTCTCTTTCCTCTCTTCTCAGGTTCTCAATAAGGCTGCACAGAGGAGCCCCCTAACTGTGGCAATGGAGGGGGGCCCAGCAGTCTGCTGCCAGGACCCCCGGGCAGACTTGGTGGAGCGAGTGGCAGCCATTGATGTGGCCCACCTAGAGGAGGCAGGTGGTGGCCCAGAGCCTGCCAGAAATGGTGTGGACCCTCTGCCAAGGACCAGAGCTGCCTCCGTGATCCCTGGTGGTGTTTCAAGAACCCCCCTAGTCCGGCCCAGCCTCTCAGCTAGGAAGTTCTCCCTGCAAGAGCGGCCAGCAGGAAGCTGCCTGGAGGCCCAGGGTGGGCCTTACGCCACTGGGCCTGCCAGCCACATCTCCCCACGGGCCTGGCGGAGGCCCACCATTGAGTCTCACCATGTGGCCATCTCAGATGCAGAGGTTGGTGGGGCAGAGCGAGGGGGTCCTCATGAGCTTGTCAGTAGTCCTCAGTGGAGATGCTTTTCTGTTCCGGCCCTTGCCACACAGCTGCCTAGCCTTTGCTTTGCATACCCCCCAGAACTGAGGAACTTGCTCCCTCACAACATGGCTCTTCCCACCAGGGGTATTCCATCTGAGCCCAGCACTGCCTCCTGTGAGTCCCACCATTCCTACCCTTAGGCCAGACCTCAGAAAGAGGCCCCTCTCTTGTCCCCTAAGAAGTCCTCTTAGAGATTTGAGGATAGATAGTGTGCCTACCCTCCCCATAAGTCTAACCTAGCTTTAGCCCCCACTTCTAATCCTGCTTCTTAGAGTCTCCTCTGACTCAGAAGCTGCCAGTATGCTTCCAGCTTCTGTTCTTGCTTCTGTTCCTCTGGCTCACCGTCTCTGTCCTTGCCACTTAGATCTGAAAGTGAATCCTAGTACCAAGCAAGCAATCTCCCGATTGCAGAGGCTAAGGGCTTTTTATGCCTGAGCCAGGGCTCTGGTCTCCTGTCCCTAAAGCTCTCCTCATCTTTCTTGTCCATACAGCCAAGACCTTGCATTTAGCTGCTTCTAGAACTACTTGCTCACATGTTTCTCACAGATTTAGGTCTCCCAGATGCCAGGATTCAGGCAAGAATCTGCATTTTTCCTTCACCACTTCCTGGGGTTCTTAACAGCCATAGCTCACCATTCATATTTGCAAAACCACTATCAAAGGCCTTTAGTCACTTTTGGTGGTATGGACATCACCAGGTTTCCCCATCCAGACATAAAAGGTTGATGAGATGTGGGGTCTGAGAGTCAGGGGCCCAGAGCCGAGATTGGACCCTGCACAGGCTCCTGAGGTGGGATCAATATTGCCTCTGGATCAAGCTTTACCTGATGCTCCTCCCTTTCTCCTCTCCCCCTGTCCCCAGGACTGTGTGCAGCTGAACCAGTACAAGCTACAGAGTGAGATTGGCAAGGTAGGACCAGGACAGACAGTGCGGGCTTTTCTCATGAGGACTCGTGGAGGCGGCCTGTCAGGACCCTCTGCTTGGCTGTTCCTTCTCCACTGGAAATGTGAGGCAGAGCCAGAAAGGCCCCAGCCTAGAAGTGAAGAAAGTTTTGTCCTCTAGGAAATACCCAGGGAGGGGTGGGAAATGATTCCCCATTCCTGCTTCCTTAGTTTCTGATGGAAAGCAAAGAGGGACAGAGGGAGCATACAGCTGTGTTGAGGCAGGCAGAGGAAGGTACCAGGGCATAGGAGTTCTCTCCCTTTCTGCCAGAAATGTATGCCTGCTAGTGGCCAGCTGGGGGGGGGGGATGGGCTCTGGGGGGGAAGGGGCTCCCCATCCCCTGAGCCAGTACTGGGGGAGGCTGCCCTGTCCAGGTGGGGCTGACCAGTGCCTATTTCCAGGGTGCCTACGGCGTGGTGAGGCTGGCCTACAACGAAAGTGAAGACAGGCACTATGTGAGTCTGGGGATGGGAGGGAGGTGTTGCCCCAGCCAGGCCCAAAAGCCTGGAGGTAGGCAGTGGCTGTGCTGGGAAGACAGGACAAGGCTACCTCTAGAGGGAGTGTGCTCCTGTCCCTAAGGGTATGCTTAGTTAAAGGAGTAAGCTTCTTGACCCTGAAAATATGCAAGCAGAGGCCAGACCCCTCTGAGGGAAGAGCTCCAGAAAGGCTTGTTGGGATAATAGGGGTAAGGCCTTAGACGTGGCCTTCCTAAACCAGCTTAACCACGCACCTGGGCCATACCTTCAGTTCTGGTGGCAGTCATCCAGTGTTCCTTTCTGGACCTTCATCCATATGTAACCAGCCTTTTCTAGCTCCTGGTGCCTGCACACAAGTAACATTTCTGCCCCTCCCTCCTCAGGCAATGAAAGTTCTTTCCAAAAAGAAGTTACTGAAGCAGTATGGCTTTCCACGTATGTATCTGTTGGGTCCCGTGCTTGGGAGCTCCTTGCCTGGGGGCAGAGGAAGAGGGGACCTTGGCCCCTAGCCAGTTTTTGTTAGGACTGGGGGTAGAGGTGGGGACACCATGAGCAGAGACCTGGTGGTGGGAATGTGCTTGGTGGGTTGGGGCCAAGACCATGGTCTTACTACAGGATTCTTGCTTGAGGCTGGCTGTGGGGCCATGGTGAGGCTAGGCCTCCTGCAGCAGGGGCCTAACTCACCTTCGTGGTCACAGGTCGCCCTCCCCCCAGAGGGTCCCAAGCCACCTCAGGAGGATCAGCCAAGCAGCTACTGCCTCTTGAGCGCGTGTACCAGGAGATTGCCATACTGAAGAAGCTGGACCATGTGAATGTGGTCAAGTTGATTGAGGTAGGAAACAATGAGTGGGTGGGAACTTGGCCCAAGTCCTGTGCTCGGAGACACTCGGTACAGAACTACGGTTCCCACTGGAGGAGTGCATGAAGCTAGGGCCTCCAAAGATAGCGCTAGACCTAGGGTAGGGGTCATAAGGAGGCTTCAGGGGTCAGTTTAGGCTGGTCTGGGATGTTCTCAAGGTCTCAGTGAGGGTTAGGGGCTGCCTAGAATCAAGAAATGAGCCCCTCATCATGGCAGGAGGGGAAAAGAGCTGGATGTCATTTGGTGGGCCAGGGTTGAGGGTCAGTGGTTTTTGAGGCCTCATCTGTCCGGTGCCTGCACAGTTCCTGCTCCATTGTCTGGGGTCACTGCATATTGGGAGTCCTGGGGCTAGTGGATACAAGGAAGTCTGGGACCCCCAACCCATGCCTCCCCAACCCCTACTCCCATATCTGTTCCCTTTGACTAGGTTTTGGATGACCCAGCTGAGGACAATCTCTATTTGGGTAAGTGACCTAGCTCATTCCCCAAGCAGCTTACCTAAGGTCAATCTAAGGGCTCCCCAGGGATACACATGACCTTCAGATGGGCTGTGTGAACATGTTCTCAAGCCCTGGATGCCCCTGCCCATTCCTGCCAATTCCAGCTTAGAATATCCAGTTAGATTCAATAAATATTCCCAAGCCCCCACTCCATTAATCAGAGAGACAGTGGATCAGGTACATGTAGGAAGCAGGCTATGTGATGTGGGTTCCCAGACCCTGTCTGATAGTTCTGTGCCTCAGTTTCCTCACCTGTAAAACGGGGATTATATATGTACCTCATAGGGCTGATATGATAAATGAGTCATTGTATACAAGATTGTTGTTAATGTAGTTATTGTTTTAGTTCATGGTGCCTAATTCATGGCTGGGTTTAGAGGCCCTGAAATGGGGCAGAAAAACCACTGGCTTAGGAATTAAGGCCAAGGCTTTAGTCTTCACTCCCTGTCCTACCTGCCTGTCTGCTATGACCTTTAGGAAAATTCCTGCCTCATCTCCAAGGCTCCCACCTCCTTCCCAGCAAAGGAACCCATGCTGAATCAGATGAGGCAGATCCATAGGTAGAACCAACCACTCTTACCCATTCACTTCCTCTGAGACCTTGGGACCCTTGTCCCATCCCTCCCTCAGGTATGCTTGGATGCCTGACCCTCTCCTGCCTTCCAGAACAGGGAGGGACCTTGGCATCACTTGCTTTGCCAGCCTGGCTGTACCTTACTTACTTTTTCTTTTCTTTTCTTTCAGTGTTTGACCTCCTGAGAAAGGGGTGAGTTCCCCTTCCCAATCAGGCAGGCCAAGTCTAATCCAGGCCTTCTTTTCCCTCGCTGTGTCCCTAGTCCCAGGGTTAGTTGCTCTAGGAGAAAGCAGAGGCCAAAGCCCTGTGGGGAGCTCTGGTCTGGGGGAAAATGAGAGACCAAGAGGAAAATTCTTTGAAGTCTGGTGGGGGTCAGTAAGGCTGGGACATTCAGGAAGTCCTTTGAAAGGGGGTGGGTTTTGAGCCAGGCCTTGAAGAACTGGAAAGATTATGAGGGAGGAGAGGTAGAAGAAAGGAGGGTTTCTCAAGCAAATTTGTAGAGATGGGGCTAACTCTTACATGGGTTCAAATCACAGAGTTCTTGCAGCTTTATAAGTTTGTGTGTTGGGTGGGTGGGACTCTATTCGCTGCCATTTACAAGAGGGGAAGCTGAGGTTCAGAGTGGGTAAGTGGTTTATCTAATGTCTAATTAGGTTCTAATTCATGTCTGCCCTATTTGGCCCTCCTAGGATTATTGCAAAACACAGACATGGGGTAATGGGCACAGGCCTGGGTGGACCAGAGACCCTAACTGTTGAGACCTTGAATACAGGCTGTAGCTGGTAATTTGTCTCTCTGCAGGGAGTGGGGGTGCTAAAAGTAGCATCCCTTTAAGATTCAGAGGCTTTCAAATGTTTTTGACCTTCATTTAACTTAAGAAATACCAGTTTTATGTTACCATCCATACCTGTAACTGAAACCAAAGTTGTACAAAACAGTACATATCTTCATTAAATATGATATACTCTGATAAATTCTAGTTCATTTTTTTAAAAAAGCATTAGCCAACCAGTAAATTGATTTCATGACTCTCTATTAGGTCTAAACCTACAGTTTGAAAAACACTGCTCTAAATGCCACCTTTGCAATTAAGTACTTAGAAGAAAGAATACCAGGCCAATCAGAAATTAAGATCAAGCTAATTTGAAATTATAATGATTGTAAAGGGATATTTGAGTCTGTGTGTGTTTTGTTTCATTATATAAACACTCATTATATGAGTGTTTCATTATATGAGCTAATGACGGGTTCTGGGGAGCAGTTGGAGGGCTCCTGGGAAGTCCTGAGGGGCCTAAATGGCCCAGCCCCTATCCCCTTCACCAGTCTGCTTTATTCCTTCTGATTGAGCTGAACACTGCTCCTCCCCCCCTTCCTGTAGGCCAGTCATGGAGGTGCCCAGTGACAAACCCTTCCCGGAGGAGCAAGCTCGTCTCTACCTGCGGGACATCATCCTGGGCCTTGAGTACTGTGAGTGAGGGGCTGCCTCCCCCCTGGACCAGGGGATGGGAGAGTGGGGGGGTGGGGGCACACCAGAAGTGGTGGAGCCCAGGCTGAGCTCGCTCTTAGCAGTTCCTGTCTGTCAGCACTATCTACCAATCATTTTCGTTCTGTCATGGGTACTGTGGGTGAGGGAGGGTGTGTTTACTGTGAGAGCCCTAAGGTGATAAAAGCTCAGGAAGAAGGATGTTAGTTTAACCTCTATCACTCATTCATTTACTTCACTCACTTCATTCATATATAAGTACCCACTAAGTGACAGCTGCAGGCAAGGAGATGACAAAGACCCAGATGTGAATTCAGGGATCTCACAGCCTAGTAGGAGGAATAGGAACCCAAGCAGGCAGAAATAGAGCAGTGCCTACTAAGGTTGGGGAGGCACAGGGCTGTCAGAGCACTGAGGGGAGGCCTCCTGGAGGAGGCTACTTGTGACCAGGGTCCTAAAGGATAAGTAGGAGTTCACTGGCCAGGCTTGAGGGATGAATGGGAGAAAGTATGCCAAGCAGAGAGAACTGCATAGCAGCGGCACAGAGGAAACTGGGCATGTCCCATTTGAGAATGGGGAGAAGTAAAATCCAGTTGAAGCATGAGGCAGAGGGTAGTGAAACACCATTCTGGAAAGCTCTATTCAAGCTACACCATGAGGGCTGGTGGTACCTACACGAGGACTTTACTGATTTTATCCCATCAGCATTGTAAACCACTGAGGGATTTGAGAAGGGAGGGCATGATAGGATTTACATCTTAGCTCTTTCTGACAGCTGTGTGGTGGCTGAATAAAGGGCAAGAGGTGGCCAGCTGGTTAGGATGGAGGCTTTTTTTTTTTTTCTACAACCCAAGTGACAGATGGTAAGGTCTGGATTAGGATAGTGGCAGTGGGGAAGAGATATGAAGGAGGTGAGTGGGGGCAGCACTGGATGACTGACTTGTAATGGGGAGGGGATGGCCCTCAGGCACCTGGGTTTCTGGCCTGATTTGGGGAACAGGAATGATGCCCATCTCTCTAGCTTGGTTTATCAGGAACATATTCTCTCCCTGGGTGAACAGAGTGAGGACCTAGCTGAGTTGACAGGAACCAGGATTGTCTTTATCTCATTTGAGCCACTTCAGGGCCCTCCAATTAATACTCTCTTTGCATATTATGGGGAAACTGAGGCACACAGAGAAGAGGGCTTTGCAGAAAGTCCCTATCAAGGGTCTAGTCTTATGGGAAAGGGGTATTTACCCTGGGTGTGACAAGTGGCACCCACAATCCTGTACCAGGTTGGCTTCCACCCCTTCCTGTCCTGGGCCCTTCTCTTCAGCTAAGGGTCTGTTGTCTACTATCCTCTGTTCTCTACTCACCCCAAAATAAGCTAACCCCATCTTGCTTTTGGGTAAAGCCTTATCAAGACCCAGCTAATCATGTGAAGGGCTTCCCAGAGCCCATTAGTCAGAACCAGGGGCTGGACAGGCAGATGAATGGAAGTACCAGGCACTGAAGAGCTTCCTTGTGATTCTGGTTGTCAAAAGGGAGGAGGGCCAAGGCTGCTTGGGGAAGGTTCTGTGATCAGAGAGCCCAGGCCTGATTCTTATAGGTGGGGCAAGCACAGCAATGCAGGTATGAGAAGCAGTCAGATCTGGAATGTGTCTCAGAAGTTGAGCCCATAGGACTTGCTGATGAACAGAATGTGGGTTCTGAAAGAGAGATGAGTTGAGGATGATCCTGAGGTTTTTGGCCTGATAGTGTGCCATTAACCAAATAAGGAAAGACCAGAGGAGGAGCAGGGGTCTTCTGTTCTGTTTGGTGGTGGTGGTGGGTTATGTTGGTGGTGGGTTATATTCAGAAATCAAGTTCTGAATTAGACGTGTTACTAATAAATATTGAGATGTCTACTGGATAGCCACATGGATAAAGAACCCAAGTTCAGGGGAGAGGCAAGGGCTTGAGATAAGAATTTGGGACCGCTTTCCATGGTCAAATACACAGTGCCTTGAGCCTCTGCACTCTAATGGGTATGTGTCAAATCTCTTGTGTACCCCAGGCACATAGGAGGCAGTCACTATAGGACCACTGGTTTGGTTGTTATTGTTGTGTGACACTCGCTATTCATTCCCTCTGCCCCTAGCCTTCCTGTCCTCTGCCTCTCCTCTCCTACCCTTTCCATCTTCCCTCCTCTCCAGCTTCGTGGGATCTGCTGGTCCAGGGGAAAGTATATGCTGAGTGGGGAACCCCTAAATGGGTAGCTGTGGGGTAGAGTCAGTGCCTTCTCTTAGCTGGGACATCTCTGGCCATCTCAGCCTGAGATGCCCATCTTTTCCTGACAGTCCTAGACTCGGGAAGTAAGGTAAGCCCTCAGCCTACTGGAGAAAGCTGATCCTTACCACAGCCATGTCATCCCAGCAGTCCCAAGGCCTGGAATGCCCTTTCTTGCTGAAACTTCTTTAGCTCAGAGTCCCTAAGCCTAAGGCAGTATTTCTGCAAGATACCTCACTGTTCCACCCTAAGTCCAAGTAGAAGAACATCTCTGACCAGGCTGGGTGGGAGAAGAGACTGGGGAAACCTTTTGACAGGCTTTGAGACTGCAGATAACATGAGAGAGGACCAGAGATGGTCTGTGGAGAGCCTCCCTTCCCAATTTCCTCTGATGGCCCCCCTCAGCAACAGAGAGCACTGCATTTGGAGTCCAAAGACTCCTAAGAGTCTAGTCCTGGCTTTGCTTCTAACAGCCTGGGCTGGCCTTGGTGTCTGCTGCATAGTGGAGCAGAGGGCCCTAAAGTCGTCCTGAGATGAGTGTGTACGTGGGCTGGGATGGCCCATTCCTTCTTACCTAGAGTTTGAGCTGGCCAGGTGAGGGTGGGATGGGGGGGGGGTGTGCTCCCAGCAGTTGTCCCCCAGACCAGCACTCATGCTGCCTCTCTCTGTAGTGCATTGCCAGAAGATCATCCACCGAGATATCAAGCCGTCTAACCTGCTCCTGGGAGACGATGGGCACGTGAAGATTGCCGACTTTGGCGTTAGCAACCAGTTTGAGGGGAACGATGCTCAGCTGTCCAGTACAGCCGGGACTCCAGCATTCATGGCACCTGAAGCCATTTCTGATTCCGGCCAGAGCTTCAGTGGGAAGGTGGCTTCTAGGACCTAGGCTGAGTTGGGGCTTGGGTAGAGGGGAGGGATAGCTTGCAGTGGGGCCTCATTTCCAACCTGAGGGTGTCAGGGTCCTTGGGTCTCAGGAGTGAACACTGAACACAGTTCTCTCCTTCCTGTTTGCCTCTTCCTGGAGTCCTGAAAAACTCCCCAACTTTGACCTCCTCTCATTTTCCAGCAGAATGGCCCCTGGCCTCCCCTGCAAATATCTTCTGCCAGCTGCTCTGTGCTGAGTCCTGAGCTAGCCCCGCTCCCTGTCCTTCTGGAGATGGTGAAAAGAGCAGGAGAGCTCATGTTTAGGAAGAAGTTGGAGGTTCCCCTGAGGCTTTTGGAGATGGCAGGGTTTGAACTAGGCCTTGAAGAATGGGGAGGATTTGAGTATGAGGTGGAGTCCAGGAAAGGTGCAAGAGCACTGAGGGGCACAGGGAAGGGGGCACGATGGGTCTTGGGCAGAGTTTAGAAGGCCTGAGGGTTTGTGGCTCCTCCTAACTGACAGACATGGCGAGCAAAGCTTTCTGAGCAGACGGCTGCAAGGCAGTGTGTTCCCCTGAGCACACATGCCTTCTCTCACCTGGGGAGTCCTGGCTACCCCACTGTGCCCCTGCCAAGGAACCAATGGTCAAGAGGCATTCAGACATGTGTGTGGATGTGGAGCTCAAGAGAGGGGTCAGGGATGTAGAGATATTGGTTAAGAACTTCTAATTTTGGTATAATTCCAAATTTGCCCAGAATTGCAAGGATAATACAAAAAAACTCCCTTGTATCTTTTTACGCAGATTCACCAATTATTGACATTTTGTCCCGTTTACCCTTATCACTAAATATTTTAGCAGATATTTTCTAAGAACAAGGACATTCTCTTACATAACCTCAGTATGATTATCAAAGTTAGAAAATCTATCATTGATACAAGACTATTATCTCATCGACCTTATTCACATTTTATCAGTTGTGTGGATACTGTTGTTCTTTAATGCCCCCCCCCTCCTTTTTTTTGGCCCAAGACCTGATCCAGGGGTTAGAGTACTCAATGGTCACATCTCTCTGGGGTCCTTTAATCTGGAAGATTTCCTCAGTCTTTCTTTGTCTATTCTGACCTTGACATTTTTGAAGAGAACAGTTTGGTTACTTTGTAGAATGATGTCAGTTTACATTTGTCTGGTGTTCCCTCGTTGGATTCAGATGAGGTGTCTGTGGCAGGAATATGTTAGGTAGACATTTGAGAATCATTCACATATGAGAGGAAGTGGGAACCAGGAGAAGAGAGGGGTTGCAGAAGGAGAAAATGTAGAGAGGGCACATGTTAGAACCCAGGACATGGGGGAGCTGTGAGGAGCCGTGGAGCTGACTGAGGGCCAGGGCCTTGGTATGGGCAGGAGCTATTTCTAGTGTCAGAAAGCAGGTGGATGGTGGCTTCTCCAGTGGATTATCAGGAAAAGGGATGACGAACTGGTTTAGTGAGTCTAAGTTTAATACACACCATGGTTTCTGCACCGTGGGTACGGCAAATGTGACCCTGTAGGGGAAGGTAGTTTTGCACCTGTTGAGTTAAATCTGGTTTGGGTCTGTTCTGAGGGGACTTAGAATCCCTGAGAGGTAGGGGTCCTGTTCTGGTTGACCCTGTCTCTAGTGCTCAGCACAGGGTCAGGTATAGAACAACCTGGGAGTATTTGTTGAGTGAATACATGACTGAGGAAGGAGTTTCCCAGTGTACCCTCTCCCATAGCCCACATGAACAAAGGGTGTTGGTTCTTTTTAGGGGACTGATATTACCTATCTTTTCCTAGGCCTTGGATGTATGGGCCACCGGGGTCACGTTATACTGCTTTGTCTATGGAAAGGTGAGTGTTGGGTGGGCTGGCAAAGCTGGGCAGGCCTATACCCTTGGCACCACAGGCAGGGCCTCACTGTACCAAGATGAATGACAGCTGCAGGCCCTGCCTTCATGTCCTAAAGTAAAGTGACTTTTGAAAGGGCCCCCCTGGCTCAGAGAAGACTGAGGGAAAAAGAGGCTTTTTTCTGTTTCTCCTGAGCCTTGGGAGGAGATTCATGTGAAGAAGTTCCAGGACAGCAGACATCCCAGTGGGAGGTGTAGACGGTGGTGTTGCCCTCTCTTCACCAGAGCACGCCCTGTCCTTCTGGCCCTTGATGCCATTCATTCTTTCATTCCTTCACACATTGACTGACTCATTCATTCATTCATTCTACAAATTGTCCTTGAGTTTTGCTCTGGGTAAGCCTGGGCCTTGAGAACACTCAACACCTGGCCGAAATCCATGTCCCCAGGAGGAACCACTCTAGTGATGGCACTGAGAGGCAGGAGGGAATCTCAGTGAACATGGTTTGTAGACTCTAAGTCCTGGGAACGGAGGCCTTTCTGCAGGTGGCTGGAAGGCCAGTGGGTATACTGAGCCTCATTTGTTCCCTCAGTGATTCATTTGTTCCCTCAGTGTTTGTTGAGCACCTACTATGTGCCAGGCCCTAAACAAGTTTGACAAGGTATCTCCCATCTATCAAGGAGCCCAGAGCTGCCCCTACTTCTGACTGCACCAAGAAATGGGATCAGTCCCCCAGGGCAAGTTGAGGCTCTGGGCCTGCATCCTTTGTCTGCTTCTCCACCCAACAGTGCCCATTCATCGATGATTACATCCTGGCCCTGCATAGGAAGATCAAGAATGAGGCCGTGGTGTTTCCTGAGGAGTGAGTTGCCCATCGAGGGGGCTCCTGCCCACCCCCAGGGAGGCGTGTCTGACTTGTAGCAGAGCATTTGCCCTTTGAAGGCCCCACCCCAGCCTGCAGATCTGGAGGTGGGGGTGCTGTTTCCTGGGAGAGGCACCTGCGCAGATGAGGGGTGGGACTGTAGAGCAAGGTCTCAGAGATACCTGATTGGATTCCATTGTACAAATGGAACTCTGAGGCTAGGAGTTGGGCAGGAATGACCCCAGATCACACATTCACACTGCTCCTTCTCTAAAGGCTTCTGTGGGGTTAATGGCATCAACTTTACACGGACTAGGGAACCATGTAGGGTACCCTACACCCACATGGGGTAGGAGGACTTCAGGATACCAGTGTGCTTCCCCATATCATAGATGGAAAAGTGGAGGCTCCAGAGGAGAGTTATCAGAGGATCTGGGATTTGAAGCCACTCCATCCTCCCTGTCCCTTCCCTTGTGACTGAGATCTCTGAGCTCAGAGGACTATTTGGAGAGGTGTCCCTGCTCATCTGTGGTTCTTCTGATTATGATATTGGCGATCATGGCTCCTTACTTTTCAGGGCCCTTCTGCCATCTGATCAAAGTGCCTGGGCAGGTCAAAAACCATCCTGGGTGTTGTCCTCGATGGCTCTTACTGCCTTGTGCCCACTCCCCATCTGGTCCCCAAGCCCTGTTGACTCTACCTCGTATAGATCTCTTGACTCCATTGCCACCTGTGCCCCTAAGTGGTTCTGTCCTCAGCCTTGTCTTTGGTCTCCCTGCTGCCACCCTCCTTCCAGCGTGGCCACCACAGTCAGGCCAGGGTGACCCTGATAAAGCAGAACATATCTCACCATATCTCTTGCTGAAAGTTTTTCCATGGCTTCCCAAAGCCCCCATGAAGAGGCCCTTTCCTGGCTCTGCCATTCGAGGACCTCTGGAATTTGCCACCTCATCCCACACAGCACTAGCCAACTAGATTCCATCCCTTTCCTATAATTGCCTCTCTCTGTACCTTTCCTCCTGCTGTACCCCATGCCAGAGGTCTCTTCCTCCCAGCCCAGGAGTTTTAAAAGGGATTAAGTACGACAGCAGAGGGATCCAAGGTCAACAGTCCCAGAGTGAGTTCCTTCTCTGCAGGCTTAGACGGATGGGCTTCCCAAAAATGTTGGTAGCAGAGAAGCCTGGAGTTTGGGCAGAAACAGTCGGGGTAATGTGGGGTTGAGAGTCCTGCTCCTCCTTCCCCTGGTCTCATCCCTGCCCTCACTCTTCTGAATAGCAATGTGTCAACCCACTAACCTCTCTGGGCCTCAGTTTCCTCCTCTGTCAAATGAGAATCTTTCTCTCCCAGGCAGAGGAGAGGATAAGATGGCGAGTAGGGTAAAGGCCCCTAGTGTCCCATAAAATGACTCTTCTCACAGTGTCCTCACCATCTCTGCCCCCCAGGGAGTGTCTAGTACCCCCTAGAACTGCATTTGTGTTTGTGGTGACTGCCTCCTGAGGGAGATGGCTTTACTTCCTATTCGGGGAAAAAAGGATAATCCATCTACTTGTTCTGAAACTCTACCCTTCTGCCTTGGTACCTTGGGGTATCCCTCTTGCTCCTGAAGAAATGAGGGTTGGATGTGTCTCTGCCCTGACCTATACTATTCAGGAAATCCTAGAGCAGGTGGGATGGAGGTGGGCAGAAAAGAATCTTCACTAACTATCTCATCTTCCCCCCTTGTAGGCCAGAGGTCAGTGAGGAGCTCAAGGACCTAATCCTGAAGATGCTAGACAAAAATCCTGAAACAAGGATTGGGGTGCCAGACATCAAGGTTGGGGAACCAGAGGTCTTGGGCTGGGCTGGTCTTGGACACAGCAAAGAGGCCTCAGTTTCTCCTCCTAGAGAGCCCTACACCAAAATATATTGGGTTTAGATTTGGGGTTTGTGGGCTGTGGATCCCCTCCAGGTGATTGCTGGTAGAATGCCCATGGTCCTTTGCTGACGGGGTGTCGTCTGTCTGACCTCTCCCTGCCCTCCCAACTCCACAGGTGCACCCCTGGGTGACCAAGGGTGGGGAGGAGCCCCTTCCCTCGGAGGAGGAGCACTGCAGTGTGGTGGAGGTGACGGAAGAGGAGGTGAAGAATTCAATCAAGCTCATCCCCAGCTGGACTACAGTGGTAAGGGGGTGAGGGGGAGAAGGCTCCCTTGTCCTAGGAGGGCCTGAGGAGGGCATTGCCCCTGCCCGAGACATGCTCTTCTGGGCCCTGATGGGAGACAGAGGGCCATCTGGTTGGCTGGCCCTGATGCTGATCTGCCAAAGTCCTACTGGAGGGCAGTGGGGTTTGAAAGAGATCATGTTATTCAGCCTTGTGCTAGGGAGACCCGGAGGCTTGGTGAGGAGAGTGAATGATTTAAAGCAATATACTGCCCTCACCAAGTGTCAGCATTCACCACACTGCAAAAAGCATTTTCTTCCCTTCCTCCTTCCTTCCATCCCTCCTCCTCTCTGCCCTCCTCCCTCCTTCCTTCCCTCCCTGTTTCTAGGCACGGTACAAAGTGCCGAGGACATGACAGTGAGAAAGCCTAAAGCCTGGGGGCTTCTGAATTAGAAAGGTTGCCTGAGCCCCTGGATCTCATTCATGTGCTTCCTCCACTCTCACAGTTTAGTCTTTCTCATCTGCCATGTTAACTGTTGGAAGTTACTCATGTAGCACCTAATGGCCAGTTGGGGCTTGGGGGGAACACTGAGAACCATGGCCTGCCCTGCACTGAGGTCTATCACAGCAAGTCGGGGTCATCACAGGGCAAAGAGAGAGCTGGTACCTGTGCCCTGCGTGACATGAGCTCTGTGCATGTCAGCCCTCCCTACTGGGTCCAGGCCCAGCTAGAGCCAGGTGGCCAAAGTCCTGCTCATTCCTATGATCTGTGGAGCTCCGGGGCTCTAGAAGGCCCCTGGAGCCAGGCAGCTTCTCTAGGGTCTCTACTGCTACTTCCTTGGTCTTGGCCACCCTTGTCTCTCTCCTTCACCACTGAGATAGCCTCCCAAGTTGTCCCCTGCTTCCACCCTGACCCCTACTGCAGGTGCTGCTCAGTTCAGTGGGCAAGGGGTCCTGGTGACTCATCAGGTCACTTTCCAGCTGAGACCCTACTCACTTAGGCCTCCTTGTCACTCAGTTAAGAGCCACAGCCTTGACTACCTGGGAGGACCTAGCACAGACTGCCTACCTCCCACCTCCATCTCCCCACTGACCTTACCTCTCTCCTCCCCTCCCTCCGTTTGCTCAGCTCTAACCATATGCCACATGAGCTGCCACTCCAGAACCTTCTTTGCTGGGGGGTGCCCCTGCCCAGATACGTGCAGGGCCCACTTCTTCACTCCCTTTGGGCCCTTTCTCCAAGGTCACTTCAGTGAGAAGTGAGCCTTCCCTGGCCCCTTATCTAAAATTCCCACCTCCACTTTGTCATACCGTATCCTTCTGCCCTGTTTTATTTTTTTTCTCTTTAGCCCTCACCACTAACTAGCATATGTTTTACCGATTTGTCTTCTTTACTGCATGTCCCCCCAACTAGAACCTAAGCTCCATGAAGGCAAGAATTTTTGCCTCAGCGTGGCTGGCACCTGTGCCTTGAATAATTGTGTCTGGCAAAGGGTAGGAGCTCCATAAATAGTTATTGGTTGAATGAATGAACAAACAAATGACTAAAAGGACAACTAGGGCAGCCCGTGTGGCTCAGCGGTTTGGCGCTGCCTTCAGCCCAGGGCCCAATTCTGGAGACCCGGGATCAAGTCCCACACTGGGCTCCCTGCATGGAGCCTGCTTCTCCCTTTGCCTGTGTCTCTACCTGTGTGTGTGTGTGTGTGTGTGTGTGTGTGCGTGTGTGTGTCTCATGAATAAATATTTTATAAATCAATCAATCAATCAATGGACAACTGAATGCACCCCCACAGTAGGCATGTGTGTGTAGGCAGGGGCTTAGAAGTGTTCTTGCTGCAGGAGAAGGGAGATAGTTAGAGAACCAGGGTGCAGCAGCCTCTCTCTGTCCAGGCATCTCCCCTGGGCCACCATGCTGCTTCCTCTCTGCTCCTCCTGCCACAGCCTCTGTTCTGCTCCATCCTTCCCACCTTAGCTCTAAGGCATTCCCTGATTACACTCCCCATATCCTCAGGGTAAAGTCCCTGCTCTTAGTCTGTCATTCCAGGCCCTTTATAGTCTGCTCCTGGCCTTGGGGCACCCCCAGGCACCATTGTGCCAAGCATCTCACCATTCCTAGAATTCACCCTTAACCTTCACCCCTTGTGCTCTTGTCATTTCCTCCACCCAGAATACTCTTCCTTTCTCTGTTGGCTGGAAGGGAGCCTCAGCAGAGCCCACCCAGGAGATGTACCCTTATGGAGTCTGTGTGGAGGCTGCCAGTGTGTCTGGGAGCCTGAGGTCTTGTGTTCCTCACTCTGATCTGTCCTCTCCAGATCCTGGTTAAGTCCATGCTGAGAAAGCGTTCCTTTGGGAATCCATTTGAACCCCAAGCTCGGAAGGAAGAGCGATCTATGTCTGCTCCAGGAAATTTACTGTCGTAAGTACCGGTGGGCTGAGGCCTGCGGGGTGCTCCCTGGGGTGGGGTGAGGGCTGTGTGTATCCCTGCAACTCTCACTGTCACTGGGCTGTACAGGCTGAGCCTGGGGCCCAGGGACACAGCCAGATCTCAGGGGAGGGCCCCGTTTGTACCTCTGTTCTCAGGGCACCACAGCTAGGTCAAGGTGTGTAGGCATCATGTCTGCTTCTTGTAGAAAGTTGCCTGTCTCTGGAAGGAGGGGCGCTTCTGCTGACTCTTCCTGGCCTGGGGGAGTGTTAGCTTTCCTGAGTAATCCATGCTACCTCCAGCTGTGGCTGAGGCATATGCTCTGTTATCACTTTGTACATGCTTGTCCAGTGAGTAAGTATGGACAGGCTGGCTGATAGGGCCAGGGAAAAGGAACTCCCATTGGCCAAAAGCTCCCTACTGCGAACCACGCATGTGCATTCACCACCTCCTAGGAGAGCCAGAAGAGCAGCTCCCCAAACCTCTGTCAGCCTCGTCCTCAGCTTTTCCACCTGCTCCCTTTAAAATAAAAGTCAGTTTGGGTTGCCAACAAGGCCTGTTGGAGTTTGTGCACAGACCTGCAAAGGGAAAATCGTGAGGGAGTCCTGGACCAGAAGGTAGTCCTTGGACAGTGGTTGCCTTCCTCTGGCCTGTGAAGGGTTCTACAGAGGGGAGACTCTGTGCACCCCGCACCCTGCCCCCATCCTCTGCCCCTCCCACCTGCTGTGTGGAGAAGGCTTGCTCCCTAGAGAGGTGAGTGCCAGTTTTTCAGGTACCTGAGCCTCTCCTTCTGGGGAAGGAGTAACATGACATGTGCTGTGCGGTGGGGGGCAGACCTTGGTTTCGTGAGAGGCCACCCTTTTTTAAGTGGGCTCTTCAGAAGTGTCAGGTCCCATCATCATGGACAGGCTGGTGTCTGCTCCAGCCAGAGGTTGTTTGCACTCAGGAGGTTCATATACCAACTGCTTGCCCTCCACTTGACAAACCTCCTGGCCACTGGAGGTTGAGGGGTGGGTCTTTGGAGAGGTCTTGACAGTACTGAACTTATGTTCAGTGAGGTGGCCAGCGTGAGGAGAAGGAGTTCCCTGGGCTTCTCTTAGTCTGCAGGCCTTGATGCTGGAATTGGGTTTAGTGTAGGCGACCACATCCTTAGCATCCAAACAGAGCCACTTCCGAGAGTGAAAGAGGAAGCTGTTACTATGGCAGGACAATAGGCATTACGCAGGACGGTGATGATGGACAAACCTGGATGGAGGGTTACTCTCTCAGTGCCTGTGAGTCAGCGCTCCCTAGTGCTGGGACAGGGCACTTGCAGGCTGAAGACACCTAGTCTATGTCTGGCACAGAACTGGGTCCTAAGAATATGGCTGAACAAGGCAATCAATCATTAATCATTGTCCTTTTATGGACATGTTAATGGGTAGAAAGGCTAGTCTGCTCATCTGGACTGTGAGAGGATTGGGCTTAATCCTTTTCAGGTATAAAACTCTATAATTCTGTGTCCTAAGTTTAGTTTTGAAAAGCAGGTTTTACCTCATCATAGAGTCCTAACATTTGTCCTTGATAGATTGTTTTTTATGCTTTGGGATAATTGGTGAAACCCTACAGTAGAGTTAAATGGGATTGATTTTTTTTTTTTACATCAAAATATATTCACTGGCTATTTTAAAAAGAAAAATCTTAGAGGAATAATCGAATACAAGAATCTATTAAATATGTGACTGAATTCCAAGACTGATAGGTAGACTCTGCCCTGTGAACAAGGCAAAGAAAATACAAAACCAAAACCCCTCTATCCAGAACGACGGGGGCTGAGCTAGACCAACAGGGAAGGCCTGTGACCTGGCTGCTACTCAAGGATGCAGGGGACTCAGTGGGGTCAGCTGGTGAGCAGCTCTGGAAGGCAGGCTGGGAAGGCTGGACTTCATCTCTAGGCAACAGTAAACCACAGAGGGTTGTGGGCCAAGACTAGGGATAGGGAGACCAGCAAGGGGCACACTGCAGGGGGCAGGGCTGAGGGAAGCTTTGAGACATGGTGAGGGGCGGGGGGAGGGGCATAAGGGGCAGAGGGCAGTGGTTGAGGAATTGTGGAAAGGAATGGCTATGTATGTGAAAGAGTGTCTTCCTGAGTCCTTGTTCTGACCCCTGAGGTCCCTCTGCCCCTGGTGTCCCCTGAACAGGAAAGACAGGTGTGGTGAAGGGGGCAAGAGCCTGGAGCTCCCCGGCGTCCAAGAAGATGAGGCTGCATCCTGAGCCCCTGCATGCGCCCAGGGCCGCCGACAGCACGCTCATCCCACGCCTCCAAAGGCCCACTGCCCTCATGCCGACAGCCGCCCCTGCGGCAGGGGGCTGAGGACTGTGGCCCCTCTCCCGGCCCTCCTCCTTCTGTCATGCTGCATGACCTCAGCGCACAAGTCCAGAGACAGGATTGGAATGTTCATCATCTGGGGTTTGGGGGTGCAGGGCTCCCGTGAGGCCTTCCTCCTTACCCTGGCTCCCCCTGGTGGGACCCATCCTGTGGGAAAGAGAGGTGCCCATTGTACCTTAGAAACCCTACCTGGCTGGTTGGCAAGGCAGGAGGTAGGAAACCAAGCTCGCAGGTGGAGGCCTGGTTTACCACCACGCAGATACCTCCCACTGGGGGCCAGGCCGGCCTGGTTCAGTTGCCTCATGCACATGGAGGGCTGTACCGTGCCCACCTCATGGGGGGTCCTGCCAGAGCTCTTGTCTACTAAGAATGCTGATGTGGAGGCTCAGAGCCCTCAGGGGGTATTTGTGGGCCTCACTGAGGCAGGGGCCAGCATTAGAGAAGTCAAGATTCCTTTTTGGTTGTCGTTTACTTTGAACATTGTGGCAGGGGCAGAGTGGTGGTGGTATTAAAGGCCTGCTTGGGAATGTCTAAAAAGCTCTCCTACAGCTTTAGGTGGTTCCCAGCACACTAATCATCATTTGGCAGCCAGATGAGGTAGACTAAGTTTCCTTAATTGTTTCACACTCAGCACCATCTGGAGAAATGGGTTAAATGAAAGCTCTGGGCAGAGGCCTGAGCCGGGAACACCCACCTTCTTTGCCCACTTTACTCCTTCCCCGCGTGGCTCCCCTGTAGAAGAGACACCAGGGGCTGGCCAACCAAGGGCCCTAGACTCACAGGGCTGTGGCCCAGTAGATGCTGAAGTAACTGGAATCCAATCTCTGATCCTACACTGGCCTGCCCATCTGGCCCCAGGAGCCATCCTCGCATTCCTACAATGAAGGACAAACTGCCCAGGTTGGAGGCAGCACTGGAAGCGGAACCCTGGTGGGGTGTGCATGCTGGCAAGTGGCCACAGAGAGGTGCACCTCCTGCCACTGCCTCACCCCAAGACAGCTGACATTTGGCCTGCTCGGAGCTGGTGTGCTGGAGCATGTGTGTGGACCTGGCCATGTTGGGGCAGACTTCATCTTCTCCCTGGGATCCATGCCTGGCTGGCTTGGCATTTACTGACCAAATGCTCAAGAGATTGAATCCCAAAGGAAAATAAAGTAGGCCTCAGATACCTCCCCTGAAAACATGGGCCAAAAAAGGGATTTCAGTTGCCTTTGTGGGGTTCCTACTGCAGGAAGGCTGGTGCTGAAAAGGAAAGGGAGGCTGGGCTGTAGGAGCATCTGTGTCCTGCTCATCCTTGTGCCTGTGGGTATATGTCGCACCTCCACGCACATGCATATGCGTGTCCATCTGCTGCACACAGCACACTGCATGTCTTGCACTGGCACATGCATCTGTAATATAGTTTCTATGTGTCTTTAAGTCTATGAACAGAATGTGGCCCATTATCAATGGGCCCACCTTTCTCCCTGGCTCCTTTACACTGAGGCATTGTAACCTAATTAAAAATAATAATTAAAAATAATTAATTATGTAAATAAAAAATAACTCGGTACTGTTTTTAAGAACACTTTTTTAGAGTTCACAGGAAGCTAATCACAGATCCACAAGTTTCCTTGAGCATCTCTACACTGGGGCCTGGAGGGTGGGAGTTACAAGGGGCTACATCAATTGGGCCTGCCCTCGCAGACTTCAAAGGTGGGCCTTGGCTTCATTGCCCATGTCAGAGTCTGGATGGGGTACTCACCCCATCACTGAGGGTCTTGGTTGGCATTATTGGTTTTTGTATTTTTTTGGCATTATTGTTTTTGAATGTAGCACAAGTGATGAACAAACTCCGTAAGAGTGTTTTAAAAATTAACTTCCCAGGAAGTGAGTTTAAAAAACAATAAAAGCCCTTTCTTGAGTTAAAAACAAAAACTTTGTGTGTACATTTTCAATATCTGGATGTGTGCTCTTTCTCACCACCTGGACCAATGGCTTTGCTAGTTCTGGAAGGGTCTGAGCAGGATAGTGGTGAGAGGAGCTCTGTGGGGGAGGGGAGAGTGAAAAGGAGTCCAGGACAGAGGGAGGGGGAAAGGCTGGCTCTGGAGGGTAAGGATGTAATTCAGTCTCCTGAGCAGGTTCCATGGCCCTTCCTTGGGAAGAACAGGGTGTTTAGGGCCAGTGGGATGCCCATGTTTCCCAGGGGCCTAGGGAGCCCAAGGTCTGATCCTTGGAAGCCATTACCACTCCTCATCACCACAGGAGTCCCTGTGACATGAGCCCAGTAAAGACACTGGGCCCCTTTAGCCTTGGGCACCAGCATGGGCTTTCTGCCCCCTGCGGTTTCATGCTCACAGTACGCCCTCCGTGGCCATCATGAAGAGTCATCATTGAGGTCAGACTGGCTTGAGCTTGAATCCAAGCTTTCCCACTTAAAGGAAAAGCTGTGTGTGATCTTTGGCAAGCCATTGGAGGAGTCTTGGTTTCCTTATTGGTAGAATGTGGATAATATCAGCACCTCCTCGGGGGGGGGGGGTTCTTGTGAAGTTAAATGAAGTCTTTGTGCCAAGCATCTGATGCAGTACTCGGTATATAGTAAATACTCAGCAAGTGAAGCCCTTAAAAGAAAGAAAACTTTCTGCTTCTGGGGCTGTCTGGAACCAGCCTTAGAGGCTCAGCACATCTTGCATGATCTGTATTTACCTATCTGTGGAGTTCCCAGCTAGTTGAAACAAGACCAACCAGGAGACCAAGCCAAAGGCTACCCAGCATGCTGATCAGTTTTGCTGTCTGAGAAGTGGATACCAAAGCTGTTACTGCATGTTTCCTGGTCATCCTGTGAAGGTTTCATGAGTGATTATACCAAACCCTCTCTAAGATGGGCACTGGTAGCCAGACAAAGGTTTCCCCAATGTCAAGACCAATGTGTAGATCTGTTCTACTTCCTTCCCACTATCTCATTTTCTCAAGTGGTCTCCTGGCCTTAGTCCTTAGGACTCTAATCCATCCTCTTACTGGTTACCAGAGCAATCTTCAGGCACCCACCTGACCATGCCCATCCCTCTCAGAACCCTTCCATGCTTCTCCAATGGTCGGCCTGGCATTTGAGGCCCCTGCCATCAGCCCTACTACCCTCTGGATGCTGTCCTGACCACACCCCACACTCCATTCTCTCCTTACTCGCCACAGCTCTTTAGGCCTATCCACTCCGGAAAACTGCCTTCCCCCATCCCTGCCCCTGCTTGTCAAAGTCAGCCCCACCTCCAAGGGGCTGGTTCATCCCAAGCATTGGTCACCAAGCCCTGGGCCTGGGTTTGATTGGCCACATTGTCATGCTTAAGAACTTTGAATAGGATCACGGGTGCATGATGTCATTTCCCTATGAGGACAGCCACTCTAGGAGGCACACTGTGGTAGGGAAACTGAGGCCCAGGAAACTGGGTCTCACTCAATTACATAGCAAGTCAGGGAAGAACCAGACTATGCCCAGGTCCCCTGTCCACCCACCCCACCCAGGTCTGCCCACATCAGCTGCCAGGAAAATGGAGAACCCCACACAGGGAAAGCCTATCTAGGAAAATCAGAGACAGAGGCTGCTCTTCCAAGCCTAACCACACAGGATAGCTGAGCCTAGGCCAGTGGTGTTTAGCTAGACACTAGGGGGTAGTCTGGGGTTTGTCCTGGAGGCCCTAAAGGCAACTGAGGCCTAAAGGCCTAAAGGCAACTGAGGTTTCCAGTTTTCCCAAGGGATCACCCAGACACATACTGGGATCCATATAAACACCCTACAGATTACTTAGTCCCAGCACGCACACAGGCTTGCACACCTGCATAGCCTCGCCTTGGGCAAATAAGCAGGCCTGCCTCCTGGGCCATTGGGACCCTGCCAAGGGAGGCCAGGGGAAGCCATGTGATGCGTGGTACTAGACACTGGAGGTTAACTGAGGCTCAGGAGGAGGCCAGGAGGGTCTGGGGAAGGGTATTCCCTCCATCTCACCTGCAGAACAGAGCCCTGACCTGCAAGGACTCCCTGCACCACTCCAGTCTCCTGCCAGACTGGGTGGCCATAGCTTAAATGACCATCTCCTATCCAGGTCCCCTCTGCCATACACACAAAGAACTGGCTTTGTCCTTGGGCTCTCAGATTCATTTATTTCTCCAGCTAGGATGTCCCAGGGAATGAAGTCTAGATCCTTTCATTCTCCAGGACAGCTGCCAGTCCCCTCCCTGACTTCAAGCTGACCATTCTGTCATTAGCCACCCTAGCTTTGTGGTCACCCTCCCTGCCCTCCCCACTGCCTAAGCCCCCACCATCTCCAAGTCATCTCCTTCAGGAAGCCTTCCCTTGTCTACAACCTCAGAGACACCCTTGCACCAAGACTGGAATCAAGGGCCAGGAATTGCAACCATACCCACTGACGAAGTCACTTTCTCAACCTATATCTGCCACTGACTGTTCCACCATGGTGAAGACCATTCAAAGAGCATCTCTCAGCTGTATCACAAGATGGGGTCTTTCCTCCAGGGACCCCATTCTCTCCACTTGATCCCTAGTAAGGCCATTCTCTGGCCTGTAAATCTCTGGCTTTTTCTGGTCTCCTGTTCCTGCTACTCAGCCTGTAAACTAGCTCAGGCCTCCCGTGAAGCTATAACCCAGATTTCCAGCCCCTTGCCTTTCCAAAGGCTACTGCCTCATACTCCTAGGCATGTAGGTGGAAGCCCCTCCCGCCTCCTCTCTCAGATGCCTTCTGCTACTGCCTGGCTCATTCTGTTCCATTCTCAGCAAGACTGATCACTTTCCTAGCCTCGGTCCATGCAATTGGCTGATGCTGTCTGCATTAAGAGCCTTGTGACACCCCTAACCTCCCTAGCCCTTTGGTCTCCTCAAGAGCCTATCTCCCATGGCCCAGACGTGTCTATGCCGACCGAATGGAATGGAATAATGGGGAACTGCAACATAGGAAGGAACTGGTTAAACCTGTTTACTTGGTCTCCCTGAGTCCAGGGGACCATCACTAAGGCACCTGAACTTTCACAGAAAAGGATCCCCTTGCCTTTAGTTGCTCCCATCTCCTTCTTTAAGACAAGTTGTGCCAATATCTACCCACTTTCCTGGGAAAACCACTCCAAAGCTGAGAGAAGGCTCCCAGCTGTGGTCTGCCTCTCCCATTCTGAATTCAGTCTAAACAGTAGTTATTGGGATGCCTGGGAGGCTCAGCAGTTGAGTGTCTGCCTTTGGCCCAGGTCACGATCACAGGGTCCAGACTGAGTTCCGCATAGGGCTCCCTATGAGGAGCCTGCTTCTCCTTCTGCCCCGCTTATGTCTCTGCCCCGCTCTCTCTCTTTCTCATGAATAAATAAATAAATCTTTTTTAAAAAAGCAGTAGTTATTAACATGCCTACATGCTAGGATCTTCTAGGGAGCTTTGAAAAAAACCCTGATGCCTGGGATCCACCATTAGAGATCCTGATTTAATTGGTCTGGGATATAGTCTGGGTGTCAGGATTTTCTAAAATCAATAGACTTTATTTTTTGGAACAGTTTTCGGTTTATAGAAAAGTTGAGAGTAAAGTACAAAGAGTTCTCATATACCCTCTATACCCTCTCAGCCTCCTCTCCTACCCCTCAGGTTCCCTGTTAGTAACATCTTGCCTTACTGTGTATGGTACATTTATTACAACAAATGAGATAGTATTGATACACCATTTACTAAAGACCACAGTTTCCTTCAGAGTCCACTCTGTGTTGTACACTGTATAAGTTTTGACAAAGGTATACTATCACATATCCACCCTTACAGTTTCATACAGAATAGTTTCACTGCCGTAAGAATCCCCCATGTCCCACCTGTCCATCCCTCCCTCCCCTAACCCCTACCCCTCACCTATATGCCCAACCAAAAACCGAGGTGGTGATGTTGGGAGTGAGGAGGAGGAGGGCAGGCCTGGATAACGCATACTGAAAAGATCAGTCTGGCTACAGTGTGGAGGAGGGATGAGGGTGGAGGAACCAGAAAAAAAAAACAGAAAAATCAATGGGAAAGCCACTGCAGACAAGATAGGATATGATGATGGCTGGGATGGAAAGAATGACGAGGAATGATAGCCAAGAGGATGGAAAGAAGCAGATAGACATGAGGGATATGGAAGAGAACAGGGATGCCATGAGACATTCAAGGGAAGATGTGCAGTAGGCAGTTAGACATTTGGGTTTGGAGCTCAGAGAAGAGAGGAGAAGAGAGACGAGGATGTGGGGAACCTGAGGAATGTACGGCAGGAGAACTGGAAGCCATGGATATGATAAGATGGCCTAGACATTGAGTATGGGGTGAGGAGAAAGAGCGTCTAGTATTGAGTTCTAAACAACTGTTAATATTGGGTGAAGAGGAAGAACCCAAAAAGGTACTGGAGCAGGAGCAGCAGAGCAGGGAAGGCAAAAAAGGAAAACCAAGTGTGGCTTTTTAATGGAAGAGTGTGTATAATTTCAAGAACTAGGCAGTAACCAGCAGTGTCCATGATACAGAGTAGTCAGGTCAGATAGAGAAAAGGAGGGAAGACAGTCCTTTCAAGAATTTAGCTGTGTAGGAGGTTGGGCAAGATGGATACAACTCCCTCACTAGGGTCAGCTGCCTCACGAGCTTTCCTTTAACTGTGGACATTTTCCTTAACAACCTGTACATGTTCCAAGGATAGACATGAACTGGGGCATGTGAGGCATGGGGTTGTGTGTACCCAATTTAAAGCTATTAAAGGACATCTCTGAATAGGCATCACCTCAGGTCACTGGACCATGTTACCAATCCTCCGGTAGCATTTGATTTCATTAGAAGCTTCTATTATCTTTTCATTGCTTTTCCTTTTGTTACCCTAGGAGAGGTAGGCTTCTATTATTTTTATTCCCCTTCTCTATGAATGAGAGAGAGAAAGGAGGTGTGGCCAATTCCCAAAAAATGGAAGCCTATTGAAGACCATGTTAGTATCCTTCCTTGTCCCCTAGCCTCCGTCTTCACAAAATTTTTAAAAGACTTGTCCATACTTTTTCACATTCCACCATTAATCTACCTTCTCCTTCATGGACATTGGTCTCCTCAAGGTTGCCAACAGCCAACAAGCCTCTAGACCCAAGCCAAGTTCTGCTGCATTTGACACTTGATCACTTGCTTTGTGAAATTCTCTCTCCTGTCTGTCCCAGTGTCCCACTCTCCTGGTTTCTACTGTTAATAAGAAATCATCCAGACTTGGAAATAGAAAAAAGAACTACACTGATGTCCTCTCAGCGTGGTGTCAGGTGTTGTTCAACATGCCAGTTTCACCTGGGGATCATCTGATTTTCTAGGGATGTGTACATTTGCTTGACTTCTGATTCACTATTGATTAGGATATTTTACGACTCTGTAAGGATAGAAGCTAGTTCATAGGAAACTTAAAATGAGTAAATGATTCTTGTCCAATAGCAATGCAAATATTTTCTGTCTGGTAAAAAGGGGAACCCCAAAGTTGCACTTTCTTGCATTGTAGGGCAATAACCTTTGCTGTTAAATTTATTTCAGCATTCCTTTGACCAACTCCGTATTCATTTTCAAATTCTCTTTGAATTAATGTTAACATCTTATGGATGTCCTCATTCATTAATCAATTAATAAAGCTTTGACATGTGTTCATTTTATATTTAAGTCATGTTTTTTGACTTTTTTGAAAATTATTCTTTGCCCCTCCTAGTTCTGCACTGAGGACAGAGGTGAAGGAAATGAGTTAGGGGTAAATTAGGTGACCAAAAAGGAAAGGCACAAAAGGCATTCCTGGCAGGAGTCTCGGAACCCTGGTGTTTGCCTGGTTCCCTGGCTTGCTCTGGATTCCTAATTCTCCTGCCAGCTAGAGGTCCCCCAGGGAACTGGTTTTCCTCTGATCTGTGCTGAACTGCAATGCCTGAATCCTCAAGCAACAAGGCTCCTATCCTGTGGGGAGAGGGTCTGCCCAACTTTCTCTGCTGGCCTCCTGAGGTAACAGCTGAAGAAGGACTGTGTCCGCCCCTCCCCATCCCCCACCTCTGCAGGCCTAGAAAACAAGTGTAATCGTGGGGTGTGTGATTGTCACCCAAAGCACAAAAATATTTCTTTGAAATGTTCTTTAAAATTCATGCAAATGCATTCCATGCATTAATCCAACTTGTAACTATGAGTCCCTTTCGCAAAACAAAACTTGCCCTCTAAAGAGCCCCATCTTGTGTTTGTGCTGTGATTCTGCCCACGTTTCAGAAAAACTTTGATGTGTTGTACTCCTTCTATTGGGGTCCTACATCTACACATATCATTCAACCCTCACAGTCTCCTTTGAGGGGTAATATTATCCCATTTTACTGATGAAGAACCTGAGATATTGAAGGGTTACATAGCTTGCCAAGGTGGCTTACGTGGTGTAAGGGGCAGAGCTAGTCAGTTTGAAACCCAGACACATCTGATGTTGATTATGCTCTCCCTTGGTTTATAATTATTTGTTCCTCCATGGTTCAAGCTAGTAGAGCCTGAGACCCTAGGGGTCCCACTTACACACTCTTCAGATGGGAAGACAGGCCCAGATAGGGGCCAAATCTAGCCTAAGGTAAGGGAGGGAAGGGAAGGTGCAAAATCAGGACTCAAAGCAAAAACTGACCAGTGGTGCCCTCTGGAAGCCTTGAGGACCCTCCCTGTCTCCCAACCAGGTTGTTAGAAATGCTGCAAGAGGGATCCCTGGGTGGCTCAAGCGGTTTAGCGCCTGCCTTGGGCCCAGGGCGTGATCCTAGAGACCAGGGATCGAGTTCCACATCAGGCTCCTTGCATGGAGCCTGCTTCTCCCTCTGCCTGTGTCTCTGCCTCTCTCTCTCTCTCTCTCTCTGTCTCTCATGAATAAAAAATAAATAAATAAACAAATAAATAAATAAATAGAATCTTAAAAAAAATGCTGCAAGAACATACTCAGGAGTTTACAGTGGACTGAGCTCTGGGGAGTCAGGAAATTAGGGTTTAAGCTCTGGGCTTTTGGGCAGCTCATTGCCCTTCTGAAGTCTCAATATCTGTGTATATAAAATGGGCCACTTATTGGGAGACTCGAAAGAGACAAAGGTTGGCAAGGTAAGTAGGTTGTAAACCTACCAACTGGCTAGAAGTGATAGACCAAGGCTCATTCTGGGCTCTGGAGCCAGACTCCTTAGGCTCAGATTGTTTTTATTGCTTAAATAATAGCCTGTCACCTGGGTGCTTGGGTGGCTCACTCAGTTGAGCATCCCACTCTTGATTTCAGCTCAGGTCCTTGAGTTCAAGCCCCCCATTGAGCTCCATGCTCTACGTGGAGATTGATAGATAGATAGATAGATAGATAGATAGATGGATGATAAAATAAATGGCCTGTCACCGTGAAATTTCTATGCCTCAGTTTCCTCATACATGAAATGGGAGTAATAACAGCACCCATTAAATAGAGTTGTAAGATATCAAGCACTCAGAACAGTCACTGACACATAGTGATCATGCAGTAACGCTGCCTTTTATAACAGGTTCACTGTCGAAGGCGTGCCTATCCTCCAAGCGCGACCGCAGGGATCTCCCCCCGGCGGCCCCGCCACCCCTCCCGTAGGCCCGGCCCCCAGTCCCCCGACTCGGGCCCGCCTTCTCCTCACCCCGTCCCGCTCCAGCTGTCCTGGGTCCCTCCCGCCACCAGGGGGCGGCGGCGCTGAGGGGGAGGGGTGTGGCGCTTCTAGCCGAAGCAGGCGACACTCTAGGGAGCAGCGGCCGCTGCTCTGTGGCCAGTGGCGGCGGCGCTCTAGCCGGCGAGTGTGCGAGGCGGGCTCTCAGTGGTGCGGCCGGCAGGCGGCTATGGCGGCCGTACGGGGCCTGCGAGTGTCGGTGAAGGCAGAGGCCCCGGCGGGGCCGGCCCTGGGGCTCCCGTCGCCTCAGGCGGACTCTGGTTTGGAGCGTGGCGAGCCGGAGCCCATGGAGGTGGAGGAGGGCGAGCTGGAGATTGTGCCGGTGCGGCGCTCCCTGAAGGAGCTGATCCCGGTACGGGCTGGGGGCGGGGGCGAGGAGGAGGTCGCCGAGCTGGGGCCCCTGGGGCCGGGCGGCCGGAAGGGGAGGAGGCCGGCGCCGGGGAAGTCGGGGGAAAGGGAAAGAGGGGAGGGAGCGCCCAGGGGGCGGAGGCGCCGGGCTCGGGGGGAGACGGGGAGCGGGAGAAGGGGCGCCGGGCGCCCGGAAATAGGTGTGGAGGGGCTGGAGATGGGGGAGCCTGGGGGTGCTGAGGACAGCCCCTTTGCTGCCTCTGAGCCAGGCTGTGCAGGGGCGGCGGGCAGGGCGGGCTGGGGCTGTCTGGGGGCGCGAGGTGAATCACGGTGGGGCCCCGGGCCGGGACGCCGGCGTCAGAGTCTCCGGTGGAGCTCCTGTTGGTTCAGCGGAGCGCTCGCGGCTCCTCTTGGAGGGTCGGACTTGTCAGCTGCAGAAACTTCGTGTTTCTTTTGTGACTTGAGAGTCCTCCTGGCCCCATTCTCCTCGCTCTGTAGCACCTACACCTGGCCGCAAACACGTGACCCTTAGTGAGACCCAAACAAGCGAACCAGCGGGGGAGGGGGGAGGGGGGAGGGAGGGCGGGGGCGGGGCGTGCTCCGTCTCTTATCACCTAGGGGGTGAGTGAGAGGGGCTTTGCTTTTGGTTGGGTGGTCCTGTGTTGGGTTCTGAGGCCTGATCCCGGGCCTGCATGGCTCTTATGTATGTACTCAGTTTCTCATCTGACATGAACCCCTTTTTTACCATGTCAGCAAAGTCTGGCTTTTTAAACCGAAATTGTGGGAAAAGGCAAAGAAGATGGGATCACTAAAGACAGTAGACGATAAGGACCCTAGTAACAACAGTTAACATGGTGGCTTTTTACCATTTACTACGTTACGTTGTTTAAGTGTCACTGTAGTTGTGAAGTAGATCGCATCCTTTTATTCGTTCAGTGCAACATGTGGTTACCGCATCCCTACTGTGTGCCAGGCACAATGTAGGCACTCGTCAAGATCAAGATTAAAGTCTTCCCCTGGCGTTTATGTTTTAGTTGGAAGACACAAATAAAGAATTTCTGATAGTGGTAAGTGCTTTGAAGAAAGTAAAACACGTTAACGGGACAGGAGTGCAGAAGACAGGGAAGGTGTGCAGAGCAAGAAGCCAAATGGTACGGGATGGTCAGGGAAGTGGTTTCAGATACTGACATTTAAGCTGAAACCTGCGTGACAAAAAGGAGCCAACCACGTGCAGAACATATTCCCAGCAGGGGCGACAGCAGGTGCAAAGGCTCTGAGATGGGAACAAAATTGTTTTGTTGGAGAAATGGTAAGTTCCGTAGAGCAAATGGGAGAGCCGTTAAAGAGGTCAGGAAGGTAGGCAGATACTGTGGAGGAAACCCAGGCCCAGAGAGGCGAAAGGAATTGTACAGTGTTGTGTAATTAGTGAATCTCAGAGCTGTGACTTCAGTCTTCGGCTTCCAAATCCCATCCTCTTTTCATTGCACTGTGCTGTGTTTTCCCAGGAGGTCTAGGTGAGTCTGGAGTTTCTGCATTTTGGTGAAGACTTGTGCTCCACCTGGTGGCCTGATACGATGAATTTGTCCTATGTGGGCTGGGGAGATGAGTGAGTGTGCCTTACTTAACTTGGACCTTTTTCATGAAAGCCTGTGTATTTTCATTTACATAAATACCTTAAGCAGATGGATTTGGTTAAGGTTTGGGACAGGATCTGATCTAGAAAAGACTTTTTGTTAGAGTGGTTGATTGCTTACTACCTGAAGTTACTGAGACACACTTCCTCATAATAAAGGGTTGTCAGGGTGAGGAAGGATTGCTGAAAGGAATGACTATCCAAAAGGAATCTGTTGCAGGGCTGTCTTTTATTATGTGTTTTTCTTCAGTTTTTTTTTTTTTTTTTTTTTAGATTTTATTTACTTATTCATGAGAGAGAGAAAGAGGCAGAGACACAGGCAGAGGGAGAAGCAGGCTCCATCCAGGGAACCTGATGTGGGACTCGATCCAGGGGCTCCAGGATCAGGCCCTGGGCTGAAGGCGGCGCTAAAGCGCTGAGCCACTGGGCTGCCCCTTCTTCAGTTCTCTTAGCATTTCTTAATCTTTCTCCGTGCGTTAGGACACAAGCAGAAGATATGAAAACAAGGCTGGTAGCTTCATCACCGGAATTGATGTTACCTCCAAGGTAAGACACCATAATTTATTTATTCATTTTGATAAGCAGGTGAACTTAATGGATGTGGCCCCCAGAACTTGTGAAATACCAGTTACTCTTTACCTCCTTTTTTCTTTTGTTGCTTGACCAAAACTTTTTTTTTTTAAGATTTTATTTATTCATTAGAGACACAGAGAAGCAGAGACATAGGCAGAGGGAGAGCAGGCTTCCTGTGGGGAGCCCGATGTGGGACTCGATCCTGACCCCAGGATCACGCTGTGAGCCCAAGGCAGATGCTCAACTGCTGAGCCACCCAGGCGTCCCCATTTTTTTTAACTTAAATTTTGTATTACACAATGATGTGTTCATGCATCCTGAAAACATACAGGCAGCATTTGTGTTCTTATATTATGAAAAGGTAAAATCCATGTACCTAGTTGCCTGTGCTTAACCATATCTAAGAAAAAGTTCTATACTGGGAATGCTTTTTTTTATGCTATGTCTATTCTTTAAAAATATGTATGCTGTGTCCACGTTAATGAAACAAAACATGAAAAATACTTGGCATATAGTAGGCTATTAGTATAAATGTCTTTATTCTTCACTGGTTGCAGGCTTAGAAAAATAGAGTTTCCTGATTCTGTGGCTGTCTAAACTTTGAAAGCCAAGTCAGCTGAATTATTCTCAGTACCCGGGAGTATTACCTTTTATCTAGTGATTGCTATTACTAAATTACCAGCTTTCCTGTAACTCTTTACAGAGCCTAATCTATTATTTTCCTTGTTATAAACAGTCAGGATGCATTTGTTGCTTTAATTGGTGATATCCAACTTAGACATTCATTTTGATTTTAAAGTGTGCAGTTTAGAACAGAATTTCGCATTATGATTCTGAATAATAGTAGTGTTTAACTATATTGGGCATATAATAATATGTCATGCTTATCTTTATATTTTATCTGGGTCTCAATCTTAGATTCCTTAAAGGCCAAAAGAAAGACCTTGTCATCTTTTAGACAGGCAAGAAAATAGAATAAAATGAAGATGTTGGGGTTCCCTGGGGGGCTCAGCGGTTTAGCGCCTGCCTTCGGCCCAGGGCATGATCCTGGAGTCCTGGGATCGAGTCCTGCATCAGGCTCCTGCATGGAACCTGCTTCTCCCTCTGCCTGTGTCTCTGCCTCTCTCTCTCTCTCTCTCTCTCTCTCTCTCTCTCTCTCTCTGTCTCTCATGAATAAATAAATAAAATCTTAAAAAAAATAAAAAAAATTTTTAAAAATGAAGATGTTTTCTTATTGTAATTGAAAAAGTAGATTGTTCTGTTCTTATTCTGGTACAGTTGCCATTGTATGAAACATGTATGAGGGAAAGGGTGGTAGCCCCAGAATTGGTACTTAAGTTGTTATTAGGAGAAGGTAGGTTTGTTGTTTGCACTGGGAAGAGCTGAGTGAAGAAAATTAGTATAACTGTTGGGGAATAACAAAGTGTTGCTGCTTTACCAATCTCACAAGCTTTCTTGTAGTCAGACCTTCAATTAGTGTGGCAGAGTCAATGTGCAATTAGTGCAGAGTTCCTAAGAGCTATTGGAAACCCACAGTTGGGCCTGGATTTATTTTAGCTCTTGGAGAAAAACTTGTGAAGCTGATTAGTTTGTTTTTCAGTGAAGTATCAGTGCTTCTTGTCACTTAAAGATGAAAACTGGCAATTCCATGGATGCAAGCCTAGAATAGAGAGAGTTTCTGTGCTTCAAAATGTTATTTTTAAACAGGGAAAACACTTTAGGGAGTGGACTGCTCAGGCAGACATAATGTGATAGGTGTGATTACCATGCACACAGATGACGTGAAATGGGGGTGGTGGTTGGGCTTCTAGAAACAGCACTGAGATCAGAAGATTGTGCCCCCCCACACACACACACACAACTAGCCAAAGTATCTCCAGCAAACCTTTTGACTTTTTTTTGTACCTCAATTTCTGCATCTGGAAAAATGGAGTGAGATTGTTTGTATGATTGCTAATAATAAATAAAATGTCATAACGAAAGCATTCATTACTCATTGAATCAACAAATACTCATTGAATTCCTACTATGCCCTTGACACAGTGATAGCCATTGAATCATGGTGATTATTACAAATTTTAGCAGTATTAGTATATACTCTCCCAGTCATTGACTGTAAATACCCAGTTCTCTGCAAAAATTATTAAAGGCATAATGTTGCTTATTTCTTTTGATTTACTTTCTGGTTGTCATTGAAACATCATGTTGCATTTGTGATTTAACTTTCCTCCTCCATGTGTCACTTCTTTGGCTTTTCCTTACCTTCTAGGAAGCAATTGAAAAGAAAGAACAGCGAGCCAAGCGTTTCCATTTTCGATCAGAAGTAAATCTTGCCCAAAGAAATGTAGCCTTGGACAGAGACATGATGAAGAAAGGTACAATGTGTTTGGGGTTATTTTTCCACATTTCCCCAGAGAATGGCTTTTCCCTCCATGGCCTCGTGCTTCCGGCCTTGCCTTGCATGTCTAGTCCTCATCCAAACACTCCCAAAGGAAGGGACTTGCAAAGCCTCCATTTCTGAGGTGATGTGTTTGAAGTTGTGCCACTGTTAGCTGTGTCTTTAGATGCTGTAGCTGGGAAGAAAGAGATTGTCGTGTTTGAGAAAGCCAAGGAAGGTCACCTCGATAGTGGCAGAGCTGAGATTACAACCTATACTTCTACAGACTCTTACTCATTTTTTACTTTTATTACAGAAGTGTTAACTTTTCTTTGCCTTTAAATGTAATGGAATTGTGGGGTGTCTGACTGGCTCAGTCATTTAAATGTCTGACTCTCGGTTTCCACTCAGGTGAGGGACATCTCAGAGTCATGAGATCCAGCCCCACATTGGGCTCTGCACTCAGTGCTGTCAGCTCAAGTTTCTCCCTCCTCCCTTTGTCCCTCCTCAAGCATGCTCGCTTGCTTGAGCATATGCACTCTCTCTAAAATAAATAAATCTTGGGATCCCTGGGTGGCACAGCGGTTTGGCGCCTGCCTTTGGCCCAGGGTGCGATCCTGGAGACCCGGGATCGAATCCCACATCGGGCTCCCGGTACATGGAGCCTGCTTCTCCCTCTGCCTGTGTCTCTGCCCCTCTCTCTCTGTGACTATCATAAATAAATAAATAAAATAAAAAAATTTAAAAAAAAAATAAATAAATCTTTTTTTTTAATAAATCTTTTTTAAAAATGTAATGGAAGTGTATCACACTGATACTTTTTTTTTGAGGAATCAGAGATAACTGGGATTGGTAGGGGAAAGCCATTAATACTTGTGTGATACAGGCTTAGAATTTTATTTTTGTGTTTTATTAGGGTAAATATTTTGCCTCCTAAAACTTACCCTGAATTATATATGGTAATCTGCCTCAGTCTTCCAAAGCAATTTATAAATAAAAGGAAAAAATTATTATTTTTTTGGTTTACAGCCCATCTTATTCCACTCTAATATAAATCCACCAATGCAAAAGGTATTTGCAAATTTGGGTATTTGTGAAGGGCTTAATAGGCATCCGTAATATATCCTTAATAGTCAATCCTCTGCATGTTAAAGGTCTCTCTTTGCTGTAAGTTTCTCTTGGAACTTGCTGTCTTACTAGGCACTATGTTAATTAGCACATTATACATTTGTTTCTTATTCATTTCTCACAACCCTATGAGGAGTATGTTTTTATCCCTATTTTACAGAGAAAGAAACAGGCTCAAAAAAGTTAATAAACGCCCAGGATTACACAATTAGTAAAAGTAGAATCAGGATTTGAACACAGGTTTTCTGACTCTAAAGCCTTGCTCTTAATTACTTTGCTCTGTTGCTTTATAATAAGTAGATGATACCATAAACCCAAACCTCCTCAGTTCATCCCAGTGGACAGAGTACCCTGGATACAGAGTTCAACTCTAGATGCTACTTTACTCTTTTTCTGGATCATGAGTTCAAGTTGGAAATATGACCTTGCTTCCCATGCAGGCTGGGTTTCCAGGCATCTGCTGAATGGATTTCGGTTTTAGGAAAACAGAACAGCTGTGCAGCTTGGCATTTATGTGCCTGTATAGTCTGGGCTCAAGTAGACCTCTGAGGCCTCTCTTATAACTTCACCGTTAAGCACCATAGTTTCACCACACCTGCTTACCTCTAGTCCTGTGAACATTTCTTGTGTCATCTTGCCTCTGATCTTACTCATGCTCTTCAGTCTGTTGATTATCCCTTCCTTGTCCCATGCTTTATCTGGTTCAGATGTCACTTTCTCCGTAAAGCATCCCTAATCACCCACTCAAATTTCTCTTCCACCTCTTTTGGAGCTCTTTAAGGTGCTGAGCCCTCCTGGAATTCAGTCTCAGTTTCTTTGTGAATGTGGGCAAGTTATTGAACCTTTTTAGGTCTTAGTCTCCTTGTCTGTAAAGTGGGAAAATGACACCTACCTGGAAAGGATCACTTTCAGGGTTAAGTCTTAATTAAAAAAAACAAAACAAAACGTTTTGTTTTTTCAGAAAAGCAATCCTGATCTCATGGTTCTAAAGATATTTTTAAAAAGCAGTAGATTTATGTGGGATGTTGGCTGGAGCAAGTTGCTCCTTACAACTTGTTTTTCATCTAGGAGGCAGCATGGCATCCTAATGGATAGGGTTGCTGAACTCTGGAGAACCCTGATGATCTATCCCAGATCAATTTAAAGAGCAAGAAGGGGGGTTGTAAAGGTCCCAGAGATAGTTTTTTTCTTTTGTGTCTCCCCAGGTAATTCTAATGTACAGTCAGGATTGAGAGCCTTAAATATGGTTAAGAGCATAGGTTCTGAAGGCTGACCTGTCGCTTTCTAGCTCTGTGACCTTGGACAAATTATTTAGCCTCCAAGCTGCAGTTTCCTCATCTGGAAAGGCAGATTGATAGTGTTTGTATAGGGTTTTTGAGAGGCTTTATTAAAATGTTACAGTTCTCAGGGTACCTGGGTGGCTCATTTGATTAAGCCTTTGGCTCTGTTCATGATCCTGGGGCTCTGCGGCATCACGCTCTCTGCTCAGTGATGAGTCTGCTTCTCCCTCTGCCCGTTTCCTTGCTCATGTTCATCCTTTCTCTATCTCAAAAAAAAAATAGTTAAAAAGTTACAGTTCTTAAAGTGGCATATAGTAAGTGCTCAGTAAATGTTGTTATCATTATCTGATGTTCTCTGTCTTCCATTCAGTCATCTAAGTGGCCTAGCCTCTAGGGAGGATAGGGACATTGGGATAAGTATCTTGACTCCCGCAGCCATACCAGGTGTCAAGTTATTTCTTCTTATTATTATTATTAATTCCAACAATAATAAAAGATAACCATAAGAGTCTCATGCTCTACCGACTGAGCTGGCCTGGCGCTTAACCACTAATAAATGCTTATAAGTTTTTTTTTGTTTTGTTTTTAAGATTTTATTTATTCATGAGAGACACACTGAGATAGAGAGGGAGAAACATAGGCAGAGGGAAAAGCAGGCTCCATGCAGGAAGCCCGATGTGGGACTCGATCCTGGAACTCCAGGATCACGCCCTGAACCGAAGGCAGAAGCTCAACTGCTTAGCCACCCAAGGTCCCATAAATGCTTATTATATGCTGGTCATTCTGCTATATGGTTAACTTATCCTTTGAGCAGTGGTGTGAGGGGAGAGTATTCATTGTTTTACTGAGGAGGAAACTAAGGTGCTGAGAGCTTGAGAAGCTCATTCAGGTCTTACAGCTAGGTAAGTAGCAAGGCTGGGATTTGAAGGCTAGTCTGACAGAAGCCTGTGTTCCTAACTCCTCTGCCAGCATTCAGGGGCATAGTTTAGGATATGTTGCACTAGACCATTCTGCATCGAGTTCTTACTACTCTTAGGTGATTCAGTGTCAAGCAGCTTCAGTCTCCTTTTCCCCAAGATCCAAGCTGTCATGGTTGGAAGGGATCTAGAGGTCATCTAGACCAACCTCCTGCCCGGTGCTGCAGGCCTTTTGGCAAGGTTGTCAATGGTCTTTTGACCTCTGCTTGATTGTTTCCTACTGGTAGCACAAGAACTTTTTATGAAGCGGTCAGTCTTATGTTTGGATACTTCCTCATGTTGAGCAGAAACTGCTTTCTAGTAATTTCTGTTAGCTACTGTGTGACTCTTAGAACAGCATTAAGTCTTTTCCTTATACACACAGTAAACCTTCTGGTGAGGGAATGGGCAGCCCATGCCCTAAACTTTTCTTTATGTGACATGACTTTCTGATCTCCTTTCCAGTCTCCAAATGCCCTACATAAGGAGAGGTGTAGATTCTAGATATGGTTGGATTCATGGAGAGTGTGGAGTATGGCAGGACTGTTACTGTAGTCTTTGTCCTAGCTATCATAGTTTTGTATTAATCTCCTAGTCAACCTAAGCACCCAACGCTTTTCCCCAAGGAATTGTACCCATCAAAACAGTCTTCTCATCTTGTACTTGAGGTACTTCTAAAAATTTACCTTTTTAGGGACGCCCAGGTGGCTCTGCGGTTAAGTGTCTGCCTTCAACTCAGGTCATGATCCTGGAGTCCTGGGATCGAGTCCCACATTGGGCTCCCTGCATGGAGCCTGCTTCTCTCTCTGTTTCTGCCTCTCGCTCTCTCTGTGTCTCTCATGAATAAATAAAATCTTTTTTTAAAAAAATTACCTGTTTATCCTTATCAATTTGCACCCTGTTGATTTCAAGACTATTTCAGACTATGGAGTTGATTTTATCTTAGCTCTTTCAACATTTTACTATACTTCTCACTTTGGTATGCATGGCTCTTGCATCCTTATCTTGTTGGTAAATCAAGATAATCCTGTATCATGCCATGAAAAAGATTCATGAATTAATTTATTATGTATGTCTTAATTTATTATGTTATCAGGCCCACATTTCATTTTATTGTCATGAGGAACTAGGTAACATGCTTTAATGAACTTGAGGTAGAACACCTTCTGTGGTATCCTTTGAATTTCTTGGTCTGGTAATCCTAGGCAAAAAGAAAGAGATTAGATTAGTGTAAAGTCTTATTTTGGGAAAGACCTAGTTACTTAAGAGATGATAAGTTCTGTCCAGTCCTGGAACTCCAGGATCACACCCTGGGCCGAAGGCAGGTGCCCAACTGCTGAGCCACCCAGGTGTCCTGTCCAATAAGCCTTTAAAGATTGATTGATTGATTGATTGATTATGATAGACACACAGAGAGAGAGAGAGAGAGGCAGAGACACAGGAGGAGGGAGAAGCAGGCTCCATGCCGGGAGCCCGACGCGGGACTCAATCCCAGGACTCCAGGATCGTGCCCTGGGCCAAAGGCAGGTGCCAAACCGCCGAGCCACCCAGGGATCCCCCACAATAAGCCTTAAAAAAAAAAAAATTCAGAGAATGACATCTTTTCAGTCTGTGATTTTGGGAGTAATTTCTCT